AACTGCTCTATTTTTTGACTTCAAAAAAGCATTTGATAAAGTGCCTCATAATCGGTTAATTCTTAAGCTTCAATCATTTGGAATTAGTGACCCTCTATTATCGTGGATAAGCTCATTCCTTAGGCAGCGTACTCAAATAGTAAAGTTCAGTCAAACCTATTCCTCCCCACAGCCTATTCTGAGTGGCGTCATTCAAGGTAGTGTGTTGGGGCCCTTACTCTTCCTCCTTTACATAAATGATATTTCTGACATGATAAAATATGGTAAACCCTACCTGTTTGCTGACGACTTAAAAATCGTGTATAGCTTTCCCCACTCATCGCTAAGTGAGGGTTTTAATAGAATCCAGGAAGACCTGACGAATTTGTTCGCTTGGAGTGAAACATGGCAACTTCCACTTAACTCTAGTAAATGCGGAATTCTCTGTTTCAATAACTCTTATCCAAACGTCAGTTTACACCTTGGCGATTCTGTGCTGCAATCTTATAACTCAGTATGTGATTTAGGTATTAGGTATTCTCGGAACTTAACGTTTACGGAATATGCCCAGTCACTTGCCTCCAAGTGTAGGCGCTCAGTTGGCCTTTTGCTTAAACACGTACATACCACTGAGGCCAGACTGCTTTTATTCAAGGTAATGATCCGCCCAGTACTTGAATATGGCACAATCATCTTCAGCAATATGTATGCTTCGGATAGGATACTAATTGAGAATGTTCAAAGAAAGTTTACCCGCTATGTACTGGGCCGTCACGAAGAACTTGATTATGAGGGAAGGTGTAAGAAACTAAAAATTGACCCACTTTGGCTAAGACGCCTTAAGCTCAACCTTAGCCTATTTTTCCGCCTTTTGCATGGCATTACTCACGCCTGTTGCGCTCCTACTTTTAAGCCTAAGTCCTCATATAGTCTACGCAATCGTGAATGCACTGTACCTGTAGAAAAGCACCGCCTTAAACTTAGGTCACGATCCTTTATGTTACAGTACAGCAAGTTATGGAATAAGCTTCCACATTTTATTCGCTCTTGCATGTCTGCATTTCAGTTTCGACGTCTACTCAACGAATTCTTCCTTTTCACGGATATCTATAAATTTCTTGACATTCATATTATATCCACAAATACGAAGCATAATGGAGCAATCGGCACATAACAATGGTCAAGCCATTGCGTCCACTATGAACGTACTCAGATCTCTAAATGTAAGAATCGGTTTTATTAAAGCCCTGAAGTTCCTTTAATGCAGATGGCCCTACGATTGCATACAAGGGTATGAATACTGGCTCCTCTCCGTATAATGAACTTAACGAATATTGTTTATCTCTGAAAGCCACTACGGTACACCCCCCCCAAAAAAAAGACTTAAGAACCTTATAATGGAAGGACTATGTAGTTGACTTAACATATAAGCATAAAAATGTACAATAAAGTCCGAATAAATGAAAAAAGAATAGGGACTTCTCTCTTCTCCAAATTTGATAGCGAAGTAATCTATCTTTTCATATCTGCTCGTGCCTCTTCTTTCTTTCCCCATTTGCAGAAACAGCTGCAAGTCGACATTTGATGTTCAAATTCCGTCTGAACGTGATTACTTTATGGGAATAACACCTGATCATTGACGCCAATAATTATTGTACTGCTCCCACTCTCTCGCAAATTCTGGACCATCTTCAAGATTAACTCACCTACTGGTCATGACTTTTCTTGTAACCAACCGTCTGACCATTCCCAACAGTATTAGTAGCAGAGGCATTCTGAACGGATGATTAAACTAGAGACCAATTAACGTAATGGCTCAGGACGTCACTTACCTACAGTGGCTCTACACTACATATTTTCTTGTACTCTTTACCAAGAGACCTTTTCATATGGAACTTACTACGCATCAAATACACTTCTCGAATGATGCAGCCTATGCTAATACAAAAGATACCCGAAGTCTATGTATCAATACTGCCACTTGGACTATTGACTGTTTCGACATCTATTTTCATCCAATGCAACAAGTATCCCCAGCAGAATTAATCCATATTACCTTTAGACGTAACATGGTGTCCTGGAGATGCAGTTATGTGGCCATACACGTTGGTTATATAACTGTGGATACTTTATTGATACTCCAGATTGTATAAATGGGTCCTTTGTGGTTAACAAAGCTAAAAACTGAATATCATTCTAAGCAATAAACCGTTGTAATACTACCGTTATAATACTAGATACCAGTTCGTAAACTTTCCAAAAATTATGAATTTGACAGTGCCTGTAAACTGGTATCCCCCATGTTAAACCTGTTAAATGAAGACAGTGTTTACTGTTATCTAAACTTTAACACTCTATGTACGCTGTAAAGCAGTATTTCCTTGTTCATCTCATAACTAGCGGGACCTTCGGCAGTTTTAATTGGGTTTAATGACATTCCGTCAGCACCACTCAGGGCTCAAGTCTTGCAGATATTTTGAGAGGTATCGACGTGATGAAGCCTGTAAACTGGCTTCTCTCATGTTAAAATCTTTCTTTAACGCCAGAACAAAACATTTATTCATTTATTTATTATTTATTCTTGATGAAACCCTTGTCAGTTTATCTATTCATACGCATTCAACACATGCTGGCGTTTTAAACCTTTGAAGGTGAGTCTCACTAAGCCGAAAAATAAGTGGTAACTACAGAATACCCCAGTGGACTACGGACCTACTACCCCCTAATAGAAATTTTCAGAGGTGGTGCGGATACTATTCAGTAATTGTTTACACTTCATCATCCCCCATACTGTGTGAGTCTTTGAAATGAAATACACCTAGGAGACGATGGCATGCTGAAATCTCTAGGTCTTTGTTCGTGTGATATTCCTGGATTTTTCCAGGGCCTTTGGCACAGCCCTACACAACATTCTCATTCGAAAATCTTAGGGTTGGTTATCAACGATCAAAAGCTGTCATGGCTTCGGGACTAATTAGGCGACGGAGAATTCCGCATAAAAGTCAACAGAGTTTGCTCGACGTAAAAGACAACTTTATAGTGTGTCACAAAGAGTGACTCTGGGTCCGCTGCTTCTCCTACCCTTCGTGAATAACTTCGTATGGAGTCTCAGCTCTCCAATTTTACTTTATGCCGACGATATTAGGTTATGAAGATCATTGACATCCGAAGCAGAATCAAGGACACTGGGGAGTGATCGCAGATGTCTTGCAGAGTGAGTGAAAAGCGGACTAGCATTTAATCAGGATAAATCCCAACACATGCTTCTCCGCATCCCTGAATCCCACAAGGTATTTCACTGTGTTTGTGGGACGCACGTATCCTACAGCACCATGAAGGAAGGCCTGGGACTAATACTAACTGGCAGGTCAGAAACTAGCTCCAGTTACCCAGCAGATGCCCCAGAGCCTACGCAGTGCTGAACTTCATGCACAGCCAGCTAGGCGCCCTCCCTCCGGAACTCTTTCCAAACCCATTTAAACCCTGCCTGCATACAAATTTCTTCATCGCATTGCCCTATTAGATTCAGAGCGGACTTCCTGATGAGAAGAAGGCTTCGTAGTTAACCTCCGAATTAACTGGTTAAATTCTTATCATCTGGCAACGTATCCGGGTTAATAGGTGAACCAACGCTGTCCTGTAAAACATTACATATACCGGGCCCTCTTAATGTCTAATGAGACATCTGCCACACCAGTACCTTCATACTTTGGATAGTTGTGCCAAAATACCTATGCGTTCCAACCAACTGGCTAGAGAGTCGAATACGAGCGGTGCAACGTAACACGACAGCGTGCCAAATGGCGAGGATGCTTGACCGGGTGCCTTCAACCCAGCGGGTCCAGTTAAACTATCGAGGTCAGCATCAATGTCAAAGTCGTCAAACCCTAGGCTATTGATTTTGGGGAAGTGTGTGACGCTGCAATACGAAACGTTGAGACTTCCATAAATTATCACCTCATACCAACGGCGCATTCTGCCCCACCAGCAAAAACAGAAATTCCAAGTCGCTCGACAGCATGAAACCTACGTCCCTAAGTGTTTCGTGGGGAAAGCATGTGCAACGAACACCATAGCAGCGAAAGTTAAGTAAGGAAAACATGTACATAGGAAACAAAATCTTTGTTGGAGTTGTTGCTTATTTCACTGCCTACTGTTTTGTTCTCGCTTTTTTCTCGTTGTACAAAGGCAGCCATGTTATAAGTGTTGACCTAGCTGACACTAAAAATAAATCATTTAAAGAACAGACTTTGGTTGAAGCTACCCCCGGTGAAGGGTAGTCAGAATTACAACAAACAGAAACAGAGAATGTTCGTCGGGCTACAACTTCATAATTATCGAAGCCTAGGATTTATCCATTATGAAGGTGACCAGAAAGTTGAACACTGATCACAGGGCTGCGTCGACCCTTGAAAACCTCTGACAAGATGTCCTGGAAGTCCACTTGACGCATTCAAACAAGTATATTGCTTCCGGATGCTGAAGTCGGAAAGATGAAGATATCTAGCTCTCAGTCGTAATATTCAGCAAGCTCCAAGCCTTATTTTTCTGCAAGTAGTGCATTCACTGTCGGGGTACAAATTCTGGCTTTTTCCGTCAATGCGAAAACAATACTTCCTCTTGTCGGATCTGTACATCTTTACATACTTGTTTTACCGGAATGTTTCTTTATATAAACATGTAGCACTTATATCTTTTAGACCTAATGCATCAGAACCCACCGAAGACCTGGAACAGTTCCACAAGATCTAGAGATGGAAGCGGAACATTTAGTTTACAATAGCTATTGGAAAGATACTGGCCATTAGAATCTGCAAACTCAAGAGAGTAAAAACCGGCCACCAACTACCGTCACAAGAGCTAAATCGAGGGAAACAGAAGCATATTTTGTGGCAGCCAAAGGCGTGAGATCATGCACAAAAACTTAATCTCGAGACCCAGGGGTGAGTTTTAGAAACGTATCACTTTCCTATATGCACCTCATTGATATTGGATACTGTATGGACTATTTAGATAAGTGTCAGGGCGATTGGATGTCAACGCTACTTGTCAGGGTCACTCTTTCAGATTTAAAGGCGTCATGTTTCCTGACGTAGCGGACATAGCTTAGACCAAAGCTACAAATAACATTCAGATTTTTATTAAGGTATGCCCATATCTATTGTTTTGTTCTGCTTTGTAACCATACAAGTGTTGCGTTGACTTACTTAAGTTCTAGGATTTTTTTCTCTCAATTACCAGTTTCTTTTAAGTCACTGTTAAGATCTTACTTCCAGTCCAGCTCAACTCTTATAGTGATTGCATAAAGAAAACACAAGTCCAACATAGCATTGCAGCATCTGATGCAAAGTATTTGCGTTAAAATACCCTCTGTGTTGTCATGTCGTGGATTCGTTACTGGGCTTCTTTGATCTACTTTGCAGCTTGCCCTGAGACAACTTATTTCTTTCGCCACACTTTTTTTTCTCAGCTTAGTACCTCCACCGTCTGGTTCTGTGAAAACGAATGATGTGCATTGTATGTATATCCAACGTTCTTCTCGGGCATCCGGCATGATGGTTTCGATTACGAGTCACGTCTACTAATTCACTGAACTGTGTGGTTTCTTGAACCTGAGGAAATCATGAGGCAGCAACAAGTGCTAATCCTGCGTCTTCTAGTGCCGTATCAAACACCATTTACCCACTTCCTGCATCCAGTCCTAGAGCAAGCGAACAGTTAACGTTGTGAGCTGCAGGATGGCATACATAGCATATCCAAAGCCCTGAAGTTGGTGTTTTAGGATAATCTCAACCAATGAATGACTATCTTCATCACGCCAAAACGTGCCATCTCACCTCAACGTTGCTTAGATGTTTATATTGGGCGTAATCAATCTTTCGGAAACAATGGTGATGGAAGACAGAAACTCGCTAAGAATCCTTAGATTGAAGAGGTCATTTCCTACAGTCGTAGAGTAGAACTGCCCACACCGATACGTTCTATACCCGGTCTTTACAGAAAGTTTGTTGTCACGACAGCTAAAACGATGACCGGGAATGCTATATGGGGCGGCTGGAAATCTCATCAGCTACACCAGAAGCACCCACACAACCAGGCACAAATATTTCGACAATTCTAAGTGGTTCACCACCAAGGGTGAGTACAGGCACAGGCTTTTGCCAGTCTTGTAAAGGCCGTCTACACTTTGACTGCTGGGAACGATAGTTCTAGGATTCACTCACAATTTGGGGAGACACCTGGAACGATAGCCAGAACACCTCGAGAACCAGTCCAGCTGGACTCTAGCCACTATTCCTTTGCCCGCTACATAGTTGGGTCCTCACTGGAACACTATGATTGGGCCTCCAGCCCTTGCAGAAGTTCAAGAGGCTATAAGTTACTTCAAACGAGGAAGAGCAGCAAATTCAGATGGTTTAGTACGGAAATTGTCCAAGGACAGCGTTTTAGGATCATTGGTTAGATTAGTTGAAAATTTGGCTAGCGTATGAAAATCAGATACGATTCGCTCTGACTGATCTGAACTGGTGTTGGTCCCAGTTTTCAAGAAAGGGAAGAAGTTGTGCTGTGATAACCACAGAGAAATCACTCTAGGAAACGCAGTGTCTAGGATCTTCAGTTCTATAAAGGAAGCTGTAGAGCAGCAAACCTGAAAAAAACTGGACTTGTTTCAGAACCGGTTGTGTGTGTCTCGACCAAATATTTACTCTCCTTCAGGTTCTGGAACACAAGCATACTTAGCGGTGCTCGACACTAGTTGTATTTCTGGACGTGAAGATGATATTTAACTCCGTGAAACGAGAGGTTTTACGAGTCCCACTAAAAAGTATCTGGCAATTATATCATCCTTTTGAGGTCTATGTATGTGAACTTCTTTAGGTATATCAGAGTCTGTGGTGTTATCATGAGAGTTTTGTACGTCTAGTGGCGTCCTTCAAGGATGTCCACTCCAGTTTTATTTAATTCTTTCGTGTACTTACTTCTACTTCTTTCTTTCTGACTACAAGGAAAACCTTTGTCACAGGGGGCTGCTTATTTGGCCTATTGGACGTGGATGACATAGTCGTGTTAGGTGAAGATGCTGAGATGCAAGGAATTGTAGACATCTTGAGGGGCAACTAGAGAATTTTTAGGACACATTTATCGCCACGCGAATGCAAATCGCTGCTCCAGGACTTGTTTTCACCGGTGCCTTTTTGACACTATTGAGTAGAAAGGTTGAGCTCGTTGACCACGTCACTTACCTAGGAAGTCGATGATCGGCGAAATCTGTGCATGGATATAAATGACTCACTTGGCATTTGGCAACTTACGCCATTTGTGGCGCTACCGTCACACCCGGTCACATATTATGGACCGCGTGTACTGAGCTGCATTTCTCCCCATTCTGTTATGTGTCTGTGGAACATCAGTAAAGGTAGAGGATATGACCATCGCTGTTTTTTTTAGTATTGGCGTGTCGTGAAACTATTACTTTAATGAAGTAGAAGTCAGGAGTAGAGTTTTAGATATTAGAGGTAAGTCAGTCTGTTGGGTTGTAAAGCCTAATCGATTCAACTGGCTGGCACGCGTTACGCATGCCTTGTTACCACTTATCCTCCGTCGTGCAGTTTCAGCTGAGATATACGAGAAGGCCCAAGTTGGCCTGACTTAACCATGAGATCAGTCTATCAAGTCTGACGTTTGGTCTGAGTCGTGTAGAGGAGTGTGGGCTTTTGCGGTCCACATGATAACCAAAATCAGTGGTTGGTTGCTTGATATGCTGGTATAAGGCTCAGCTACTTGGACCGTTACGCAGTGGTGCCAAGTCTCATGTTGATATTGACTTTGATGACTTATATATTCCTTTACTTTTAATTATTTAATTTTTATGATGGTGTCTATACTGTGTAGTGCTCACTTTTTCTTCATCATATTCTGATTTTATCAGTGTTGTTTCTTTTTCACATAGGTTGGCAAATACTGTGTATCCCGATGTCAGATACTTCTGGCGTTATTCCTAACATGCCTATTAGTTCACACCAGTCATCTGGTGCTAAGTCTACTGCAGCAAAGCGAAAAGAAATCTATAGGTACAATGCTCCATGGTGTATTTTTAGTATGAATTGGTCTGTCAGACCAGACAGACGCTTTCGTTTGGCTGTGGGTAGCTTTATTGAGGAGTACAATAACAAAGTACAAGTTATCTATTTGGATGATGAACAAGGCGAATTTGTCGTACAGAGTACATTTGCTCATCATTACCCAACATCAAAGATTATGTGGATTCCTGACACAAAGTGTATCTTTCCTGATTTGCTTGCAACAAGTGGAGATTACCTTCGTGTTTGGAGAATAAATGATGATTTTGAAGTCAAGAATGAATGCTTATTGAATAACAACAAAAATTCAGATTATTGTGCTCCACTGACTTCTTTTGATTGGAATGAAGTAGATCCAAATATTATTGGTACTTCTAGCATTGACACTACTTGCACAATATGGGCCCTTGAAGTAAGTATTGTGAACTCAGCACTTTGTTTCCCCTCTGTTAATTGAATTTTCACGTATTTCATTATTTGGATACTTATAATGATTTAATAAGGGTCTTAACAAAAGCCGGAGTGGTATATACCAATCGGAGTTATCTTAAATTTATTGGTTGATAGCTACCTGAATACTACCTGTGATTCACTATTTGTTATTGGAAAGTCAGATGACAACTATTTTACCGTAACTGTCTTCTTCTCATGTTGTGCCTGCTGTTGAGTTTAAGTACTGTTGAAAGTATATGCAGTCAGTGAACTTGCAGGTGGTTTTGCATTTCATTCAGCCTTGACCGTGAAATAATCACCGATCTATTATGGTGCTTCAGTCGTTTCAAAGTTCTGCGATCACCAGTGTGGTGTGCAGTTGACTTAAATATAAGTGCAGTAACTTCTACGCCCCCTGAAATTACTGTCACGATATCTTATCTTAGCGAGTTAATTAGTTCGGAGACATTTTTCATAGGAAACTGGCATCAATTTAATAGCTTTCTAGTGTGTTTCTCTCTAGTCGTATCCACTAAAAACTATTTTCTCAAGCTTTCATACAAGTAAGCTTCTTACACACCTTGGGGTCAGGATCTGTCGATTGTCGCTTTCCAGTTTCGAATTCTTAGTTCTATCCAGGAGGTGATTAGGGTACATAAGTTCGAAGATCATCAAGATTAGACAGAACGATTATCTGATGCATCGCCGTTCTCACTGGTTCTTAAGTTAATGCAAGTTCACTAATCAGACATTTTTATATACTGAATACTAACATGGGTAGTCACCCTTAACAATTCACTTTTTAATGTTTAATGATTTTGTCAACAACTTGTTAATTTTAACATAAGCCCGTATTTGTTTCTTGGTAAGACGCAACAGGTGATTGGGCATGCAAATGTTGTCAGTGGACGCGTGGAATCACAGCTAATTGCTCATGATAAAGAAGTGTACGACATAGCTTTTAGTCGTGCTGGAGGTGGAAGAGATGTTTTCGCCAGTGTTGGTAAGTTATTTCAATTTCCATATTTTTACCTTACGTACACACATCACGGTGCAAAATAGGTTAGGGTATTGCAAATGCAAGAAAAGTGTGCTATTATTGAGTTCTAGTAAAACACCATGTTGATAGACTTCAAGCAATAAAAACGAATCACTAATTATATTCTTCCTCGTCACACACATGGTAATTTTGAAATTTAATATATTACTATGCCTTTGAAGTCAGAAGAAGGATTTCTAGGCGGATAGTTCCAATTAATTACATTGAAAATTTTTACTTATAATCTAAACAGCCAGGTAGTATCATTGGCCCTCACACAGTTGGTGTATCTCATTACCCATTGCAGGAACGTGCTCGTAGTCGCTGAGTTGCATTCCGCTTTCATTCGCTAAACAAATATATGGTTGTGATGTCTAGTGAATTTACTATGTGATTTTTGTATGGGCGTATGAAAAAGAAAGATATCCAGTGATTTGAAATCATTAGGCAAGTAAAATAAAGGATTATGCAACTGAAATGAAACAAGATCAAGATGCAACCATCGTATAATTTAGATACTAATCATACACTCTTTCCGAAATCATTCCTGTTCTCCTAGCCATAATTTTGAGCCATATGGAGTTGATGAATATCCATGTTATAAAGTAATGTCATTTCATTCTGCAAGTGTAGTTCATCTCTCGAGTGTTGGAAGCCTCGGTGACTGTTCTCCATGGTTTTACAGGTGAAGGCTTTAGCTCGACAACAGAAAAAGCAGCCATCCTAGATGGCAGTTCCATTTATACCATTTCGACTGAACGGTTCTTCAAAGACTGAGACGAATGCAAACATACATTGGTATCCATTTTTAGTATGCATTTAAATACCTATTGTTCTAAAGGATATCTCCTGGAAAGTGTCTAAAATAAGGTTACGAAAGTCGTAGCAGGTTAGTTCACTGAACACGTACGGATAATGAGCCATACGGGCAATATTTAGATAATATCTGAAACAGACAGGCAGACGATAATCAGCGTAGAACCTCATATACAAGTGTATCGATTCTGGTTGCCACACTTCACAGTAGTATACAGAGAACAAGTGGATAGGAAAGACTGGTATCAAAGTAGGCGAAGGTGTGTTGGAGTAGGGGGAATTCAAGAAGTAAGACCAGTCAAAACATTCAACTTTTAGAAGACATCAAAGAGTGGATACATCGCCATTGTGACTGCTTTTCTGCCATTTCACCAAAAGTCCTCGACCACTGATTCCTATTCTCTCGGCGACCCGCCAGTCAGTCTACACTTCCCTGCTCAACTTAGACCACATGTTAGCGACTTCATGCATTGGTGTCATTTCTTAGTCTGACCACCCGGAACCCTCTTCCAACCTAATCTAACTTCCCCTAGCGTTTCACGTCGAGGTAGGCGGTGTCTCGGCATGTGCGGCACATGCCCAACCCACCTCGGTCTATGAAAGTTCACAGCCTAATCAAAAGACTTACCTTTCGCCTCACCTCAAATAGCTCACACGGTGATTCCATCATATGCGAGGAATGCTACGAAGACACGTGATCAGAAAAGTGTAATCTCTTCATATCTTCTACTTTTAACGGCCATGTTTCACAGTCGAATAAATGGACAGAGCGGACTGCAGTACAGTATACTCGTCCTTTGATAGGTAGTCGAATATCTCACTGGTACCACAGTTGACGCAAGTTAACAAATGCCGAACGGGCCTTTGGTATCGTAGCTGAGATTTCGTCATCAAACAACCAGCTTATTTGTGCTTATACAACTTCCCATGCAAGTGAAGTGGTTGACAGATTCCACCACTCCGTTTCGTTAAACTTGGAGTACTTGCAGCAGACCAATCCTGGAGCATCATCTTACATTTGACAGGTGCGATACGCATGCCAAACACACTCAGATTTCTGCTCAACATGTTAAGAAGACCCCGCATTTTGTCAGCGGCTTCCCCTAACAGGGCAATGTCATCTGAGTACTGCAAATCAGCCGCATGGCTTTCAAGGAATAAATCTGTTCCTGGGAAGTCAGAGGTATCTAAGTTTATTTGCATTTGTACGTTTGTGATTAAATTAAATACGAACGGTGACGGTGAGCATCGCTGGTGGATACCACTGGTTATCATCAGTTCACATGACAACTCTCCATTAGCGCTTACACAGCTGCATGAGTTTGAGTAGAGAGCTTTGATTAGTGTTGTATGCTTGGTCGGTACTTGTTTCAAAATCATACATTGTCACAATACCTCATGGTCGATACAGTCAAAGACCGCCTTCAGATCAAGAAGTATGACATGTCGGCCATAGGTAGAGATGCGTGGGTGAAGATATGATTGATGCACCCTCGTCCAGGTCTAAAACCTGCCTGGTTTTCTCGCGCTCTAGTTAGGCTTAGGAAAAACATGGATCCTAGGATCTTGGATACTGCATTAGTTAGACTGATTCCCCTATGGTTGTCACAAGAAGACTTATCTCCTTTTTTATAGACTGGAATTGTTAGTAAAGTAGACCAGTCTGACGGCAATACCTCTGATTCCCATACGCTACTTACTACCTCCGTCACTCTAACCAACAATCTCGTACCTCCATCCTTGAAAGACGTTGGAGGACAAACTGTCAGGTCCTGGTACCTTGCATCGTTTCAAGTTCGATACGGCCTTCTCAACTTCGAAGAGAGTTAGAGGACCGATATCTAAATCCCATTCAGGTTCAGACCAGAGAACTAAAGCGTTGCTGTGGGCCAGTTGAACTATGCTTCAAAGTGTTGCACCCAACGTTCTAGGTGCCTGTTCTGGAGGTTATCAGCATGCTATCCTTTTTGGTTGATATGGCTCAGAACCGAAGTCAGTGGCGCAGATGTATACACACATTATCCTCATCTTAACAACGCTATACCGAATCTCACTATTTTGTCACTCCTCTTTCCTTTCTTCTCATACTTTATATTTCTTTTGACTGCATTCACTTATCTTCATCCTTCACCTCACTACCTTTTTACTTGATGTGCTGATATGAGGTGTGGCAACTCGGACCGTTACGCAGTAATGCCTGGTCCTATGTTGATAATGATGATGATGATGATATCCTTTTTGGTTATTTTTTTCATTAACGATCGTCTTCTTCTTGCCGGTATCCTTAATGAACCTAAATAGCTGCTAGGTGCTACCCAAAGCTGATACCTTTTCCATCTCTCTCGCTTTCGCTACCCACCACTGCTCGCAATCGACTCGAGGACTCTTGATTAGTATACATTTAAGTTGCATTCTCTGTTTATTGTGGCCAGAGCTAGCTGGGATAAGTCTTCTCGCATCAGCAGTCAGTTTGGATGACGTTGCTGAAATTCATTGACGTTTGCTAACCTTTGGGTGTAAGTTACCAACTGTCTTTACCGCTGTTTCTACAGTAGACCTATCAGCACACCAGATTTCATCAGAATAAGCATTGCTGCCTAGTGCAGCTAAATCCTGATCTATCTCTTCCCTAAATACTCATTTGGTGTTCTTATCTTCCGATCAAATACGCACACACTTAATTGCCGCCTGTTTTCTGCGACCTGTAAAGTGTAAACATATACGAGACCGTACTAGCGCGTGACCGGAGTCTAAAAAGGTACTCCAGAAAGAGTCGGTTCTCCATCGATCCTCTCCAACGATGGGTCATTATTATTATTAGTCCCTTGGGTTCCTAGTGGAACATAGGGCTTCAGTAGCACGCCTCCAGTGACCTCTGTTCTCTGAGATCTTTTGAACCTGGTTCCACGACAGCCCAGAAGCTCTCATTTCCTCCTCGCATGACCTCCTCCATGTCACCCTCGGACGTCCAACTCGTCGCTTCCCATGGGGATTCCACTCGAGGGCCTGACGCGTGATGTCCTCAGTCGGCCTTCTCAGTGCATGCCCAATCCATCTCCACTTCTTCCTGCATATTTGTTGCGTGATAGGTTCTTGGTTGGTTCGTTCCCAGAGTTCCTTGTTGCTTATTTTTTCTGGCCATCTGATCTTCAGCAGCGAGCGTAAGCAGTTGTTGATGAATGTCTGTAGTTTATTGGAAATGCCTTTCGTGACGCGCCAAGTCTCTGAGCCATACAAGAGCACTGACTTGACGTTGGTGTTGAAAATCCGTATCTTGTTCCAGATGCTGAGTGCAGAAGATCTCCACACTGGTTTCAGGCTAATGAACGCCTGTCTTGCTTTTCCGATTCTGACTTTGACGTCCTCGTCCGTCCCGCCTGTAGTTGAAACAGTGCTTCCTAGATAAGTGAAGGAGGTTACTTCCTTCAAGTTTCTCCCGTTGACGGTGATTGGAGTTTGTTGTTGTTGTTGATGGTGGTGGTGCGGTATCTTCATCACTTCTGTCTTCTCTATATTCACCTGAAGTCCCGTCTTGGCTGCCTCTTCTGTCAACTTGTTAGTTTTTGCCTGCAGATCTTCAAGTTTATGTGACATTAGGCATAAGTCATCGGCGAAATCCAAGTCTTCTAGGTTCTTTTCCGTCGTCCAGTGTATCCCCCTCTTCTCGCTGCCTACTGTTTGCTGCATGATCCAGTCCACCACAATAAGGAATATCATGGGGGATAGTAGGCAACCTTGTTTCACTCCTGTCTTCACTTCAAAGGCATCACTGAGCTTCCCATTGTGGATTACTTGGCATGTGGCATCTTCATATAGTTGTTGAATGAGGCGGATAAAGGTTTGCGGTACTCCGTAGTATTGAAGCAGTTTCCAAATTACTTCTCGGTCGACGCTGTCAAAGGCCTTCTCAAAGTCGATGAAGTTGAGGTGATTGCCATTCTACGCTCTGTTCTATGATGATACGAAGCGTTGCAATTTGGTCTGCACATGATTTGTACTTCCTGAAGCCTGCCTGTTCCGGTCGCAGTTTTGAATCCAGTGCATCCCTTAGCCTCTCCAGGATGATGCGGCTTAATATTTTACTTGGGGTGGACAGGAGAGTGATTCCGCGCCAGTTCTTGCAAGCACTGAGGTCTCCCTTCTTCGGCAGTTTGACAAGGTAACCCTTCTTCCAATCGTCCGGTACCTTCTCTTCCTTCCACACCTTCTGCAATAGTGGTGTGAGCATGTCCGCTGTTGTCTCTGCATCTGTTCTCAGTGCTTCTGGCGGTATTCCATCTGGTCCTGCTGCTTTCCCGCATTTCAGTAGCTTTATGGCGTTCAGGACTTCCATTTTCGTTGGGGGATTTATGTTCACTTGTAATTCAGCGGCTGCAGGTGGTATTTCTGGACGAAGTGCAGGTGGTGGTCGATTCAAGAGCTTCTTGAAGTGGTCGGCCCATCGTTTCCTCTGTTTCTCTTCTTTTGTAATTAAATTTCCTTCTTCATCTTTTATTGGTTTCATCTGTGTTGGTCTCTTCCCTGATAGCAACCTGGTTATTTGATACAATGTCGTCAGGTCTCTCTTACCTGCAGCCTGTTCTGCTTCACTTGCCAGTGTTTCGTAGAAGTGTCTTTTGTCTTTGCGTGCACTCTTCTTCACTTCTTTGTCCAGTGTTTTATACATTGTGCTCAGTTCCTCTTGTCGTTGAGCATCCTTGCACTGGTTTATCTTCTGCTTCACCATCCTCCTCTCCTCTATCAGCTTCCAGGTATCCGTCGAGATCCATTCCTTGTCTTCTTTCTTCTTCCTTCCTAATACGGCTGTGCAGGTTTCTTTCCACATAGCTTTCAAAGACTTCCAGTGTTCTTCCACACAGGTTTCTTCAGGGATGTCCCTCGATGTCTCCCATTTTGTCTTGATGGCTGCCTTGAAGATCTCCTTTGTAGTTTCATCCTTCAGTTTCCGAGTGTTGTACTTGAATTGAGGTCTATCACCAGCTTCCTTGAAGGCTTTTAACTTGATTTCGAAGGTTCCTTGCACTAGATAGTGGTCTGAACCTACATCTGCTCCTCTTCTTGACCTTGTGTTAAGTAGACTGCGTCTCCATTTTCTTGAGATTGAGATAAAGTCGATTTGATTTTTAGTGTGTCCATCTGGTGAAATCCATGTCGCTTTGTGGATATCTTTGTGCCTGAACACACTGCCTCCAATCACCAAATCGTTGAATGCACAGAATTCTGCAAACAATTCTCCATTCTCATTCATCACCTCAGCTAGCGCCTCTCGACCCATGGTTAGTTCTCTTCCCGTGTTGTCCCCTCCCAGTTTGGCATTCATGTCGCCCATTAGAATTTTGATATCGCCAACTGACGTCTTGTCCAGTGTTGATTGAAGTTGTCTGTAGAAATCCTCCTTTTTCTCTTGCTCTGCATTATTTGTAGGTGCATAACATTGTATGATTGTGACCTTTCTTCCTTTTGAGTTGAATCTTGCTGTCATGATCCTGGAGGAGATTGGTTCCCACTGCATGAGAGCCTTCGATGCTCTTGAGGACATCATGATAGCCACTCCCTCAGTGTGCTCGTGGTTGGCGTCTGGGTGACCGGAGTAGATTATTGATTCTCCAGTTGACAGTTTGGAGAGTCCACTCCCATTCCATCTGCTTTCGCAAATCCCAAGCACTTCGATGTGATACCTTCTCATCTCCTTTGCAATCTGGGCTGCCTTACTGGGTTCAAACATCGTGCGGACATTCCATATCCCCATCCTTACTTTCGCTTTCATCGAGAGAAGACACATCGGCCAATTGGCTTCCCGAAGGCTTTCACCAACTGGCGTCATTTCGCCTCTCCGATTCCAGCGGGGAATAAGTTTGTTTTCATTTTTTATATTTTGTTTGTGCTTTGAAGTTTCTTTAGCGGTTAGATTTGTTTTACGGGGTAGGGTTGCTAGCCCTATGCCCAACCTTCCCTCTTTACCCGGGCTTAGGACCGGCTAGTAACTAGTAAACTAGTTAACCAGGCGAAGATTCACTACAATGGCCAAGTGAGGTTAACTTAATAATCACACTTGGTCTCTGTGTACATGTCTCATAGGCACGGCATAAATCAAGATTCTAGGGTCTTGAAGAGCGATGCTTGCTGTCCGACTCAGCATAGAGTTCGGACGTTGAAAGTTCTTACTTGAAGTCGATAGCAGGTCCTTAGGAGACTAGGAATGTAGTTTCGATGGCTTTGGTCGTTGGCAATGGTCGCAGAATGAGAGGGTGGAGAAAGTGTAAAAGGTTTACCATTAATATCAGTAGGTGAAGGCAAAGGTGGTGACAGAGTTGAGGAGGTTGGGTTATGTTTGATTAGCTCATGAGTACTACTGAACGCATGGAGATGGTTGACACTCTCCAGCTGTCCACATCTTCTAAGGCCAGTTCTTCTTGGGCTACCTGAAAGTGAAGGGATAGTGTGTCCACAGACCCCATGAAATATGTCTATCTGCGGCCTGTCACATCCTTTTGAGGATTGTTTAAACAAGGTATGATTGCTCTGTCGCCAGGTAGAGAAAAACAATATCACCGATACCGGAAGAACGTGGGGTAGGGAGCAGTGTGCTATTTTCGGGAGCAACCTTTTCCAACCATTCGCTTCCCTTTGGGAAGGCAGCATCAGGGTTGCACTGCTGGTCATTCAGGGGAAACTCCTCACTGTTGTCAAACCATCCAGCCAGAAGTACGACTTCACCGTCGGATCCCTATCATAGTACAGCAATTTGCACTACAGCGGTAGCCACTTTTCGTTCTACCACTATCCAGCAGACCTTTATGGCATGTTATGACCTCAAGGGAATAAATGTTCCACGTAGTGTAGCTCGTTAGGTTATTGTGATTTGCAAGCATGATCACCATACCAAGCTAGCAGGAATCGGTTGACATAGTATCGTAAAATGAAATAAGTAGACTACTTCAAATGTGCATTTACAAAACAAACTAGTTTGGCATTTTTGGAAATATCTGCCATAGAATCATACCTATTTTAATTCATTTCGGAGTTGTATATATAGCCTGCTGTCACAAACCTCAACAAAACACCAGGAAGAATCAACTGCTATCATCAATTTTATGTGATTATTGTTATTTAATAATAAAATCATAAAAAATTTTTTTTTATATATCTTATCATTACTACACAGAAATTGAATTGGTGAACATAGTTTACATTATGTAATGACTAATATACATTGGGAACCTTATTGATAACTAGAAATAAGGATTAGGATATTGTCAAAGGTGGAGTGATGAAATCATTCTCTTCACTGATTCCAGTAACAGGTATACTTAATGCTACAGCCGCACTTTTTGGTTTGAGACTAGTATTTGACTTTCTTGATCGCGGCAATACTTTTCACTTCGGGAGTGTGAGAGCTGCTCTAAGCTATTGAAGATTGCAGTTAAGCATTCATATTCGAATGTTCACTCTCCAATTAAACTTAACTGAACCACAGATATACTTCTTGAGCTAACCGTTTATCTTACATACTATTTGTTCGAATCACTTTTAATCTTTTTACTTCGTATCGTAATATTAACGTGTTATTTTGAATGTTACGCTCTTGCTACCTTCGATTTAACGTTAATTTGGTATTTTTCAGGTGCGGATGGATCCGTACGTATGTTCGATCTTCGACATTTAGAACATTCTAACATTGTCTATGAAGATTCAAATCATTGCCCACTTTTGCGTCTAGCTTGGAACAAACAAGATGCTAACTATCTCGCAACATTTGCAATGGACTCTGTAGAAGTGAGCTACTTCATTTTCTCTTCTTTTGAAAAATGTGTACTGTTAGTCTCTTACCGATTGGATTGGATTTCGTCTCGCCACGGCCTCAGAAACTTTATTTTTATTAATGTTATGAAAGTTGCCGGAAGGCAGATGAAATCACCGAGTTAGGTCATGCATTATGTCCTGCAGAATGAAAACAAAGACCTGTTCCTTGTTGTGAACTCGTCACTCTGGTAGATTTAAGCTGCTAAAATTCTCCTTCACTATCCAATTCAAAATATAGAGCAACTAATAATCCAGTGTTATCAGAATTAGGACATACTGTTCGTTTTATGGAGCACATTTTAAACAACTTGCTTCAATGTTTTCCAATGGAAAAGTTTGATGGAAAGAGCGGAAGGGTAGTTCACAGAAAATTCTGTTTTAATCCAAAGGTTATCTAATAAAAATAGTGACGGAGATCTTATTCTGTTTGAGTGGAAATTTTTAAATGCATGAAATGTGTAACTCATTATCCAAAGGCAGGTTCATGTAGTAAGCAAATCTTGTGACGGGTATTGTTACTACCTACCTTCCTGGACCTCTATGTTTTGGGTGGGTTCTGACTCGTTATGAAAGTTACTCGCTATATCATAAGCTAGGTTTATTTTTGAAATAGCCTTCTGTGATAAAACATAATTAAGCAGGAGAAGAATAAATTCAATTCTCAGGTCAAGATTCATGTCTGATGTTGAGTTCAAGTGTATGTCCGTTACAGTGAGATTCATGTTAAGTTGCTCCGTATATATATATATATATATATATATATATATATATATGCCCTTGAAAAACGTTGGGCCCGATCTGAAATCACTTGCTACATCAGCCACTTGTTACGATAATTTTATAATTCTACACTGCTTTTTATCTTTATGTAGATAATTATTTTGGACTTACGAGTCCCATGCACCCCAGTTGCCCGTCTAAACAATCATAGGGCATTTGTAAATGGATTGGCATGGGCACCTCACTCAAGTTGTCATTTATGCACAGCATCTGAGGATTGTCAAGCTCTTATCTGGGATATCCAATCAATGCCAAGAGCGATAGAAGATCCTATATTAGCGTATACAGCTGCTGGTGAAATAAATCAAATTCAATGGTCATCAACACAACCAGACTGGATAGCTATTTGTTATAATAATTCATTGGAAATTTTACGAGTTTAATATTCCTTTCTTATTTAATTGTTTGATCTGCACACTTAAATATTTGCACATAAATACTTCCCAATTAATAACTTGTCTTATCCCAAGAAGAATGGAAAAATAGTGACCCAGGATAAATAGTTAAATAAGAAAAGTACAAGTTGAGACGCAAAATTAAGACGACTTTTTGATTTGTCTTGAGCGTCCTAGTTTGTTAGATGGGACAATAATCTACAAGATAATAAAGGGAAATAATCTAGGTAATCTGATAGATTTATAAGCATAAAATGCCGAGTTAGTGTGACAGGTTTTAGGTCTGGCTTTCAGGGTATCTAAAAAATGATAAGTACTAGGACTAATATTATAGTCTATTTGGTGACTAGCAGTGGAATTCAGGACGCGTTTCGTCCTGTTTGGGACTCGTTAGTTGGGTGTACTTGCATATCGGTGAGTGGTGTTCTCACCAAGACTCGAACCCAGTACTGATCGCTTCGAACGCCTGGGTATGAGAATCATCATTTGTGAAACTACTAGGACTCATACTTTGTTTCCATTACTTCGTTCTTCATCTTGTTGATTTCGCGTTGATGTCCATATTTAATGTTTGAACTGGTGTGTGATTGTACCAGAGTCTACATTGTTGTTTGCGAACGAAAGATTAGTTTGAAGTGATTGACCAATGGATCGAAGTGTAGGGTACGATTGCAAGAGAGGCTATCACTACTTGCTAACCTGATGAAATCCGATAAAGTCGTAGTAATTCTGAAATGGTCATGTCGATCAAAAGACTCATCTATCTTTTACGAAAGACTACAACTGACGCATTTAGTTTCAATTTTGCCAAGATTATCAGTCAAAAACACTGACACCTTAGCAACAATGAAATCGTGATGTGGTTTGTCATTATGAAAATAATGTACTTCACGTCTTATAATCAAAAAGTGAGGCTGTACAGATTTTATTCTGATTGCTGTTAAATTTTAAGCACTTGATTAGCAAACATATCATCAGATGCTAAAAATCCGTGCAACAATGTATATGGTGATTTGTGAAACAAATAAATGTTCTATGACTCCGTAGTGACAGAACAACATTAGATTTGATACAGTTACTAAATTACTCGTCACCGTAAAAAAAATTAATATATAAGAATCAACATTTTAAATAAACTAGTGGAAAGGGAAGAGTTACATAGTATTCGGTATGATATAAAAATGCATTTTGATCAACTATGAAAATTATTTATCATTAAAGTTACATGTGTATAGGAATAGTGACATTTTCAATGCAAAATTGATATTCAAAAAGCGTAAACAATAAGTCAAAGAAACCGGGAGTTTACATTATACTTCATACTAATGAGACACAATTTTAATTTCCAGAGATAGAAATCACTCTTGTAATTTGGTGATCAGTGATTTAATTCTTGGGAGAATAGACAAGAATTCATCTCTAGTTTGATACAACTCCCAAAAATTTGTCAAATGGCGTAAATAAGAATTTGACTTCATAAATACACGAATCTGGAACAAATAATGATAAGTATTATCTTTGCGATTAAATGATTTACTAACAAAAAATGAAACCAATAGATAACAGTTATTATTTTTCCCACCTAGATCCCCAGATAATGTTAAGTTTAGGTCTTTGGTACTGATATCACTTGTTGTGCTGTTGAATTACTTAGAAGTTGAAGGAAACCTTAGATGCAATTCAAGTTAATCGTTAAATTACAATAATATGTAATCACCTATCGATTCCTGTTATGTTGAAGTTTCTGCGTTAAATGCTATCGAAACATTGCTGGTTTCCTGTAAGTACATTTCAGTGTTTGCTAATTTCTTATGAAAAGATTCTAATGAAGGTACGAAATTGTTTAGTGCATATTATACAAATCACACTTGTTGAGATTATATATATATATATATCCATCACACTAATGTAACAAGTACTGAACACTTCACTTATCGTAACATTTGGCCAATGTATCCTTCATATGCAAAAAGGTTACTTGCCACGGAATTAGTCGAAATAATTTATATGCCAACTTTTCACCAGTTTACAGTTATCTAGGCATGAAAAATGCCCATGCATTTCATTGTGTTTATTCCTGTGGCAAACTCATATTAAGTTTGATTGTGAACTATGTTGAGAAGATAAGAAACGATAGTATAAAACTGAAACCAAACAACCCGACCGATAGCTGCTACCTTGACGTGGTGGTCGGGCTTGCATATCACAATGACCCAACGAGCTATGCTGGTGGAACGCTTGTTCCCTCGAGGTCCTACCATACCAGAAAGGTCTGTTGGGTAGTGGTTAGACGAAAAGCAGTTACCGTATAGTGTAAATTGCTACACTATGATGGGGGTCTGAGGGCGAAGTCGTACTGCTGCTAGCTGGATGGGGTGTGACAGCAGTAAGGTGTTTCCCTTGGATGACCAGCAGTGCCAAGCTGATGCTGCCTTCTCAGTGGAAGGGGGGGTTAGAAAAGGTCGGCCCCAAAAATAACACACTCCACCACGCCCCACGGTCTGCCGGGCCGGCGGTGTTGGTTCACTTGTCGTTTCCTTTCGACCATCCGGCCCCAAAAATTCAAAATAATCATACTCAAAAGGCTGGGTGTGACAGGCCTCAAGCAGATGTCCGATGGGCTCTGCGGTCACACAAATCTCTTTCAGGTACCTTAAGAAGAAATAGCCTTCCACGGTGTGGGCAGCCGGGAAGTGTCAACCGCCCTCACAACTCTGTCAGCACCCAAGTTTCTTCTGACTGCTATCCTCCTCCTCCATCATTACCTTCTAATCTTCCTTCACGTCTCTTAATTAATGATGCTGCATCATCTTCAATTTCTCCTACCTCTGCAGCCTTCGACAACGATCTGAGTCCACAGAACAGCATCCCTGGTCTCCTTAAACCACGCTCCAAATTACATATTGGAGCCTTCAATGTCCGCACCCTCCGTCAAATTGGCCAACAGGCTTCGTTGGCAAAGACTCTAGCAACTCGGGCATGGATGTGTGCTGTGTTTGTGAGACACGCATACAGGACCCAAGTGTGGTTATTCACCTGACCTCTCCTGACCAATCTGGTGAATCTGCAAAATTCACCCTTCGAGTTTCTGGAGATTCGATAGCTAGCTCTCGTGGTCTTGCAGGTGTAGGTATAGCATTAAGCACCAGGGCAGAAAACTCACTACTAGACTGGATCCCAGTTGATAGTCGCCTCTGCGCTATGAGGCTGAACGGCACAGTGAGAACTAAAAGGAATAGTGAGACTCGCCGTTGTCTCTTTGTAATCTCTGCTTACGCACCCACTGACTGTAGTTCGGATGAAGTGAAGGACGAGTTCTACCATAAACTGTCTAACCTCCTCTCGAAAGCCAAACGTTCGGACGTAGTGGTTGTTGCAGGTGACCTCAACGCACAGGTGGGTAGACTGAGTGAGGCAGAAAGGCACTTAGGTGGCACTTTCGGAATCCCAGCTGAACGTACAGATAACGGTGATCGCCTATTACAACTATGCTCAGATAACCGCCTATTTTTAGCCAGCACAAATTTCAGACATAAAGAAAGGCACTGTCTGACCTGGCGTCCACCGAGCTCGACTCAGCGATGGACACAGATAGACCACATTGCTATTAGTCATCGCTGGAGAGGATCGGTGGAAGACTGCCGCTCCTTCTGGAGTACGTGTTTGGACAGCGATCATGCGTTGGTCCGAGCACGTATATGCCTGCGTCTCAATGGACGTAGAAAAAATTTGGCAACAAAACCACTACGAGTTCTGCTGGACAACGAAAACACCAAAGCCGTGTTCAGTGAGAAGTTGGCTAGGCAGTTATCGGAACAAAAGACTGTCACTCATCCAGAAGAAGCTTGGTGCCATCTTCAGTCTACTGTAAAAGCAGCACTGGAGACTGTAGCCGACTCCAAGATAATGGCTAAAAAGAGCCAGTGGATATCAGCAGCTTCTTCCAAACTAATGGATGCACGTGAATGCATCCCTGCAGGCTCTGAGTACAATGAAGAGCGAGCGCAACTTAAAAATAAACTGACGAAAAGTCTGCGCAACGATCGTGAACAGTGGTGGGCAGCAAAGGCTAAAGAGATGGAAAAGGCAGCGGCGATCGGTAACAGTAGACAGTTATTTAGACTTATTAAGGAGACTGGGGGGAAATGGTCAACAACAGTTAGTGAGGTTATAGCGGAGAAGGACGGATCGGCGATTCACTCGCAGGGAAGGCGACTGGGACGATGGGCAGAACACTTTGAGGAACAGTTTAACTGGCCTCCAGCCACCATTGCGCTGCCCGCTATCCAGTCGGACCCTGAATGGGACATAGAGACAGGTCCCCCAACACTAGAAGAAGTTGAGAAAGCGGTAGGTAGCCTGAAACGGGGAAGGGCAGCAGGACCAGACGGACTACCTGCTGAGGTATACAAGAATGGTGGTAGAGTTCTCTTAGTCAGGCTAACGGAAGTGTTAGCCAGTATATGGGAATCAAATACGATCCCCTCCGACTGGTCTAAGTCACTCATCATCCCAGTCTTCAAGAAAGGCGAGAAGTCCTCTTGTGATAACCACAGAGGAATCAGCCTGACAAACATAGTGTCTAAGATCCTAAGTTCTATAATTCTCCGACGCCTGAGTGGAGCTCGGGAACAGCAAGCCCGAGAAAACCAGGCAGGCTTTAGACCTGGCCGTGGATGTATCGACCAAATATTCACACTGCGCCAGGTCCTGGAACATAGGCATGCTTACAGACGCCCGACAATAGCTGTATTTCTCGACCTGAAGGCGGCATTTGACTCCGTTGATCGAGAAGTCTTATGGCAGTGTCTGTCACTGAAAGGCGTGCCTAGTAAGTACATCACCTTATTGAAAGCTCTCTACTCGAACACTTGTGGGCATGTTAGAGCCTATGGTGAGTTGTCCAGGGAGCTATACTCATCAAGTGGTGTCCGTCAAGGATGCCCACTATCCCCATTCTTATTTAATTTTATCATAGATATTCTTATGGAGGTTTCCCTCTCGTCACCTAATTACAAAGACGTTGACCCGATCACAGGTGAATTTTCCTTAGATCTAGAATATGCAGATGACATAGTCCTGTTAGGTGAAGACGCTGACAAGATGCAGAGTCTTCTGAACACTTTGAGTGGGAATTTGAGAATGTTTGGGATGCGATTTTCACCACCCAAATGCAAATTTTTGCTCCAGGACTGGTCTTCAGCGGTACCGCGGTTAACAATAGAGAGTGAAGTGGTTGAGTGTGTTGACCACTTCACTTACCTGGGAAGTAGGATCAACTCCGGTGGGTTAGTTGCCGATGAGATTTCTGCACGGATACAAAAGGCTCGATTGGCTTTTGCCAATTTGCGCCACCTATGGCGCCGCCGTGATATTCGTTTGTCTATTAAGGGTCGCGTGTACTGCACAGCAGTCCGCTCTGTTCTACTGTATGGCTGTGAAACATGGCCATTGAAAGTGGAGGAGACAAAAAGGTTTCAGGTGTTTGACCACCGTTGCCTTCGTAGTATAGGACGTATTCCGTGGTGTCACCATGTGAGTAATGCAGAAGTTAGGTGTAGAGTTTTAGGGAGAAGAGGTAAGTCAGTCGACGAGGTTGTGAACCTTCATCGACTGAGATGGTTGGGACACGTACTACGTATGCCTAGTCACCGATTGCCTCGTCACACAATGTTGGCTGAGGTGGGTTCAGGCTGGAAAAAGGCCCGAGGTGGCCAGACTAAAACATGGCACCAATGTATGAAGTCTCTGACTGTTGGTTTAAGCCATGTAGGACGATGCAGACTAGGTGGTTGGGGTCCACGGGACAAGAGGAACCAGTGGTTGGAGACCCTAGGTGATATGGCTCAGAACCGAAGTCAGTGGCGCAGATGTATACACACATTATCCTCATCTTAACAACGCTATACCGAATCTCACTATTTTGTCACTCCTCTTTCCTTTCTTCTCGTACTTTATATTTCTTTTGACTGCATTCACTTATCTTCATCCTTCACCTCACTACCTTTTTACTTGATGTGCTGATATGAGGTGTGGCAACTCGGACCGTTACGCAGTAATGCCTGGTCCTATGTTGATAATGATGATGATGAAACCAAACAAATACTGATTAACCTACAAAATATTTTCACTTTTTTCGTCTCAAATTAAAAAAAAGATTTTCTTAACGACTTGGATCGAAATCCAGTCAGCAACCATGTGCGCATTCATACAGTGGGCAATGAGTCAGGCCTGCTGTGTAAGGTCTACTAATACTACCTTACTGCCCAAACCTGGGCAGGTGGAGAGATGTTCGAACCCGCAACTCACTGGTTGAAAGTTATCTCTCTAAACCAGTATACCATAACTCCACACTTTTTTAGCCTAACTTCTGGACGTTAGTTTTGCTGCTGCGTAGATGGAAATCATCGCATCCCATATGCTATCAAAGACTTAGTGGTCCTACAGATACGACAAACAAAATGGTTGTATATCGTTAGTCCTTGTAGTAAGTGTACCTAGGTGGTATTCACCCCTTTGTTGTTCTACCTCGTGTAGTACAGCTATCTAGAATCATTTAAGTTGAAGTTTTGCTTTTGATTTAATTACATGACAGGTGAGTTCCATATAAACTCCGCCCACTGGTACATGTTACCACTAAAACTAGAAGTATTGACTTAACTAATCCTTTCAAAGGTTAGTCGATTTGCTCAGTTGAATATATATATATATATATATATATATATATATATATATATATATATATATATATATATATATTATTTATTTGTTCCAAGTTTGTGCTTTGTTCACATTTTCACTAACAAACAGAATAAGCCACGTTCAACTAGCTATCTTTGGTAATTGTTGATAAGATTTACTTCACAGCACGCAGAATTATTTTCAGAATGATGGCTCTACACTTTCTTCATTAATAAGTCTTTGATTTCTGTAATTCAGTTTAGCAGTTATCAGACTTCAAAGTAAGTATCAAAGCATACAAGGAGTCTCACCTTTTTACTACCATACACTGAAGCTTCAATAGCACTCAGTACAACTGTGATTGAATACAAGGAACTCGAATCCGAATTTGAATCCAGCAGTATATCACGAAAACACTGAAGAACATCTAAGTCTATATGATTAGAAAAACATACATTTTGGTTTATTATTAAATTAACGGACGAAATTGTCGTTCGTTCCAATGCGATCTATATAAATGTGATATTCTTAACATGATATCCAGCCTTTATTTCAATTCGCAGAAATTTTTTACTTTACAATTTCGTTGTCTTGTTTTGACTGGTTGCACGAAACTACAGTATGTTATTATTTTATTGTAACTTTTAATTGTGAATATTATAGGTTGTAAGCAGCTGATGAAGACAGCTGAAACGATAAGATGGATTCATATGACTCGGTTTCAGTGTTTTTTCTTGTTCTTTTTAAGTTGGTAAAGGGAGATATGTGTGGAATTTGAAACAGTTTAACTTTTCAAAGCGGATTTTAGCCTCTGAACAACTGAGTTCGATTTGAATGAATAACACTTTTCTCCTTCATTATCTACTAACTACACAAGGTATTTTGGTACCAATTCCTCGAGAACTCACTTTAAAGCAATAGGTTTGTAGATTTTCTGACCAACATGAAATTGAGGTACACAAATCAGTCAGCGATAGGAATATATTGTCTAATATCAAACCACTGGTTTAAAAAAGTTTGGCTTATAACAGGAATGAGTAAGTTTTTTAGAACGACAGTTAGGTAAGGATGAGATAATAAGGGGTTTCATATGAAGTTCTGAAGATTTTACGAAGCATAAATGGTGTACAATAAAACTACAGGAATCCGTATTTCACTATTACAGCGATACTGCACTGTGACCCACTAATCGCTAGATAAATTGGTCACCAGTTTATAACCAGTGCAGCTATCTAATCCTTAGCATTGGTCAAAGTTTATTGCACGTAACACATCGTGTGAATATCCGGAATGCACGAGATAGCCGGTTAAAGAATCGGGAGCAAGCAATAATAACTTCCCCCTATGCTCTAGCTCTTTCTTTCTGCTCAGCTAGTCAGTCATTATAAACATAGGGCCTGGCCTAACTGCTTTTAACGTCTCCACTTGCTATATTTCACATTAAGGTATTCGACGAAATACAAAGAAATAGTGATGTTATTTTCAAAAATGGTTGAAAGCCATAAAACAGAAGGAGAAAGGTAAAAACTTTTCACAGTGCTATATCACTTAATCTGGTTCATCTGTTGGTGCGCATGTTGTACGAATTAAATGTAAGATGACGATGATACTATAAAGAAATATATGTACTAACTTGTCACTAAATTTACCAATAATCAAAATTACTTTCATCACAAAAAAGCTGAAACATATATACCAGTGTGTATAAATACGGTTTACGAAAAGATATACACTCACTTCCGATCAGTAATTTGATTTCAGTGTACTGTTTGTGCATAGGTTTCTTAAGATTACTAATGCTGTTTCTCGATTGCCAGGTTTGCAATGAGCAACACAATTAACTAGAACTACGGGTAGATCTGTAAATTGAATAAATTAACAGGTAAAAACAAGGCATTATAGCTATAAACCTACATAACTTTACGGGTGTGTAAATGCAACTGGAAATTTGTTACTATGGTAAATGCTCTTGAATAATATCAGCGACCAAAAGTCACTCACGCTGATATGAAGATTGTGATAGTCAGATCAAAGTGATTGAAAAATTAAAAAGCTGTTTAGGTTCATGACAATTAAAGGTGTACCTACACAATTTCATGCTTATAGAGGAGTCGATCTATCTGATTTTGAAGAATAGGCATGAAATACCTGATCAGTTTGCGAATTATTTACAATTATAATTTGAACTCCTTACAAATGGAATTTAAATTGTTTTATGTGAAACATGTTGCATAATACTTGTTGATTTATAAGTATGAAATGATCATTCCTTGTAACGTTAAAGTTTTTTAAATTCAGTTCATTTTGTCCTGTTATACTGCTGTGAGACATGGCCGTTAAGAGTAGAAGACATGAAGTAACTACAGGGTTTTTACCATAGATATCTTCGTAACATTGCTCGTGTTTTATGGAATCACCATGTGAGCAATGTTGAGGTCAGGCGAAGAGTACTAAGCAAGACAGACAAGTTGATTGTTGAGATTGTGAACCTTAGTCAACTAAGATGGCTTGCACGTGTATTGCGCATGCCGAGACACAGCCTATCTGGATGTGCCATGCTAAAGGAAGCTGGATTAGGTTACAGGAGAGTTTAAGGCGCTCAGATTAAGACCTAGCACCAGTCGATAAAGTCTGTTACTATTAGTCTGAGTCGTGTGGAGATATGCAGACTGTTTGGTTGGGATCTCCAAGATGAAAGGAAGCAGTGGTTGAACACTCTTGTTGATAGGACTAAAAATCGGTCACAATGGCACAGATTTATTCACTCCTTGACATCTTCTAAGGCTTGAATATTTGCACTAACCTTTATCCTCAAATTGTTTATTTTCTCACCCAACTTTATCTACTTTGATATCAGTCTTTTTGTATCCACCTATTCTCTATATGCTACTGTGAAGTGTGACAACCTGAATCGATGCTCTTGTGTACGAAGTTCTACGTTGATTTTATCTGACTGAAAGTAACTATGTTTCAGAATTTCGCACAGGCAAGAAACGATCTTATTTGAAAACTGGCCTTTTCAACCGTTTTGACTTCTTTAGCTTTTCTCTTCACAAAACCGATGGTATCGGTTGGATGTTTTTTTGAAATATGCTGCACGTGTACTTATTCTCTTTTTATCTATTTATCGCATCCATTATAGGTTCTGATACATCTATTAGCTACAATCTCGAATAATAAAAACAGTCCTCTGTTTTGGGTATTATTAAGATTCAGAGTATGCAGAATATGATGTAACCTATATCAATCGCACCTCTCACTGAGTACTTAAATGCTTGATCGAAATGATATTTGGGCTGATGTTCAAAAGATGGATGTCGCAAGACTAAATATCTTGAAGGAAAACCAACAGAAAGCAATTTTAAACTCTCATAATGGACCCCCAAATATACTTCAGATGATCAAATATAATGCTTAATCTATTTTTCAAATGTATTGTGGAAGAACTGAGGTTGCATAAGACTGTTCACTACTTGCAAATAAGATATGAATGCAGAAATCTCGCTGCAGATGTCGCAAGTTTACATACTCTTAGAAGCAAGACTATCCACCTTCTTTTCAAAATGAAACCAAGTTAATCCTCACTGATTAAGGTGATAACGTTTAGAACCATACAGTAGCTAAAAAAAATATGTTCACTCTTGTCTTAATAACTATCAAATAACAAGTTTGCACTGTTAATAACCCTCGGATTTCATCAAAAAACATGCAAGTAACAAAAAGATAGAAAAAACACGGTAGAACATGGTATAGAAGTGGATCAGTTTAGCTTGTTACACTTCACAGTACACAAAGATGAAGTGTATAGAAGCAGACAGCAGTAGGGGCATAGAAAGAAGGAATTGATCAGTGGAGGATAGCAAAGTGGCCAATATTTCGATGATGAAAAATGTATAAATCTGCATCACGGTGACGGATTTCCAGCTCTATCACCAAGGTTTTCGAAGCACTGATCCACAACATTTTGAGAACTATAATCAGTTAGCCTACATCTGCCACACTGTCCAGGTCAACAGACTGAGTTTTTATTATTATTTGAAGTTAATCTTACTTCAGTTAATACAATAGACTGTGAAACCATATTCACTTGGATTATTCGCCATATGGACAGTTTTCCATCAGTTCTAAAGCATAATGCTTATTCACATTCGGGTGACACACTAATAAATCCTGTGACAGATTAAAACGTTAATTCATATTCATTGAAAGCCTCTGTCAAATTGACTTAATAGAACAGGACGTAAGTAATACACCAACTTGTCTGACAGACTACCACCCGAAAAATCCGATTAATTCCTAAAAACCAGGAATATAAGGTTTTATAGTGATAGATTAATGTTAACTACTGGGTGAAAAGAATAAGAAGTAATGTTCCTCCATCGAAAAATATAGGGGTAGATATCATTTAGTCTTAAAGTAATTTAAAATGAATCATGATAATGGTTACAGTTTTGGAGTTGTGTAAATGATTAAGAATTTTATAATATATGTAGAAAGGTGGGAATAAATAAATAAATACGAATAATTATGAAGTTGACTAACTTGGTTGACTAAACAATATCTGTTGACCATCTTTAGAGAATGATAAATTAACTAACAACTGTAACCAAAGGGTAAGCATAAAATGACCCCGACGAGTTTTAATCATTGTACGTGGATTTAATCCTGATATTTGGTTAAGAATTTTCAACTAAAATAATTCAACGCAAAATATAAAAGAAATAAATTAAAGCTATGAGTGGATGAAAATAAAACGTTGTTCGGTATTATTTAAATAATATAATTGAATTTTAGATGTTCTTTCGCCAACCTGAGGACTTCATCAGAACTTACTTCATAAATGTTAAAGTAGGTACAACTTCTGTTTGTCTTTAAAGTCGCCAGGTCATGAAAAAAGTACATTTTTGATGATTTTAATCAGACTATGGTTTATAAAATCCAAACTTTGATCACTAATCACTGCATTATAAGTTTAAACTACTCTACTTGCTTCCAACCAAACAACAAGGTATCAATGAAATCTCTTGCATACATACTCACTGTAGCCCAGCAGATGAACTTATACAGGGTCACTCAGTAATTACTTTTATGTTTCAACAGGTTTGATTGTGTGATACACTTGACCTGTTTTGTGTTAGTTAAGACATGTTCCTCCTTTCTTGATAAGAGAAAGAAGAGAAAAGATAAGGGTGGCGAAATAAAGATGTGGTTCTAGGATTTCGGCTAGACATTTCGTGACTGGGTGGTAAGAAGATTCAGATATGTCTAAAACCGGACGAAGGGGTAGACCGACCTTGTAGATTTTCGGTAATCCGTAAAGTCGAAACTGTTTCGACACTATTCACTTCTTAAGAGATTTGCTACTCATTCTTGTTGCTATGTTCTGTCTGATCACAATTCAGTTTCCAAACTTCTTTTTAAAACTTAATTTGGTTAATATTCACTACTCATCAGTATTTTGGTTGTTTTTTATTTATTTTAATGATAACTCATTTATTGACACTATTTGTGTTGCCATGCTTGACAAACTGCTTTTAACTATCAAATCTTTACACGAGAAAAAAATGTATAAATGCGAGATTGTACAGCTTTGAAAATGAAATCGCTGGAAAGAGACTCTTCGCTGAAATACTTGTTATTCTTTCCTCTTTTATTTTTTCCCACAACTTTGTCTATATTGACAACAATCTTTTTCTAACCACCTGTTCTTTTTGTTCTACTGTAAACTGTGGCAACTTGAGCCGAAACATTTAGGTGCAGGGTTCTACGTTGATTTTGAAGGTCAGTCATAGATTCTTTGATATTTCCAAAGTCTTGCATACTTTCATTGACTGCTTTTTGTTTATTCATTTAATTGTCATACATTTTTCCTCCACCTAAATATTACTTTTTTCCGACCCACTTTTCTGTGCATTCTACTGTGAAGAAAGGAAAATAAAAATTTATACGATTCTGTTCCAGGTTCTACGTCCGTTTTTCTGTCTGTCAATAAGAAATTCAAGTTCGATGTATATCCACATCCTTGTTAACTAGCATTGTGTGAATGCACGCTGTAGAATTTCAACAACTAAACCAAATAATAGTTATTCTTTTTTCGGTAAATCTTTTGATCTGCATAACATACTATTTATCAGATTTATAAGTTTCTATCGCATATCGATCCTGAGTGAGTAAGGTCTTCCATTGGTGACATCTGAAATGTTTATGTTTTATAATATAAGGCAATTTACATTGTGCATTTAAGTAACTGTAAAGGTCTTCACACTGATGATTAATCATTTTTTGTTGGAATTCAGTGGAGCTTTGGTACAAGCGCTAAATAAACTACCCACCCAACCTGGTGATGAAACCTACATGACCAAATATCAAGGTATCGTGAGCACAGAATAAACATCTTCTTTACTGTGAAATGGAAATCTCATTTACTGTTGCAGTGTTTAAGAATTCTCCTATAATGGTATTTTGTGCTAAGACTGACAGCTTTATCTATGTAATCAAAAGCACAAAGTTGTAAAAGGATATGCAAAATGACAGAAATTCGATAATATAACTTTCTTTTCTTTAAGGTGAAAAATGAAATACCCGTTTTCATCACAGGGTAAAGTTATTGATAGTTTTTATCAAGCAAGAAACTTTCTAGAGTTAATTAATGGCTTAATTTGCAAATCTGATAAGTTACAGCAATAAAAAGCTGAAGACCATGATATCAGGTTACTTCAGCTTTATAAATAAGCACCTGGTAGTATTAGAAAACTATGTTATTTCCAAGTTATAATAATAATCAAAAGTATTGCATGATCAATATTTGCAAACATTTACCACTAGATCAACCAGATGACAGCTTTTGATACACTGAAATCAGGTCATCAAAATCGAAAAATATTTGTGGATAGATCATTCTGTTAAAGTGAAATTTCATGAATACACGTGGAAGTCCTTGGCGTCTATATTACGATAAAAGTGTATACAAAGCGAGCACACTGACCTTTTCCCAACCAGGTTAGGTCTTTTTACACACTAATTTCAACGACTATATATATATATATATATATATATATATATATATATATATATATATATATTTGTCCCTTGGATTCCTAGTGGAACATAGGGCTTCAGCAGCACGTCACCATTTCACACTCTTTCACGCAGTCTTTTGACTTGGCTCCACGATTGCCCACAAGCATCCATTTCTTTCTCACATGATCTACTCCATGTCACCCTCAGCTCGGACGCCCAACTCGTCGTTTCCCCTTTCGATTCCTTTCAAGGGCTCAGCCTGGCCTGGCGCATGATGTCCCCAATCGGCCTTCTCAGTGCATGCCCAATCCAATCCATCTCCACTTTCTTCTACATATTTGGTGGGCGGTGGGTTCTTGTTTCGTTGGTTCGCTACCAGGTCAGAGTTCCTTGTTGCTCATTGTTTCTGGCTGTTTGTCTGATCTTCAGTGTCAAGTGAGCGTAGGTGGCAGCTGTTGATGAATGTCTGTAGTTTGTTGCAAATGCTTTTCGTGACACTGCAAGTTTGTGAGCCATGTAGCAGCACTGACTTGACTGGATTGGTGTTGAAAATCCGGATGTTGTTCATGCTTTGTGCAGAGTGCAGTGAAGTGCAGTAGATCTCCACACTGATTTCAGATTAGTGAAGACCTGTCTTGCTGTCTTTGCAATCCTGTCTTTGATGTCCTCGTCTGTGGCTGTGCGGCCTGTAGTTGAAAGGATGCTGTCTAGGCAGTTAGGTGAGAGAGATTACTTCGTTTAAGTTTCTCCGATTGATGGTGATTTTGATTGGTGCTTGTTGTTGATGGTGTTGTTGGTTGGATATCTTTATCATCTCTGTCTTTTCTACATTCACTTGAAGTGCTGTCTTGGCTGCCTCGCCACTTCTGTCAACTTGTTGTATTCTGCCTGTAGATCTTCGAGTTTGTGCGACAAGACATTAGACATAAATCATCTGGGAAATGCAAATTGTGTAGGGTCTTTTTATGGGTCCAGCCAGCATATGCCCATCTTCTCGCTGCTCACAGTTTGTTGCATGACGCAGTGAACGACAATGAGGAAGATGATGGGTGACAATGGGCAGCCTTGTCTTACTCCTGTCTTCACTTCGAAGGCATCACTCAGCTTGTCATTGTGAACCACTTCGGATGTGGCATCATATAGCTTGTAGCTGTTGAATGAGATTGATAAAGGTTTGTGGCATTGCGTAGTGTTGAAGCAGCTGCCTGACAAATTACTTCTCGGCTCTATCGATGCTGTCGAAGTTCTTTTCAAAGTCGATGAAGTTGAAGTATAGAGTTGACTGCTATTCTATACTCTGTTGTATGATGATGCGTAGTGTAGGGTTGCAATTTGATCCGCACATGATTTGTTCTTCCTCAAGCCAGCCAGCCAGCCTGTATCGGTAATAATTTTGAATCCGGCGCATTGTCTAATCTCTCCAGGATGATGATGGTTAATATTTTTTTGGGGTGGACAGGAACATGATTCCTCGCCAGTTCTTACAGAGACTTTGGTTTCCGTTCTTTGGGAGTGGGACAAGGTAGCTCTTCTTCCAATCAATAGGCAGGTACCTTTCCTTCCTACCTTCCAAACCTTCAGCAGTAGTAGGGTGAGCATGTCCGCTGGTGTCTTTGGTAATTAGGTTTCCTTCATCATCTTTTATTGGTTTCTTCTGTGTTGATCTCTTCCCAGATAGTAACTTGGTTATTTGATATAGTGTTGTCAGGTCTCTCCTACCTGCAGCCTGTTCTGCTTCATTTGCCAATGTGTCGTAGAAGTGTCTTTTGTCTTTACGTGCACTCTTTTTCACTTTTGTGTCTAGTGTTTTATAGGTTGTACAAAGTTCTTCTTTTCGTTGTTTATCCGTGCACTGCACTGGTTCATCTTCTGCTTCACCATCACCATCTTCATCTCCCTCCTCTATCAGACTTCATGTGTCCTTCGAGATCCATTCCTTGTCTTGCTTCTTCTTCCTTCCTTATACGGTTATACAGGTTTCTTTCCACATCTCTTTAAGAGTTACATTGTTTTTCCACGCAGGTTCCTTCGGGGATGTTGCTCAATGTCTCTCATTTTGTCCTGATGACTGATGTTAAGGTGTCCTTTGAAGTTTCGTCCTTCCGTTTCTGTTCTAGGTGCTGAACTTGAACTGTGGTGTATCACCAACTTCTTTGTAGGTTTTCAACTTGATTCTGAATTCAGGTTGCTTGGACTAGATGGTGAATGGTGTGAACTTATATCTGCTCCCCTTCCTGATTTTGCATCCTGTAGGCTGCGCCTTCATCTCCACCTTTTTGAGATTGAGATGAAGTCGATCTGATTTTTAGTGTGATCATCTGGCGAAATAAAATCCATGTGGCTTTGTGAATCTCCTTGTGTTTGTACACACTGCCTCGCCTTCAATCACCAAATCGTTGAATGCACAGAAATCTGCGGACAGTTCTCCATTCTCATTCATTCTACCGAGTGCTTCCCGACCCATGATGAGTTATTCCCGTAATGTCCACTCTGAGTTTGGCATTCATGTCGCCCATTAGAATTTGACGCGGCCATTTGGGGTGGGCTCTTGCCCAGTACTGATTGCAGTTGTCTGTGGAATTCCTCCTTCTTCTCTTCATCTGCATTATTTGTAGGTGCTTAGCATTGTATGATTGCAACTTTCCTTCCTTTTGAGGAGATTGGTTCTCACTGCATGAGAACCTTCGATACTCTTGAAGACATCATGATAACCATTCTCTCAGTGTGCTCGTGGTTGTTGTCTGGGTGACAAAATCGAAGTAGTTTATTGATTCGCCAGTTGGCAGTTTGAAGAGTCCACTTCCATCGTTTTTCATGGCTTCCAAACATTTCTGTTCTATACCTTCTCACCTCTTTTGCAATCCGGGCAGTCTTGCTAAATTAAAAGATGGTTCGGACATTCCATGTCCCCATTCTTACTTTCGTTTTCATCGAGATAAGACACATCGGCCAATTGGCTTCCCGAAAGCTTTCACCAATCGGGTTGATTTCGTCTCTCCGATTCCAACAGGGAATAAGTTTATTTTCATTTTTTATATTTACATTGTGTTTTGAAGTTTCTTTAGCGATTGGATTGGTTTTGCGTGGTAGGGTTGCTATCCCTATGCCCGATCTGTCATCTTTATCCAGGCTTAGGACCGGCTACTAACTAGTGAACTAGGTAACTAGGTGAGGTTATATATAAAAATCTATCTACAAATATAACAGGAAAGCGGCCCACTGGTTCTTTCTTGTTGGTCTGATAAGACATTAGCTGTTGATAAGGTTATTCTGATCAAATATTGGCAAAAAGCATAACTTGAAGCAGGAACATTTCTATTTTCAACAGAACTGATGGCTAAAAATATTTCTTCTTATCAGCACAAATACTTTTTCGCTCTAAGTATATCTGGCTTAACTGATACGATAAAATAATTCCAAGTATCACATCAGTGAAAAACTGTTCAATCCATTGACTAGAATGTAACTTGCTCGCCATGAGACATGATGGCACTGAACTCGATACCTAATAAGGACATTGGTGCATGCTGTCTAAGAATAACAATTCAGGATGAAACGAATGTGATAAAATCACCTTGAAGTCTACTTTTATATATTCTGAGATGTTTTCATAGTGGCATGAAGTCATTTGGTGAAGATTTAAATAAAAGTGGAAGAGACTAAGCAAAGTTGGTCAATGTCATTTTACAGCAATCTGCAACTATTTGATAATGTATAAGTCATAACAACAACAACACTTGAATATATACTTCATCAATGAAAAGTTAGAGGGTAATGCTAGAAATACAGAATAGTGATGAATATCTTTGTAGATATTTTCAAAAGAATCTTTGGTAGTAAACGAATCATCAAGTTACTAATATCATGATAACATTCGTCATAAGAATTATCAATACACAATGAAAAATAGAAGGCAACAATAATAAAACAATGATCAGATCTGCTTACTTTGAGTAGAGAAGATCGTGTTTCAGTAGCCCAAACCATATTAGCTAATAAATGGAAGACTAATTTACATGTAATTTCTTGATGTGTACTGCTAGTTTGTTTGCCATAAATATTCGTCATCAGAGTGTTTGTATAACATCCAATATTTGATTCCGTTAATACCAATTTATTGTGTGTTGGAATTAAATTACACAATGATTGAACAAATGAACTATTTATCGTTACAGAATTTGATGAATTGACAGTTGAAATTTGAGCTATTTTGAATATTGTATGAATGAAAAGAAAGAAGGGAAAAACAAGATATGCAGGAAAATATTGTTATGGCTGTTAACAAGTAAATTTGAACTAATTATACCGACAAAAAGACGGCATATCGTATACTTATTGAGAGTTACCTAAATGTGCTTGGTGTTTAATTTTGACATAGTTCAGAGAATGAATAATTGTGAAAACAGCTATTCAACAGTAAGCGACATATGCTGGTATACAAAAGAGAAATAAAGCAAAATTTTTTAGCATGCATTTCAGCTTATATATTGAAGGAAGAATGACTACTATTGCTTATGATCCACAGTATTTAGATTATTATTGAAGTTGCGTTTCAAAATAGTGACAAAGTGATATGGTGCTCAGTGAAAAAATGAATTTTTTGCTCACTTCGTGATGGAGACATTGACATGTACTACTGGAGGGTTATAGACAAGGTAAGACAGTTGCCTATCGCTCTTTGAATTTCTCGAGTTCTCACGTCAGCGCCTAACCATGGCGAAGTCTACTTTGAAATTACCATTTATATGTTTGTTGTCGATTTGATAAGATTGTGAGTACTTTCAGAAATTTCGTGATAATGATTTTCTTGGTTCAGAGTAGTTAGCAGAGATATTTATGATTCCATTTAAATAACACTCTAAAGCCTTAAGCTATCTTTTATTGAAGCCATAACGAAAGGAATATTATAAGAATATATAGTCAGATCAGAAACTAATGAATTACCTGTTCCTAAAAAACATGACTTAAAAGTGAATCACTCTCATAATACAAACAGATATTATATCTAGCTTTTGTTACAAGTAAAGAACGAATTAAACAAAGTCTAAGTGGCAAGGTAATTAGGCAAGCAGTCTAACCAGTGAGCATAAAAGGCTATGTGATAAAGGCTGATCAAATTGAGGGAATTAAAGATCATATAGTAGGTTAGTCCACATTCACAATAATATTTCAGTTGATGACCTCCAGTCATACTCAGTTAACCCTGACAATTTGGCAAATTAAATATGAATTATATTAATTCTATGATACGTAGTCTGGATATGGGTAAGCATTTTATTTAGATATACGCATGACAGGTCAGTATTTTTTAACCTTCTAATACTGGTGGATTCAGTGCTTGGCTCTAATGAATTGGTTTCCTTGGTTAGATCATATACTGTCCCACTGAACCAATTTATAAACAAATACACAAACCTCTCAGTATTAATTTCGCATCACAAAAAATTTGTAAATTTAACACGTTTTTCCAAGAATAATGACCGGAACATTTGAAAAGTAGTAGTCTCCGTTGATAATAGTTTAGCATGCAGGCTAAACAGTTAAACAATGATAGCCTTATGACGTTTATCCTTGAAAATTAACAGTTTGTCTCTTACGAATTGTATCTTTACTCTAATAATGTTACCTAACTTACATTCATTATTGCTAAGGGAAGTGATAAATCGAAAAGCCAAAAAACCTTGAATGTCATGATCAAAGCCTTTCTAATTAGATACAACAATTACTTATTCTTTTATAGTGAATTTTGTTAGACTTTTCATCTTAGACAATAACTGCAGTAAATGTTATGTAGCTTATTAAAAAAATTTAAGGGATTTCTCGATGAACAAAAAAGGGTGATTTATTTATGGTTGACAGTTGAAGTAATGAAATGAACTGAATATATGATACTGCCAATAATGATATAAAAAAACCCATCAATTCCACTTGTTGACAAAACCTCTCTCTGTTCAAAAAAGCAGAGAAAATAGAAAATCATCTAAACTAATTTGACGACCGTAAATATTCAGCCTATAGTTGCTACGATTGTCGTCGGAGAATTGGAGAGCAAAGTCTGATTTAATCATTGTAAAAAAAAGTTTAAGCATACTTTCAGTGTGTTTAGAAAATCAAAACAAGGATATATCGCACAAATTTTGATCTCTAATAGAAATTAGAATATTCTGTTGAAGAAGCTGTGGCTTACACAGTAAAATATCCAGATAATTCTTGTTTCGATTTTCTAAACATCCTAGGATTATACAAAGTAGTACTTATATAATGATTGACAATGTACAGAAATATAGAAGTCATAAAGTAGCTCAAATCTCAAAATGATCTGAAATTCTCAGATCCATTGTTAAGAAAATGTCAGTAGAGCAAGTTTACATACATAAGTTCATTAGAAATGAACACACACAAAAAACATTCTTCGCTACAATAGTAAAAACCTAATGATATATAAATACATTTACTGAGGTAAATAGCAGACAGATAAGGGAATGGAAAATTCGCTTACATAAATTACTTCAACAAAACGAATACCCAAAGAGCTTCATCAAAAAATGCCCTTCCAAAGACCTTCAACTATTTGATGGAATAAATAAGAGGTTTCCCCTCCATATATTAGATATAACGGAGTCAACTATTTCGAATAAGTGTATCTCATGAACCTACAGAAACATACCAAGGCATCCTTTGCACCGTAAAAGATTCAATATCGCAGTAGGAAGAATTAATCGTAATCTATAGAATCAACTGTGTGAACTGTAATCTGGATCACCTGTTGCTCAATATATATATATATATATATATATATATATATATATATATATATATATATATATGAAATGCAAGTAGGATGTCATGAAATGAGGCAACTTATATCATTCATTATAGGTCGACAAACATGGTTACTGGGAAACCCACGATTTCGGACTGTGTTACCTAGAGAACAGTGAAACGAGTCATAGAAGTATGGCACTGGAGACGAATGGACATGTATAACTAGATAGTTTACGAACTTGTCAAGAAGTGCGTAGAGCATATCCTCAACAGCAACTTCTATTCGAAAGAATCAAAGTAAAAAACAACGAATATTAGCGGAACAATAACGTAAAGCTCTCTACTACAGAATTCCTTCCATTCTAAAAAAACAGACCAAAGTGAAACAAGTAAAAATGTATTCAGTAAGCCAAACAGAAGAAATGAAGTCTACTTAAGTTAACCAAGTTCGGAAAAGAAGGAAAACCGATCCAGTTTGAGGCAAAAGACAGAACAATAACCCAACGGAAATAAACTTCAATGTTGAAATATTAAAACTAATAATGGTGACAATACCTCGGTTGCATGGAAACAGGAGAAGCAATAATTGAAGAGAATTACAAGGTGAACTAACAACAAACCAGTCAAGAAGAAAGTATTGGACAAACTATCTCTATAGTTGCATTGCTTAACTAGTATCTTTTCCAACAAGTATTCATGCAAGACACACCAACTGAAATTCTTTGTAATGTTTTGGGAAAAAATTGAGCCTTGACTTGCGTCGAAAACTCTATCAAAGAAAAAACTTGAGACTAGAAAGTAATTCAGTAACCATGACAACTGATAGGCAGAAAATTTGTGGTAATTATATTGTACATTTCTACAAATGAAATAATATTTTCAGACTCAAATTTCTTTGAAGCTAAGCAATTGATGAAGATGTGAAAGGTGATTCATATCTCAACAAGAAACAAAATACTACATAATCATGTAATTCAAAGAAAAGAAAACTGTACCATCGGATTTACATCTATTTGTTTGAAGGTTACTCCTATTAGAGCCTGTATTCTGGTTTGACTGGGAAATTACACATGGATTAATTTTCAATGAATTAGGAGGATTAACCAAAATAGATGAAACTTGTGGACAATCAGCAGTTAAATTTGTTAGCAGACCAAGTAGTGTATGTAGAATTCGTGAGTCTTGTAGAGCCAAAGGCCAAATGTTGATTATTAACTGTAAGAGATAATAATAGATGGATTTATTGAAATGAGTTTTTTAAACAACTAAAGCAGCATTCAAAACTGTAAACAATGGAAATGTCAAGTAAATGAAAATAGGCTACTAATTTAAATAATATCTCAAGCAAAGAAAATATGAAATAAGACAGAAAAATATCTCAATTAGAATAGCATTTTTATACGATATGTCAAACAGACTCGATTGTAACAAACAGTCAGTTATTCGATTCTATGAACATGTCTCAAGAAATTTGTGCTTGCAAGGGAGCACAGTTTTACAAGTGAATTAGCCAAACATCCGATGGAAACCGGACAACAAACAGATACCTTCACAGCCTTCAGAGTCATAAACAAACAAAAGCTGTCAAAAGTTTAGTGAACTTTTCTGAAGTCAAAGTAAACACATCTTTAAAACCTAATCTATGAATACAAAAGGAGACTGAGACAATTCACATTTTACCCTGGTAATTCGTTCTTTTGGGTTGCATTACGTCTTCTTTTCTACGGAATGAGTTTTGATAAAACCTATTTTGATGGTTTTTGATTATTTATAGGCTGAAGTAATTTCTCAAATGTTTGTAACTCCTTTTCTTTTTGTTTCCTTGTCTATATGACATTTTTAAAGATCTAGAAATTATCAGATTAACCATACCCAACGACAGCTGTGGATGAAGGTTGCGCTAGTATCGAGAAGTGATAGAATTAGGGGAATGTGAACCATTGGATTCAGACCCAGTGCTTTAATGACAACGTGCTCGCTGAGAGACCTGAAGGTCTTAAGTTCGGACACCTGGAGTGGTCATGGGTGCACACTACAGAGGAGCTTCATGCTAGGACAAAACAGCTGTCCAGTGCTCCTAGATTTTCAGTGGTTCTCTAACTGATGGCAGTCCATGATGAATACCACTTTGAATATTTGTACAAAAAATGACGTCATTTTGTTGTTTGAATCTGATCATTCTTGCTTTTTTTAAATTTATGTAGAGAAGCAGATGTATGAAGGTCGTATTCGCTTTCCGAAATGGTATGATTTAAAAGTTTTATGAAGGTCAAGAAAATGTATAAATTATGGCATGCTTGAGTTCAGTAGCTCATTTTGATTCGGTGAAGTGATCATCTGTATGTTCATTTTACCACATATTAAGTCATAACAGTATGCAAGATGATATCGAAAAGACTGACTTTAATGGTTGCTAACATTCATCGCGACGTCCATTGAAAAATGAAAGCCTAACAGAAAGTGATATTTTGGTTACTCCAGACAAAGATAAGAAACCGATAAATACAAAATTACTACGCAAACGGATGATTTTGTCGATAAACCGTTGAGAGATAATATAAGCAACAGAAATTTCATCCAACATACGCCTCAAAACTGAAAGGAATAGCAGTGTTAATTTGTACTGAAAATGATACAAGACAAGAAATCGTATTAAGAATATCAACTGAACATAGAAAAGCGGATTGGACTCACCAGAATAACTCCTGATTCCATAGCACGGATTCTGGCCTCTGAACACATATATACAAGATTATGCAAAATTTCTAAATTAGAAATCATTTCATCTGAAAGCTTAAGCCATGCGGAGAGAGCTAGTTGGCGACGTTGACATTTCTGATCAACTGATCCTTTAGAAGATATAGAACGTCTTGAATCACATGAATTCGGTCTGTCAGATTCAGGAAGTTCATTCACATTCATACAACATAATTCCATTTTAGCGCGAAGAAGCTGAAGTTTGCAATTGACTCTTCTATAAAACCATCTACATCGGGGATAAAATAAACAAGACTAAGAGAGTAAAATGTACAATACCTAAGTATGATTTGATTTCTGCAAGAGCATTTCAATCTGTTGTTTTAACGCCTTAGTTTTGTAACTTAGTTAAAACTAACGTCATCCTCACTTTGAGAAACTGCATGAGATGACAGATTACCTCTAAGTATTTTTTATGGTAATAAAGTAATGTTTATTTCTTTGCACCACAACAACTATTCCTTATGTTATAAATTCATATTGCTGAGAAATGCTTGAACTTAGATATTCACCTGGATTATATGATTATATGGATACTAACTGATTCCTAAAATCGTTGGAGTGAGTTCTTATTGGTCAATGAAGTTATGAACATAAGAATTGCTGTTGAAATAGACGTTTATCTAACGAAACATCGGATCATACAGATGGGTTAAATATGTCGAATACTTGTAACGCAAACATTGAGTATTGCGCGACTTTAATTCCACTTTAGTGTGAAAAAAGAATGATGAATGGAAACGATCAAAACTGATAAACAATGAGTATGTACTATGATGTGATATTTTCCTACTCTTCATAACTTCCAAACACTTTTGATACTATGATAGAGTTGAATATCATTCCAAGCGTACCAGTCACGATCTCTTAAATGTAGTAGATTTCTCGACCAATATCAATTTGATGATGCCTGTAAACCGGCTTTTCTCATGTTAAATTCATAATCAGAGAATAAAATATTTTTTATTTATTTATAAACACTTTAAGGAAGAAATTCCCAATACATGTGTCCAATGAAAATAACCTCTAACCGTGACTTTCGATTAATTTGGAAAATGAATCATTTCAGCTTTGAATTTAGTAACAGGGTAGCTCGCTGGGTTAGACACTCGACTGTCAACCAGCAGATCAGAGGTTGGGACCGACAGAAGTTTGAGTAAACAGGAACAAAAAACCCTTGTTTACACGACAGTTGTGGCTTATATTTTGGTGAATGGATTTGTATATTATTACTGACCTATAATAGTATTATTGTGGTATATAATCAACTAATTTAAAAGGGAACAGAATCTTAGTGTATGTGACATCCTGAAAGCGAAATGTTAGATGAAAAATGTTGCAGACAATAGAAATAAGGAGGCTTTCTTGCAGTATTACAGACTATTATTTCCTACTGAACTCAGGTTGAATAAACAGAAATAATACAGTATTTACCATTGCTTTGGTTCAATGATTTACATATTCGACTCATTTGTAAACACCCTACATTTTTCTTGAATGGTTTAAACACTTGCTCTCAAGCAGAAGATATAGCTTACAAATCAATATGGAAATCATAAAATTCCACTGATTCATCAAAAGTTTTATCGATTGCCGATTACAGCTTTGTAACGTATCTTTAATTGTTTAGAATGAAGATTCTCTCACTTTACTCTTACTCAATTCAACATAAGACAATGATGTATGCTTGGAGAGTGTTAACTAAAAGTAAAGTTGTATGACGCAGAGAACTATTCTACGCAAAAAGAAAATGATGAAAAATGGGTGAAAAATTAGCCGTGAGGTTTTTAACTATCATTATATTTCTGATGCCGCTGCAACCTAGGTTTTTATCTCACTTTCAGTCATAATACCGTACCAATAGTTCTTCGCCGTTAAATCATGAACAATGAAGTTTGTAAAAAATTCTCCGTATAAATCATATAAAATAGACTTAACAAGCACATAAAACCTGCGATAAAAGAAGGTTAAACAGTTAAACTAAGTGTAATCACCTTCAAGTGCAGTGATTTTAAATGCATGGCATATACCGATTAGCGTTCGCAAAGCATTATTAATGGATTTTCTGTAGTTGATAATGATTGTCATTGAATTCTGATTTTGCATCCTAGGTGAAACTCCATCCCATGAAGAATATGTTGATGAGAAACACTGACGGGAATTAGATAACTGTACTAAACATCGAGTCAGGTAAACAATATCCTTCACTGGTTTATCAGAAGTTGAAGTTTTTGACTTCAAAGTCTCCAGTGTGTGGTCTTTCTCCAGACGACTGACAACAGGATTTGAAGATACTGGTCGCTGATGTGACATTATTACTGCCAATAAATGCAAGGCTATGCGAGCAAAGACACAAAATCTGTATTGCAGAAAATAGGTAAACATGGCACAAACTATTATGTAGGTATAATCAAAAATGCTAAATACTTTTTAAAGGGCACCTTCTATGGACTTTAGTAAGCTGTATATGTGAGCAAATAAATAGCTATTTAATACTAAAATCACTAAGCGAAACATTCTTATCTCCGTAAACACCTTCCAGTATGGCTCAGTAAATCTCAACGTAGATCAATTATCACCTCCATGTTATAACATTGGGTTGACAGCGAACCCACAGTTCCTGCAGGTTCCTTTGCACTGTCTACAAAGTACAAAGTAAGCTTCCGAAGAGTGTAAGAAAATGTTTACTTTATGTCACTGAAGCTCAGGCAATACAAGAATTAAAACCAAAATTGTGTATCCAGAAGCGTCTTTGTTATGCCTAGTCATTATTCACTTCTTAATTCTTAAACTTTCCAGTCCTTAAGACTGGCTAATCTTCCACTTTTCATATTGTTATTACGCAGACCATTTTTATCTAGCTAATTTACAAAATTACCGTTCCCTTGCTCGATGACAATTGTCTTGTAATGAATTCTTTACTTCTCGACTTCAACTCACCTCTATTCACATAATCAAAGACTTTCATGTTTATTACGTAATTTGGAAAATTTAACTAATTTCCATTCCTATATTATTTATATGACCACAAACAACTAACAATTATTGGCCAACAAATAATAATATTTTTATGCGCATTTAATATATATTTCAAAGCGATTGTACAGCTCCAGAGGATGACCGTACCGAAAACAAATTTGTCCGCTGAAGTCTTTATTCTTTTACATAAAAGTAGTTTAAAAATATTTATCATATAAAATGATGGGGAAATACCGGCTCTAACATCCTATGCAAAAAGGTATGTATCTGAGCATGATAATTAGATAACTCTAAAAACAAAACCCAGAGATATTCTTATCTAGGACTTCCACAAATTGACTGACTATCTTGTAACCTTCATGTAACAACTAACTGACTTTGTTACTTAGCCATCACATATTTTGTAATGTAAATAACAGTTTAAACATAAGTGAGGAATATATAAGTAGAGTTTATTACTTATCAACTGCAACCATTTAGTTAACGTTATCCATGACAGATAAATAATAACTTCAACCAGATAGGAGTAAATGTGGCACAGTTAATTACAATACTAAAAACGTAACTCACTGACCATATGCAGTATCGTACGCTGGGAAATGAGTCATATATATTCTGCGAGGTCTGACAATACTACTTGAATAGTTGAACCTCAATAAGAGAAGTGGGGATAGAATGTGTAATCTGCTATTTAAAAATTGAAAGCTTTAGACAATTACCTATAGCTCCAATTTCCTACACTATAACAATCTCATTATTACACTACCATAGTGCTGATGATGTCGTCTAGAAAGACAGTGAAAGCTTCACGATTAAACAACCCAGCTCAGAGAACACAATACAACCAAGACCATCTACCTGAGCTACAAATATTCCCCACCATAAAAAAGTCTCTAGTTACTACGACCTTTAATTCAACGAATCACAGCTTTTCAAGTTAAACGGTGAAAAATAGTAAAGCTTAAACATGTTAAACAAATAAACCTACTTTGTTGATTGATGATAATTACATTCTTTAGATATTTCTAATTCAGCTTTATCGATAAATGTAAGAATAATATCAAGAAAATCAGGAAGTACACTGGCTAATGGTTTCAAAATTAAACGTAAATTTAAGCTTTTTGAATTTTCATCATTTGAATTAACCAGTAGGCAGGTTAGAAGTGAGAAAATCTCTTGCCATAACGGAGCCATAACATTTATAAAGTCTATAAAATAAAGAAACAGATAAGAATAATTTAATACTGTAGGGTTTATCTACATAGATACTGGAGGATAAAAATATAATTTAATAAATTGTTTAAGTAATATAAAATAAGAAATGTGACTTGGAAAACTGCGTAGTGTAGTAAACTACTTTATATACTATGAAGCACCTGTAGTTGGTAAGCATTTGGAGGCTATAAGTAACATACAACTCTGTATATACTATTAGCTAACCTGATAAGCCGACGTTGATTTGTATCTAGGTGCAGTAGAAAATAAACATTAAAGAAGGGTGAGAAGCAGCGTTGTTCTTGTGTGGATTTTCAGTAACGAGTAAAATTACTACCTGTCCTACCAGAATACTTAATTTCTGAATTAAAAAGAAATTTTTAAAAGATAGCAGCTAAGGGAACAAGAATAAGGTAGCATCAATTAAGAAATGGATTAACTAATCTATGGCTATGAATGAGTTGACAATGAAAGATACGGTGTCCAACTCCTCAAGTTTGAACATGTGAAAGTAACTAAGGTTATATGTAACAAAAAATGGTGAGATATTTCGGTTAACAACTCTTTATCACCAGCCATAGTATATGATGAGCTGACGGTGTCTATTCCAGTTAACTCTCACTAGGTTGCCCTAAATCAAATGGATTCTTGTCTGTAGTTGGCCAATGCTCTCTCTCAAATGGTCTCAAGTTAAACCCTTCTAAATGTCAGACTGTTAATTTTAGCCTCAGGTGTGAAGAAGACTTATGTGAGTTATTTATATCTTATGACTCCTGTTACATTGATGATATTTCTGCAGAAAGTAAATCAAGTGGGTTGAGTTTTACTTCTGACCTTTGTTGGACGTCTCCTATAATGTTGACTTGTAAAACAATCTTTCGTTTAACTTATTACATACAGAAACTGAGGCTCTCTGGTATAACTCAACCTCTTCTTTTACAGTTTATTAATTCCTGCACCTTACCTGCTCTTCTATATTCATCATCATCATTATCAACATAGGACCAGGCATTACTGCGTAACGGTCCAAGTTGCCACACCTCATATCAGCACATCAAGTAAAAAGGTAGTAAGGTGAAGGATGAAGATGAGTGGCTCTTCTATATTGTTCCCAATTGATCTTTTCTGGTCTTCTAAAAAAGGACTATGTTATGTTACGTAGAGTGAGTGATGAGTCTCTGGCTCAAATGATTAACACTGTAGTTGATAGATATTTAAATTCCAGCAAGCAACTAGTTACAGAAATTCTAACCTACAATGAGCATCCACTTCATTCACAGTTCTATCATTGTACCTCCTCAGGGAGGCCAAGAAGAAACTACATAAGACTGTACGCTCGTACAGTTAAGTACAAAAATCCGACTGTACCCTACCTAGAACGCATATTATGTGAGGAAAAAGGAGTTAGAACAGAACTCATATATCAGCTTTGTAGCAGTTAAAAATTTCATTTAAATAATTTAATTAACAATGTAAAATGTTCCCTTTTTAACATTCTTTGCATTCCTTAAATTTTTATAATAACACGATTCGAAATATTGTAAAGGAGTATATATATACATTTATTTTGTTGCAATATATCATGCTGACAATTCAAAATTGTACCGCAGATTGTTTGGAATAAAGTGAATTATTATTATGATGATGATAAATTTAATTCAACAAAAATCATTCCATTGCATCAGACAATTATTATTAGACTTACTTTTTGGAATGGTTAAAAGATTAATAATGCGTGTTAAAAAAAGAGCATCCGAAATTAAATTTACACGAATTTCTTCGTTCATTGCTGCCTGACACCGTAAAACATGTAAACAACCAGTATAACATTGGATTAACTGTTTACATGAATTTTTCGAGTATATTGTAGTAATATTAGAATCGACAATGGGTCTTAGTGAATGAATCGGAATGTTTTCAATGGGATTCAACATATCAACCTGCTGAATAATAGCTTGTAAAAGATCTGTAAAGAAAATTGAGATAAGAGAATTTAAATAACAAATTCATTACATTTGATCATAGAAGAAACAAAAGACGGTTGCAACAAAGATAATTATCCTTTTTGATGAATTCATTTTGACAACTATACTTACATAAATAGGTGGAGTGATGAAATATTATGCATGACGAAGAGATGTCTAGAAAACTTTAGAAAGTTAGCGAATAGGAATTTAAAAAGAGAATGCCTAAACAGGGAGATTTTTCCAGGTCAAGCCTCAGTTACATTCAGAAGCGATACACAAAGTCACCTTCACCACACTTAAGTTTCCTGTTTTGATATATATTTTTGGAAAAAAAATCCTCCTGTTAAGCAATCCCTCTTCTTGTTTCGATGTTTTCATTTGCCGGTATTTTGAATTTCTGCAGATTGTTCTCTATGCTGCTTAATATTTCTTTGCTTCTTTTCTGCACCTATTTTCACTGTTCTATTAACTCTGAGCCTTGTTAACGAATTTTTTCTCGAACTTTATATCCTCTAGATTATATTTTCACAAATGTACAGTTATCAAAATGAGATCATCAAAAAAGTAATCACCTTCACTTTAAGCATCATTTTAACACACTAATCACATATGTTAATTAGTTCGATTTCGAATGTGTTTCGTGACATTATTCACTGAGTAAAATCATTTGATTTAAGTATGTAAATCCTTTTGATAAACATTGCATTGGTTCAATTATGAAGCCATAGTATATTGGATAAAGATAAAACGGATTTCAAATTAAAAAAACAAGATCCAAGATAGCTGGAGGCATGTTAAAAATAAAACTCTTCGCTGTTTGGTCGACTGTATTCAATTTCAGATTTTATAAGATCATAGTTAATTAGCTGATATTTAACGGTATCCTTAGGTGAGGCTATCTTATATCTTGCCCGAGAGAATTTAGACATCTTTCTTTACCTGAGTGCAGTTGAAAAACCTAGCAAGACACGTTTTATCTACGCATACTATCCTGTTTGGTGAGTTTCGTTAACTTACATGATACACTCTCAGCCAAACGAAGAATGAATATATAGTTATAAGTTTCTTATTAAGGACTTGTAGTACCGTCCTGGTATTGCGTTTTTGATTGTTCAGTCATACAGTAGAACTGTAAACAACCAACTCTTAAAAGAGTATTACATAGAAATTCATAAAAGGTAGCTAAGTTCTAGAAATAATCATGACAACCATGTATATTTCAACACATTGACACGTTACCTCATAAAGATGTTCTTAATCGGAAACTAGTCGGAAAAAAATATTTTTAAATAGTATGCATAAAACTAAAATTATCAAATTCAAACTAAGATGACACTCAATGAAATATACGCAAGTGAACTACTTTCATCAAACTTTTTAAAAATGAGTAGTGGGAAAGATTTTTACAGTTAAAATGAGCAATCAGTATGTGTTTCGACTCTAACAGGAATAACCAACCAACATACCAATCTACTGCAAATCTTAAGCATCAAAGCTACTTCGATCCGGAAACACAAGTGCTATAACACATTCACTGTTCATTAGGCCAAACAGTTGAACTTCAGAAATAGTTTATGGAATCACAGTGAAAGTTAAATTTTTCTGGGGTGTGCGAGATACCAACTATTTGTTTCTCATGTTGGAACTATTAAGTACGCTCTATTTATGCAGCAGATTATGACCACTTAAGAATGCTGTTCTCATGTTTTCTGGTAATTTATTTAATCTTTCCAACAGTCATCTCCCAACTGTAATCATGATACAAGACACACGTTATTATGTAAGCTTTCTTCAGTTAAAATACTATGTTGAAGACGTCACTATAACTTCAATATTTCAACTGCATGGTATCTGGAGTCTCGAAACCAGTTAGCCTAACAGTTTTTAACTTGTAAACAGCATTGGCTCGTCTATTACAATTATCTAGTTCGACTGCAGTGGCTGTGATACCTACTGCTCGAGGAGCGTTCATACCAGCTTGAGGTACCAAGACTGCTTACCTATTGCAGAAAATCACCCCATTTTATTCTACGGACTAAGGCATTGTACTTTATGTTGCTGAAGGAAAAAATGGTGGGATATTTCTTAAAGACCCCTAGCATTCCAAACAGTTCAATCCACTTTATTGTTAGAGATTAGGAAATGTAGTACATTTCGGCAAACCTTTCTTTTCATCAAAGTTCGATTATCATCAGCAGCAGCGTTTTGATTTTTTTTAAGTAAATGGCTCTGACGAACAAACCAACGTAAGACCTTGGACAGAAGTGCATTAGTTCAAGTTACAACTGTGACTAACATCATACAGAAGATAGTTAAGAAATTTTGTGCGGAAAAGAGAGAACAATTCAATGAACCTTGGTGAAAATGTCCAAATTTTTTTAAGATGATAATAATCAAATGCATTTTCACCATTGTGATCGATGGTATTTTCAAAGTACTACGAAACAAAAATGCTTGCCTCGGCATATTTTTGTAACTACAAAAATTTCTAAAAGAAGTTTTTTTAAGTTTCATCCCTTATGGCTCAAAACCCATAAAAGATGCCTTAAAGGTAGGTTAATTGCAATTTTCATTTACTCTATGTCTCTTGATTCCCCATCCCAGTTCCATAGGTCACTTAATCACTACAATTCCGTCCTGGTAAATTGTGAATACCGAATTAAAGTGTTCAACCAATAAGCTAATTAATAAAACGGACATAAAATATAACTGCTGTATCCATAAAAAAAGATATTGCAAATTACTTGGATCAATTATATTCATCAACAATGAACTAATACGTTGCAACTTCAATTCGGATAAAATAAATTTTGGCAAATGATGCGTTAAATTAACTAGCAAATGAATAACTGTGCTGATAAGAAGTGGAGTGGAAACATGCGATGAGTAAATATTTGATGAAGAGTTAGATGAAGTTGTTTTTGTTCCTGCTAGAGTTGAATTAGTCAAATGAGTTGTGCTTGTTCCTGTTGTCGTAGTCGTAGCTGTTGCTTCCGGTGTAGCAATAGATGTTGGCACCAATGGGGAAGACTGTGATTCGGTTAAATTGGTACTAGTTATAGTCTTTGCATGAGAAACAGGAAGAAAAATAATAGTATGAAATACTTTCTAGGTTTATGCCATAGACAAATTTATGGTGAAAATCAACAGCTTAAGATGAAGATGAATTCATGGGAATACTTTCTGCTCTAAGACTTTTATTAATAAACACAAGTCAAAATGATGTTGTGTAAGCAAAACACCTTCTACTAACAATCTAAACTCAGATGGATTTGAGTTGTGTTTGGATATTTTGATTTTCAATGATTGTGAAATACGGTATAAACATCAATATCAGCATTGACTAACTGATTAAACCCACAAGAAGTAAGTTACCAAGCTGAATTAATCTCCAGGAGATCAACCCTTGATCCTCATGTCTAGGGAATTGCTACACAGCATATTCACATTTCGATAGAAAGGCAAACATTCAACGAGTCACGAAATGTTACTGTTTAGTAAACGTAAAACGTCTGTCATTTTGTTGTAGCTATATCTTTGATAATCATCCAACCGGACAAATGATATTCAGTAGATCTTGCCAATTAACTTCCTATCTCAAAACGTTTGTTGAAGTCTACCTTCGGTGTATTGGTGTTATATTTAAATAGCTGGATAACACAAATTATTCTCAAGTGTTGGTCTACTGCGTTTACAAGATCTTACAAACTGTTAATTCATTCTACACAGTAAGAGTGAGTTTTGAAGTTAAATCAAGTGAACGTGTTGCTGAAAATTCCAAAGTAATCAATCTGAATTATAAAAAAAAGATGCCAGCACGAAACTAAGTCTAATCAGTGAACATGTATATGATGAAAAACAGATATAGTAAAGAACTATTGGGCAATATTTTCAAATAATGAATGCAACACTTTTATTACTAACCTGTTCAGTTTTGTTGTGAGATAGAAAGGTGAGTCGATGCCAATACGATACGGTGAACATTGTTTGAGGTAAATGGGATGTGAGCAAACGATAGAGATATTTAAAGAACGCTTTTGAGACTAATAACTGATGTAAAGCAGGCAGACCAATAAGATAGAGCTGAAATATGAATACATATGGGGAATATGTATTAATTATGCTATTTGAAACAATCTTGGTTGGCAGAATTATCTATATATTCAAAGATGCTGATTACAACCAAGACAGAACCAAAGTCGGTTCAGGATTCAAGCTCATGAATCATCATATCAGTACCTTGTTATTTCAGCTATAAGATATCACATCTTAATTCCACCTCAAGCACTTATTGTTTTACTCAACAGTCACATGCAAATAAGATACTAAATTGTTCATAATTTATCAAAACCAAACCAAATAGATCAGACTGTTAATCAAGGCTACCCGAGATTGCACTCGCTAAAATTAAGATCGAGGTAAACTCAGACGAGAAGATCTAAGTGGCTAATTGATTTGATAGAGTACAGGAAGTTATGCATCATCCATTAACATCAGCTGATTAAAACAACTGACAGTTACAATGAGACTAAGACCTGGTCAGCAGTTGAGTATCGTAGCGTAGTTTACTCAGTACCAGGTCGATACACTGAAGACTAGTGGTTCAAAACTTACGGATTTTTATTCAGGATTAAAATATATGCCATGAAATGGTATATATATATATATATATATATATATATATATATATATATATATATATATAACGACAACTGTGAATAGATAAGTCTTTTAATCTTTTCCTACAATAACAACACCTATATTTTCAATAACATGTATACGTACATATACTTTGAATATTAAACAGTTTTTGATGATAGATGACAATGACCGTATGAATTTACGATGACTAATTAGAAATAATCAGTCTGAACAACAAATCAGCTAACTAATAACTCGAACACACACTATCATAAGTACCATCTAGATCATATATATTTTCGCCTTTAGTAAAAATCTAAATAATTTGCTGAAGAAACTGTAGCATACACATCGAAAAGTTCAGGAAAAATCTTGTTTTAATTTTCTAAACAACCTGGGATTATATTAACACTAAACTTTCAAAATGACTAAGTGGGGTTCTTTAGCTTCCCATAACTCTTCAACCAAACCCGCTGAGAACAAATATCATGCTATTATCAGGTTTCTAAAACCACTGAGGAAACCAAATATTTAAGGTGATTGGTTGGAGAATCATAATTCATTTGAAGACTTATATAGACTGAAGAATTATTAAAAGGCAAGATTAGTCTACAGCTGTTTCGCACAGATATACGTGTGTAATTTTGACGTTTAGATTACATAGTGAATCAAAGTATGTGACAATTTGTCTTTTTCCGCTTGCTATAGTTCGCTATTTCGAAATACACTATGTGTGAAATTTTCCTTTATCGTACAAATGAACACATTCAAGTAAGACACTAAACTTACATTTGTATTTGGATCTAAATAAACAGGCATAATAACATTCTTTGGGGGTTCTGAGATACGCACGGGCAAGGAATGCGTCTGTTGATCTGCAAAATAGACAGATAAATTCATATGAAACACAAACAAATCATACCTATATCAGTTACTACGCTATCTTCTGTGAATAGTTCATCAGTCCAAGGCTTCAAAACATCTATTAGATGAGTTATGTTTTCTTTTAACTGTTGAGAAGATTGATCTGAATTGAGAATATCTTGCAGATTCACAGTAGCTACGTTAGCGTGCGCAATATTAATCGGTGCTGCTTGTCTTCTTGGAGTAGCTGAATTGATTCCCATAGAAAACAATTCACTTGAATTGTATGAGTTAGTTTGGTCTGCTTCTTCTGCACTATTTAATGCAGATTCATTTACTATAGCTGGAGGAAAAAACAAATTGAATCTCTTGGATTTAGAGGTAGAACTGTTAAATTAATAAGTAAACGAGCTCCCATTGCACGGACCCAACAAGCTTCAGATGAATCCAATAGGAAATGAAAAGCTATTTCCCAAATGGCACCAGGAGAAGACCATATTAGTAAACCACTAGATAATCGTGCTCGTGTCTCGGCAGAAACATTGTGGGTTAGTAATCGATGAAGCCAAACTGGGACTGAACACACAAGACTTAGAATCGACAAAGCCAGAGCCCGAATCTGCATCGACGTAAAAGGAATAGACAGAACAGTGTATTATAAATACAAATCACTGGTAAAATTATTATCAATATTGGTCCTACCTTCTCAATGTCAACGTATAGTGCCAGTAAGTTCACAGATATAAATGACACGTCGGTACATAGTGTAGAAGCAAGTATAGATTAGCACTCATGTAAACACGAAGAATCGTTTCGCTGATAGGGAAGGACATCGAAGCCTTTTCATAGAGGTCAAAACAATAAGCTGATTTAAATGTAATGACCAGTTATGGAGCAAGTAAGTAACAAACTGTAGAAATGTGCTACATGAAACCTGTGATTTCATTCAGCGATGCTGGCACTTAGCTTCTAAGCAGTGGAACATGGTTTAAGATCTTCTGAAGTAATGGTAAGAAGACTTATTTAAATAAATTTTTGTATGTAATATTATTGCAGAATATTTGTTAAATGAAAATGCAAAATCCAACTTCATTTTGTTATTGATCTCACAGTCTTCAAGCATGAACGTTTGTTTGACTAATTTTAAATGAAGATATCAGCTATTTCAACAACAAAAAAGCAGCCATCTAGGAAAACTTCAATTTTTTGTCTCACAAAAGTTCAACGTATCGTGAACACAAAACCTTACACTGTAATTACAATTTTAATTCCGAATGAAAAATCTTACACATTATTTGATCACTAGATGAAATGCTGAACAAGAAGCTCTTCAAATAAATTATACAGATATACTTCAGCTTCTTGGAAAAAGAATGATTTATTATAATCACAAAAGAAATCAATACAAACAATGGCGGTTATGAAGACTATGAAAAGCGTTTCAGATGTGAAACAGAGATAAGGCGAGATGGATATTTGTTGACAAAAAATGAATAATACGATACAATTTTCTGGATTGTTATTTAGCTAGCTATGATTATTGTCCGGTTGATACTAATAAGAGAGGAAGATGCTTTTGATTAGAAAACCCCAGATGACTATTTTTATTTAGTTTCTGATTCATGCACGAAGAAAAACGGTAAATATGCTATGATCAAAGCCTATATCGCTAACCTGGATGATGACTTCTCTGTACATTAACTAACTGAATTGAGAAGTGAGTATCGTGACAGCTTGGTAAGTAACTATAACTTATGAAGTAATCCAAGTTAAGGGGTAATGCAAATCTCATCATAACATTGAACAGCAGTTTAGTATAGTAAAACGGCACCTCGCTGATTCAGTTACTTATCGATGGTAGTGATTTCCTGTTGACTATTAAAGTGGACTAAATTGATCGGTTTTTGTTAGCATATGAGGTCCTTTAACGAATGCCTTGATACCACCTTAAGTCGATTAAGTGTAACAGTACATATCCAAAAAAGTAAGGTCTGAAATTCAGTATGAGGTCGATAGTATACAGTGCTTGTGAAATGCAAACCATAGAGTAACCATTCATGAAGAAAATGTGATAGATGCACGATTCATAAAAAATGATATTAAACTAGGGTACCTCAAGGCACATTAGCTAAGGATACTCAACCCGAATAGCGATTGTTGTTAATTTTTAAGAGATTGGATAAACGAACACACAACTGAATCTGATAATAAAGTTGAATACCATTTACATATATAAGCCAGATACTAGTGAGATAAAATCACCTAAATGCAGACAGTTGGTCTAGGATAAGATAAAGATCTCAAAATAGCTATTTTGTTTCTAACATTGAATAAAAGGTTATACTTCTGACGATTGTGACAGTATGAACTGTCAGTGCATCAAGCACATCACCAAAAGTATCAACATTATGAGAAATTGAGTTAATATACATGAGGATAGGAAAGACAATTCACCTCAATTCGACGATAAGTTAAACTTTGTAAGAGCCATTCTTCGTCAATCCAAGCAATATATTTATGGAAGCAGTCCATATTGTTTGATAAAATATCATCTAAGTCTAATTGTCGCATAAATACTTGACCAGATAAAATATGAATTAAGTTATTCATTGTCATTAGAAATAATACGATAACAGAAGATCCCATGAATGAATTATTAGCTTGATGATTACGTCGTTGAATAAATACTGATAGAATTTTTGACACAGAATTAAGTAAACGTTCCATTAGTCCACATTCACTTAGGATAAGAATAATCTCGGCAAATTTACTAAAATAAGAGTGAATTATTGAAAAGGAAATGTAATAATATATGCAAAAATTTTTCTTTTATTAACTTATGGAAAAAGAACTGTAAGACGTTTTATATATCACTCAGTATCTGATACTAAAACAGTGGACAGTACTTAATAGTATTATAGAATAGTTATAAAAAGTGTTCACCATGAACTTTTATACACAAGGACAGAAGTAACGATGTCATCTAGAAACGTTTCGATGAATTTTATAGTAGGAAAATAAGCACATAATGAGCTTCCCTATACAATAATAGTCAATTTAGGTGTAAATCTCTACTCAACGTAGACAAAATTATTCATTATGTTGTAAACATGTACTGACTAAATTGGCAAGAACATGTGTTATTCCTTACACACCAGTGACAACTCAGACCTGAGATGCTATTATAAGTACGGTTCGGTAAGAAAAAGGTCTAGATAGTCAGGAAAATGACACTAGTTGTTAAGGTCACTAACTGATTATTTAAGTTGCAGACTACTTGGCTAGTGATCGTAGAGATGTTAAAAACCGAAGCTTGAAAACTTTCACCCATGTCTGTCAACGTACAGATGTAATCATTTTTTGTTTTCTTCGAAAACATGAATGTCTCATTACTATAGACTCATTATTCGCCTTTGACTAATGGCAAAATACGACTGTATTTGTTTAGCGGTGGTTAGTATTGGAATCCTGGGAGCACATTTTGTCTTATTTGAGATTTGTGCTCACTGGTGACTAGCTTCGAGGGGTTATTCCTGAAGTCTCAATGAGAAGTCATAACTGCTGGGGTCAACCGAATTGAAAATGAGGACAGTTACACAGTGAAGGCATTGGATGGAAGACGCGCGAAATCCTAAACTGATAGAAGTAGGAAATATGGATCACAGAACTCTGACCCAGTGGCTCAACGGTAACATGCTGGCCGCGGAACCTGAAGGTACTGGGTTCGACCCCTCACAGGTTCATGGGTGTGCACCGCTGAGGAGTCCCGCACTGCTACGAAACAGCTGTTCAGTGCTCTTAAATTTCCAATATTCCTCCAACCGATATCAGTTTATGATGAATACCAACCTGAAATCAATAAATAAAAGTTGTATGTAGCATTAGAAAAAAGCAATAATACCAATTCTAATATAATTCTTCATGATTTTAAAGATGATAAAAATGAATCAATGCTCTGTAGAAAAGTAGGCTTAAGTTAATAAAATATATTTAATTACGGTGATGTTAGTCGAACTAATATGTTAGCCAATAGATTCAAGCGAACCAAATCAGAGAACGGAGAACTGACAAATTCTTTCAAAGTATTGCAAGCCCATTGGAAACACACTTGGTATACTTTCAAGTCACAAATGCTGTGTAACCTATATTGTAGATGGAAAAAAATATATGAATTTCTTACCAAAACAGGTAATACAGAATAAATTATAGTAAAGTGTATGGGAAATTTTCATGCGTCACTTTATTGCTAACGATTGGGTTCAAGGGTTCAAACTAAAACCAAATTGACTAAATGGCTTGATTGATGAAGTTTTCTCAGTTAAGAGACTACAACAAAGGTGACAAAAATTAAAAGAATTTCCAGGTGGACAGAAAGCATTCGACTGTCAAAATTTAACAATTTCCTAAGTAATGCAGAAAAGACAGTTGATGTTGGCTCAATAAAGTGTCAACCATTTTGACATCTAAAGTTTGTACATTTTTACTAACGTAGATTTTCAAAATCATTCTCTTCATAATCACTTTTATATTCTTGGATATTACTTTTTCTCTACTCATTTGATCTTTGCATGGTGTTGTGAAGTGCGGGACTTTTGTACGAAGTTTTGCCTTGCTTTCGTCTGTATGACTATTTTTCCCAACGACAGAGTATACCTAAAGAATCGTCATATATGTATGGAACGTTTAACTTCATTCACAACAAAATGATAATTTATTGTCAGAGATTCGTGTTTAATCAACGAAAGTCAAAAACATGGTGCAGAAAAAGCTCAAAAAAACGATAGCGCTGAGAAAAATCATGTACATTCGACATAATCGTAGTTGAGGCGAATTTCCAACAGGCTGATATTCAATAACACTATACAAAAGCTATTAAGATGGGATTCCTTTAACCTTCATGGTTAACTCAAAGCATGAGACATAACAGAGAAATATAACAATGAAAAAAGATTGACTTGAATGAGACTTATATACAAGAGTAAAGAGATCTATCATACAATTACGTAGAAGTTCATTCAAAAGTTTCATAGGATTTAGGACGGCACAGTGGATCAAAGATAAAGAACAGATAAGAGATCCAAATAGCATGTGCTTTATCACTGTTATGGCATATAAAGTTATACAGCTGAAACAAACTTGCATCATTAATATTATAATTTCTGAGGACACAAAAACGTTACTTGTTCAACCAATTGTTAACACAAGTAAGAAACTTAATAGAATCAATGAAGCGAATTCCATTTTGTCTTCTTAATTTTCGAGATGACTGGTTGAAATATTTGCATGATAAAACCGTCACAAAAGATTCAATGGTTTTAGGCTTCATTAATTGCGAAGTCATGGGTGTCATTGAAGTTCGACTTCAATCAAAACAGCCTACCAGTCATCTTTAGTTCTTTGTGATTCTCCAGATGATTTCTTACTACGGTAAAAACAACCCTGAAATCAACCACAAAACTGTATGATGATTTCAGCTGATACAAAAAACTGCTTGAAAGTAGTCGTACATCACAACCATAAAGATGATTTTCTATGTAAACATTAATACACGTATATCCACCACGAAATAAAACATTAAAAAGCATAAGAAATATGAGTTTAAAAGGATAACATACTGTGGTTCAGCATATTTTGTAATAATACTATTTGGATTGCTGTCTTCTGGCACATTATTCAATTTATCAAGGGAATCGAAAAGATCACTTAATAAATAGGGAAGTTCATGGTAAATTAAATGTTGTTTTGAAGATATCAGGCGTGAACTATCCGTCTCTCCAATCCCAGCTTTAGGTTGCAGTAGACAGTAACTTAGTGGACCTTGTGTGTCTCCAATAAGTGACATCAACCAATTGCACAGATATTCCTAAGCAGAAATAAAATCATAAGAAGTATGTAAGTAAATTCATAATTCCCATTGTGATATTAAAATAAGATATTCAGCCAAAAGTACCCTTTCAAGCACAACTGTACAATGCGGTCATCAATCAACAAGACCCTCCATCACAGTCTAGTTTGTTGGATGTAAACAATTTAGATAATTGATATAAAATCGAATCAGTCGTAACCCCAATAGCTTAGTGGTTACGTCCACGACTGTTTGAGAGAGAAACCCTGAGAGGGGATCACTTCATCTGAGATAGTATATGCATCTTGCTGATAAATATCAACAAGCATGGAGTATGTAACCAGGACTTCCTGTCTAACCCACCTCGATCACCAAACTTATTTGATTGTTCAACAGAAAAAGGGACTATATTCACATCAACGGGCATCGAGATCAAGTGCTACGCTTTTTCCTGAAATACTGTAGAGTCAAACAGTGTAAGTGGTAATTGAGTGACTCTGAAAGCCACTCTAAAAGCCATTGAAACGACGAATTAGTTACCTCCCTACGTTTACTAGAAAAACAGTTCTTTTTATAAAATAAAGAAATGTGATTGTCTATTTCAGAAATTATCTTCTGGTTTGATAACATTGAATTTAGGATAAAATTTCACCACAGAAACAGGAATGATAGGAGCAGATACACATGAGATATAATCAGGTATAGTCTGTTTATCTAAGATCGTAAGTGTTGCAGTATCTTGCAAAATACAAGGCTTGTAAAGTTTTAACCCATCTATTAATGGAGTGTAAGATCACTTCAATGTATCCTGAAAAAATATGACATTTTCTTCGCACTATCGAACGCTTGCTGATCTGAAAGCAGGAGCCTGGTTGATGCTGAATATTACATTTTACATCAATTTCCTTAAAACACCTTATTTTCGAGGAATAAAAAAATATAGGAAAAGGAATATTAATATTGTCACTTAATCAATACTGGCAACCAATAAGTACGACACAAAAATCAAATTTGCAACACGAAAGATACTTACTTTAGACGAATGGATAAAGTTACTCAAAGTTGACGGAATTAAGTGAAATCCAACCTCATGAATAGTACACAGTAGTGAAGCAAGAAGATTATAATCAGCTGAACAAGATGGCAAAGTGGTCATAAATCTATCCAGCTGTGCATAAGTCCACCAAAAAATTTTAGAAGTATCAATTTCAATATTAGTATTCACCTCGGTTGATAAACAATTTCTGGTGATACTGTGACAATGATGATGTATTTTATGAGCTGACAATGACCGATAAAGAAGTCCTAATGATTTCAAAAAACAGGAATGATTTGTCGCTTGACGAATACAGGCTAAACTGAGTAGAAAACTTGAAGTTGGATGGCTGACGAGTAGAAGCGTAACATCTAAACACGATAAGGAGAACTGACTGAGAAGACTAAAAGTTAGAAAAAAAAGATAGATGAACAAGTTGGACCAGTTGAGACGAAATATGAAAAAAAATTGTAGAGAATATATATATACATATATATATATATATACCTGCAGATTGGAAGAAGGACTACCTTGTCAAACTCCCAAAGAACGGAAACCAAAGTCTCTGCAAGAACTGGCGAGGAATCATGTTCCTGTCCACCCCAAAAAAAATACTAACCATCATCATCCTGGAGAGATTAGACAATACGCCGGATTCACAATTATCACCGATACAGGCTGGCTGGCTGGCTGGCTTGAGGAAGAACAAATCATGTGCAGATCAAATTGCAACCCTACACTACGCATCATCATACAACAGAGTATAGAATAGCACTCAACTCTATACTTCAACTTCATCGACTTTGAAAAGAACTTCGACAGCGTCGATAGAGCCGAGAAGTAATTTGTCAGGCAGCTGCTTCAACACTACACAATGCCACAAACCTTTATCAATCTCATTCAACAGCTACAAGCTATATGATGCCACATCCGAAGTGGTTCACAATGACAAGCTGAGTGATGCCTTTGAAGTGAAGACAGGAGTAAGACAAGGCTGCCTACTATCACCCATCATCTTCCTCATTGTCGTTCACTGCGTCATGCAACAAACTGTGAGCAGCGAGAAGATGGGCATATGCTGGCTGAACCCATAAAAAGACCCTACACAATTTGCATTTCCCAGATGATTTATATCTAATGTCTTGTCGCACAAACTCGAAGATCTACAGGCAGAATACAACAAGTTGACAGAAGTGGCGAGGCAGCCAAGACAGCACTTCAAGTGAATGTAGAAAAGACGGAGATGATAAAGATATCCAACCAACAACACCATCAACAACAAGCACCAATCAAAATCACCATCAATCGGAGAAACCTAAACGAAGTAATCTCTCTCACCTAACTGCCTAGACAGCATCCTTTCAACTACAGGCCGCACAGCCACAGACGAGGACATCAAAGACAGGATTGCAAAGACAGCAAGACAGGTCTTCACTAATCTGAAATCAGTGTGGAGATCTACTGCACTCTGCACAAAGCATGAACAACATCCGGATTTTCAACACCAATCCAGTCAAGTCAGTGCTGCTACATGGCTCACAAACTTGCAGTGTCACGAAAAGCATTTGCAACAAACTACAGACATTTATCAACAGCTGCCGCCTACGCTCACTTCATACTGAAGAAGATGAGACAAACAGCCAGAAACAATGAGCAACAAGGAACTCTGACCTGGTAGCGAACCAACGAAACAAGAATACACCGCCCACCAAATATGTAGAAGAAAGTGGAGATGGATTGGATTGGGCATGCACTGAGAAGGCCGATTGAGGAGATCATGCGCCAGGCCAGGCCAAGCCCTTCAAAGGAATCGAAAGGGGAAACGACGAGTTGGGCGTCCAAGCTGGAGGTGACATGGAGGAGATCATGTGAGGAAGAAATGAGAGCTTCTGGGCTGTCTCGGAGCCAGGTTCAAAAGACTGCAGAGAACAGGGTGCAATGGAGGCGTGCTACTGAAGCCCTATGTTCTACTAGGAACCCAAGGGAAAAGTAATAATAATAATTATATATATACTTGAAGAGTAGTAAGATCCACGTACTACACGCAACTGTAACGACAAAGAGTTTGTCTAAAGAAACAATTCGACTAAACTTCTTTGAGTCTTTGTTTGGTTCAGTAACCAAAAGGTTTGAATTACAACTAAAATAAAAGCTACCATGATCATAATCAAAAATGTGATAGATTAGTTGGAAATATATATTCTTGCCGTCATACCTTACATAAGATAAACATTGGTAGCCTAAATACTCATTTCATTTTGTGAAGATGTCTGTTCAAGAATGTCGATGTTTCTGACTGTGGTGTTGATTAATGTATCAATGCTGTCGTAGAAATCGTAGATGTTTGAGAGTTCTCGCCATCCCAAAACAACTTGCTGAATGTGCCAGTGAGGAAGATGTCTACAAACTACAATTAGCTGTTACACAACAAATTCAGAATATACCTTACTCAATTAGCAGAACATGAATTTATGATGTGCTTGTACAGCGTTAGAATCTGGTTTGTATATTGCAATGTCAGCCAAACACATGAGTTTAACTAACTTATTTTGAAGCTTTACTTCTTCGACTGCAAGCATCAATACCTTATTTGTATGATTTTTTATTTGTAAAGAAATGTGCAGCTATTGATTATTTCTGTTTTTTCATGTCAACCCATCGAATGCTAAGTCTACTTTAGTCAAGGATACACCTCTCTTTCTTATGGCTTTTCTTTTTAGATTTGTATACTGACTTACGTTTTTTATCTTGCATGTGCTTTTTTACACATGCTGTATGAAGGATTATTCGAAGGCTAGAGGAATACATAATGCTAAAAACTGCATGCTCCAATCCCTATAGCAGATGTTTCACTATTCATTATTAACAACAAAACCATCGAACAACAACTAGATTTCTCCACAATAGGGTGGCTAACACTTGGTATACATATTACTCCACTAATTTGTATAGTAAGCATAACATAGCTATATGGAGGCCTCGTCAATGTGAACCACTATATGCAAGAATGAAAATTGAATCACAAAACAACTTACGGACTATATTCACAGGCTCGTTTAAGACACACATCTAAATTAGATGGATCTACTAAATTTGGATCAGGAAGAGCACCAAGTATCGATAATGTATGAGTAATTAAATTTGATACACCTTTATGACAAGCAAAAGACCAAAGATATCGAAAATTTCGTCTAACTAAATGGCGCAAAATTTGTGTATTTTGATCTTCATTTGTACAATTGGCTAATTTACAGAGAGATCGAAAAGGACTGACTATTTCGTTACCATTAGGATCACGCCACTGTGAACGAAATGAATAAGTTGGACATGCAAAAGGTAACTGATATCCAGCTACAACTTCTTCTGGCAAACAAATAGGATTTCTGGTGAATGAAAAGGAGCAAAATTAACGTTGAACATAGTAAATAAAACACTACCTAACCTAATAAGTAGTATGCCAAATATGAAAACACTGGAGCGAAATACAATTGTAGATAACATTCAACGTGCTTCACTTAAATAGTCACATAGAAACATACATTAAGTTTATCAGTTATCACTCCGACAAGTCTTACTATCCTAAATTACGAAAGAATAGCTAAATATGATTGGCAAAATGTCCAGTAGCAATTTTTGCTGTCACTGTTCATCAATACAACATAATTTATGCCTTAAGGAAACCTACATTTCATTAAAGATTTCGCTGCCCATCATAAAGTTTAACAGAAATTTGGATCCAGTACGATCACTTAAGAAGTTGATGCACGATTCTTATTGGCAGCATTTGTTATAAGTAGTTGAGTTCTCTGGCACTCCATATCGAAGATACTTTTTTATTCATCCACTTTGAAAAACTGTACTTCAGTGTTCTAGTAAATTGACCTTTAAACATCGGATCATCGGTTGGAATCCTACTCTACCCACTTAGAAAAGTTTGAGTATTCAGACAGCATCTTCAATCATCACAGTATGTGTGGAATAACATTTGTCAGGATGTTGGATCACCTCAGTTATACTCAATCAAGATCATTTTTACACCCAGTTATTGATATATGACAGCATGGTTTGTTTTGTTGATAATCATTCAAATGGAAGAATAATTTGAGACAACTTAAGTTGCACTATTTAATTATTGTGAGAAAGTGTTTAAAGGTGATAAAATTAACAACTAATTCATATAAAAGGTCAAAACAATACCCTCATCAGTATCAATGAGATAGACATCATACACCATTTTTTCTACATCTATAAATCTGATAACTCGAAGGATTATGTTAAAGAATACTAATAAAAGTTATGAATGATATTAATTGTCATTCTATACGACTATACTGACTTAAGTAACTTAGTAAAAAATCACTGAGTTTATTAGAGTCAGGTTTCTTGAAAATGAACAAGCTTTTTGACAAAAGACTATATGTTATGTAATGTTTTATGAGGGTAAACGTGGTCTTGAAAGTCCAGTTGTTGGATTGTTGAAAGTATGTTTATAACTAATTAAATTCTTTTTCTTAGTGTGTTCTTCATTATGAATTCTGAAATACTATAAAAACTACCTTCGAAAGTAATAATGTTATGAAGAAATTTGTGGAAGTTGAAATGAAGAAAGATAAATGTATTTGTATACACCCTTATTGTTTAGGAGAATTTGATGGGAATCGATTAATTTCATGCATTAATCATGAATTGGCATGTCAGAAAATTAGTGAAAACTAGAGAGCATAAGGCAGATGGTTCATTCCAATAATAAACAACGATCACGATCCCAAGAGAGACCTATTTCTGAAATCGTAACCCATTATTACATTCTTGAGCCACTATGCTAAAATTAAATGGTCAACACTTTAAAAAAAATTTTCAATTCATGAGATAGAATGACAGTAATTAAGTCCCGTAAAGCTTTAATAAAAACGTGGACATTTTTGAAACACTTTGAAAAAGTGGAATATCTATAATACACAAAACTACTTTGCTCTTGAAACTATAACCTCAAGTTTGGAGACTCAATGCGAAGGTTCAATAAACCCTGGTTCTAACTTAAAATAAACATATGAAAGAATCGTGTAATAATGGTAAAATGAAATTATCTACAAAATGAGAAATTACTCGTTTGAAACTTGAATAACAGGAGTGAAGGCGATCAAAGTAATCAGGTCAACTAGATCACGCCAAAAATTCTTCGAACCAGGAAATACTATCAGTACTACAGAGTGGATAAAAAAAAAATTAAATATCGCAATAAAATAAGAATAATTATAACAAAAGTGTTTTTATAAGGAAGAATGTTTCTAACATAATTAGACATACCAGAGTTTAGTTCACTTCTTAATTAATATAATGAACATAGTGCACGGTTTATCTGGGGAACCTTTATTCAAAGACTAAGAAGTTTTAGGCTGTCATACGATCTTTTATCTCCAAATTGCCAACTCTCTCAAACTACTTTATATTTTTTGATGTCACCCTCTTCCTATCCATCTGTTCTTTAAGTACTATTGTGAAGTGTCCCGACGCATCTGTGTGCAAGGTTCTACGTCGATTTTGTTAGTCAGATGAGGTGTCGATAACGAAATACGCTAGCGGTTTCATGATAAGCTTTGACTGCAGAAGTCAAGCAACACTGAATGACAAACAACATTTATAATTTATTACTCATTGTTATAATACCTGTAACTCATAATCGTAACAACCCTTACGCAAAGAATAGTATCCTAAACGAACACTCAACATTTCAAAAGTTTATTTGTAGGTATTTATCAATTTGAAAGCAATTTTCATGGCAAATTGATGTCATTCGGGGAACAACTGAAAACTTGGAAGTACTGAACAGATATTTCGTCCAAGTTTAAGACTCCCCACCAATGTGGACACATGACAAAATGAGGGACTGAGTCCTGGACCTCCAAGCCTTATGGCGACGGCATTACCATTTAACCACTGGATTGGAATTCAATGGTTCATCGATTTCCACTTCTTTCTATGTGCGATATAGTATGATCACTACCCGATGTTATCGACGTGCATCGGTTCACGCTCAACTTAACTGACTCCACCTTCAACATTTAACCAGTTGACTAGATTTTGGTGGTTAAACAAAACCTTGGGCTTCTTAAATTGCTACCCAGATTCATATCAATAAGCGACAAGAAGTTAAGAGCAAGAAACCTAAACTCACAAACATAACGATATCAGTAGTGACAAAGAATGGTGATTTCAGGGAAGTCAAAACAGGAATATGTGTAACGGCAATTAAATTTGAGTCATATTATCTTAGCTCTATAGCAATCGACAGTAATAACCTTGGTGGGTCGCTGATATCTCTTGGTTTGAATAATATGAAGCCTTTAGACGATTTCCCTCATTTCATCAAATAGAGAAATATAGTGGACTTAAACTCAAATGAAAAGAAGTTTGAGAGAGAATGGCACTTAGGAGCCAGGAGTATATTCATGCAGTAGGCACTGAACTATATTTATTGTATGGGCTATGGGCTAGTGGTAACGACTGATTGTTAGGACCTCGGTGGGTGGTGAGATTCGAACGTGTGACTCACCGGCTAACGGTCAAATGCTTAAGCCAGTGAGCCACAGCTTCACTAGTCTGATAACACGCATACTACTTTCATCTCAAATCTTGAGGTTGATCCCAAAAAACCTCATTTATCTCCTCGGATACCTGTAATCGGAATTAGTTTCAGCTTAATGAAACAAATAATTATGATTTTATAAGGGGATTACTTCATGATGACTATGCAAATGGGGTTATAGTTGAGATAATATGATTTAAATCATATTTATGCCATAGACTGTGAAAGCATTATCTATATGCCTTTTGTAAGGATGATAATTTTATTATCTGCGATAGTTGAGAGGATACTCACTTAAGTGGGAAATAAATATCTAAAAATCTTTTCATCGAGAAACCAGACCAATATGTTGAAATTAAAGTGTGATTGATTCAATCAGACTTTAATTTGTTTAGATGGACTTGTATTCATAAATAAATGCAGTTGCACATTGAAAAGAGATGTAACATGAAGCTTTCAAAGTATGTTCAACAAAAGAACAAGCATATAAACTATGAGTAAATTAGTTTTCGACTAATAAGAGTGATGAAAAATATCTAAGTGTAAAATTTTGACAAAATCAAAGATATTTTACGCCAAACAGATCTAATTAGTATACACTAGAAGAAAATAATAATAACCTTTGCTACTTACAGTAGGATAACATTTTATAAATAAGCTCGCTAAATAAAATACAAAAATGGAACGCAACAGCAATTTATAGATCCCACGGATCAGGTAAAAAAGTTCACATTCTGCCTATACAAGACCAATATGAAGAGCAAAGATCATATCCACCAACCATTGGTTGGAAACCGAGTGATTCGCGCAGTTAATTAGTCTCACAGAATTTATAACCTTTCTGAAAGGCGTAATCAATGTTAAACGCAACTCCGTCTTAGTCCCAGGACTGTCTGTTATCAATATTTGCCTTAACTACCATGAGATTTTTCAGACTTCTTTTAGTGGACTACTGAGTAAGGCTGTGAGCAGGTATGTTACAGTGACAAAATAAGAATCATTTATTAAACTTACACATATTCACTCTTATTCATTCAGATGTCTAGTAAACTACTGTTTTGTGAATTCAGTTTTCTGATTTTCTCGGTTAAAACTAGTAGTGATTTGACAGAAGTTAGACAATGTAACACCAATTCGGTCGAACAGTAAGTCACACAAAAAGTAAAGATTTAAAATACAATAAGTAAATCAGTTTAGGCGTCGACGGAATGAGAAATGTTAGACAGTCAAAGGTCAACGCTTCATTTTTGATTATCAGTTTCACACAATATTAAAGCTGCATTTTTGATGAAACATGTCCAGGTTAATGAGTGAAAAGTACTATGAAGCTATAAAAACCGCAATGTATGTAATTGTGATAAATTAACCGAAGTATAACAGCCATTGTTATCCAATGACAAATAAAACGAATCGTTACGTTACGGCTTTTGCAAAATTAACTGCCACTTTAATGTAGTCCTACAACGATATCAGAATAGGAATATTTCGATTCTCTTTTTGAAATTCTGGTTTTAATTTTTGAATGTTCTCCGAGTTTTGAGCGTTGATCACCAGGTAAAGCGACTTCATCAGATGATAAACACCAGAAAATTATCATACTCATCCCGAGCTACAAATCTTTTCTACCATCTCAAATCTGACCTTAGCAAGTGCTGATGAGAAAATAAAATCTACTATAAGCCATCAGAATTCAGCATATTCATCGGTATAGACGCAATCGACACCAACAGACACTCCATCTACTAACTGCACTACTAAATTACATCGACTAATAACGACAAAAGATAACTATTCTTTTTTTTCATATTGCATAAACTTACGGTAAATAATATTAAACAGAAAGTCTGGTTCCCAAGAGAAAATTATTCGTGTCGATGTATCCCATATAGCAGCTAGACAAGCTAATTGTACCATCAATGGTGTAAGGACAAAAACAGTAGAATTTGAATTAATTATTGGATTAAAAAGATCCTGAGACTGATTTTGTTTTACAGATAGTACCAAATCATTTACAACCTGAGTAAACCAATTCAGTAAAAATTCAGGTCCATGGTGTATACGCCAAGCGGATAATAGTGCAGGGCCTAGAAATAAATCGAAATGGCATACATAAATACACATTAGACTTCAATAAATGTATACACAAGTCACCAAAGGCCAGGCAATGATCGGATATTATGGATAGATTCCAATGAAACATATACGATGAATAACTTTATATTACAACTCATGGTATTAAGGCACTAAATTTAAAGCGGCATTATTTCCTCTGATTGAAAACAAAGTCTCAACCATTACATGAACAGTAAGAGGTCATGTACAATTATACAGAAAGTTCTCTCAGAAACATAAGGGTTGGTTTCCGCTCACCTAAGAGGTAGCTCAGTCAATATCAACATAGGACCAGGTATTATTGCATATTGGTCTAGGTTGCCACATCTCACGTCAGCATATCGAAGTCGAAGGTAGGAAGATGAAAGACAGAGAATTAAGAAAGGAAGTAGTCGAAAGTAGAAGTTTGTAGAACAAAAGGAAGAAGAATAGAATGATAACGAAATTTGGTTCATGTGAAAAGACATCCCGAATACATTTGCACCAACTCAATCGATCGGTCACCTCATCTCTAATAACTGATTTAGGCAATTACGCGCACCCGACTGGGAAGGCCGAACATCGCTGCACGCTTCAGATTAATTGTCAGAAACTTAATTAACTAACTTCATATTTTATGTCTTCCACCTTTAAACATTTTCTACTCTAAACCTACTTCAGCTAACATAGTGTGACAAATAGATTGTGACCAGGCAGGGGTAACTCAAGTCCCAGCCACCTAAGTCGATGAAGGTTCACAAACTCATCAAGTGACTTTCCCCTTCTGCCTAAAACTTTACGCCTGACTTCTAAGTCACTGACCTGGTAACACAAAAACACGCCTCACGCTACGAAGACAACGATGAACAAACACCTGAAACCTTCTCAGGTCCTCTACTTTAAATGATGTTTCACGGACATAAACTTGAACACAACGAACTTCAGCAAACTACACTCTGTACATAATAGGTAATCAGATATGAAAGTGGTGCTGAAAATGGTACCAGTCAGTAAATCCCAGGTGAGCCTTTTGTATCTACACAGAGATTTCGTTAGTCACTGACCCATTTAGGCTGAACTAATTCCCCAGATAAATAAAGTGGTCAATGCGCTCTACCTTTCTACTTGTGATTGTTAAGCAAGGAACAAGTGAAAACCAGTCCTGGAGAGGGAATTCTCATTTGAGTGGCTGTGAACGTATCCCAACTACTCTCAAACTGTCACCTAATGTTTCCAGAAGACCCTACATCCTTTCAACATTACTACCTGTCACACACGTCATCCACGTACTCTAGGTACAATAAGCAATCTCCTACGACAAGGTCAATTTAACCAGGAGAAACACGCTTCCATATATACATTTATGATAAAGTTATATAAGAAGAGATAGAGTAGACATCCTTGACAAACAACATTCAACGTACACAACTCATCAGATATACCATTATGAGCCTTAGTAAGTCCTCTGGTGTTCGAATATAGAGTCTTTAACAGGGTTATGCGCTTACCCAGCACCCCTTTTCCAGTGAGACACTGATATAAGAACTCTAGATCAACGGAGTCTAATAACGTTTTAGTCTTTCTGTCGCAGTTTCCCAGAGTTTGTTTAGAAGCAGACATCAGCATATCTGAAGTTCGTGTTGGCCAGAAATAAATATTTGTCTGAACACAGTTGTGGCAGGTGATGGCGGTTATCTGTACGTTCAGTAGTGATTCTGAAAGTACCACCTGAGAATCTTCTTGATTGTGCACTGAAATCACCTGCTACGACAACCACATGTGAACGCTTCGTTTTCAGTAAGAAGCTAGATAGTTTCCGGTAAAACTCATCTGAACTGGAGTCAGTAGCTGCGGAAGCATCATTCGATCAAACAGCTCATAGGTGACCGACAACTAGGATCTAGTCAAGCAATGGACATCTGCTTTATTGCTTAAAACTAAACCTACACCTGGAAAACCAAGAGAATTAGCCATCAAATCTCCAAAAACTCGAAAAGTAAATTTTGCAGATTTGCCAAATTGATTGTGTGAAGTAAAGCAAATAAATACATTTTGAACCTGCATGCGTCACACAAACACAACACATACTAATGACCCAAGATGCGGGAGCGTTGAATAGCAGGGCTTGTTGTCTGATTTGATGGAGAATGAGAAAATTGAAAGCTACAGAGTGGAGTTTCTAGCGTGGTTTCAGGAGACCAGGGACGGTGTATCGCAAAATAGAATTATTATCAAAGGCCACAGATGTAAAAGAAATCAATGGTGACGAAGAAATCATAACACAAAGATTTGAAGAAAGGCTAGAAAGTAAAGAAACTAAAGGTTGATAATGCTCGGTGAGGACTTAAGTGATGACAAAGATATGAGGGTGGTTGACATTTCACAGTTTCTAATAGTGTTACTTCTTAAGGTCGTTGAAAGAAAAGTCATATTAGTAATAGCAGTGCATGATCGCAAAGCCCAAGATGTACTTGTCTTTTTGGAATTTGGATGTCGAGATTTGACTGTCTCAAATTCAGATAAAAAACCTATAGTGCAAAAACCATAAGACAGTAAGGTAGGGAATAGTGCGCTATTTTGAGGTTCAATTTTTCCTAACAACCTACCTATAGGGAAGCCAGAATCAGTTCGGAATGTGGGTCATCCTGGAGAAACGCCACACTGCTTTCAGGTACCTATCCAGCTAACAGTACGACTTTGCTCTCTGATTCTTATCGTCGTGTAAGCTACTTAGACTGTGATAGTAACTTCTTTTAATTTAGTCACTATCAAACATCTTTATGGTATATTAGGATCAACAAGACTCATTAAGTTATTTTAACATGTAAAAACAACATCAGGGAGGAAGCTAGCGGTAGGAAGTTTTTTGATGATAACTGCTTTGCTGACGGAAAATAAAGTAACTGACTATATGAGTTACATCAATGCAGCAGGTTAAGAACATTCACATCAGCTCAAGAAGTGGCAGAGAGGTGGATTTAATTCACTGTCCTGGATACCAATAATTAATCTATTCAGGATAGTTATGTTTGGTATACTTCAGTATCATATACAGATGATGATCGAAGTTTAAAGAATACCTTTTTCACAGATCAACTTAAGTCTGTCCAAGTTCCGCACCTAGTACAATCCTAGACAGTTTAATTACCAGCCAGTAGATACATAAGCGATGTGGGAGAAAACCTGCATAACCGTGTTACGAAGGAAGAAGAAACAAGACAAGGGATGGATCTCGAAGGACACACAGAAGCTGACAGAGCAGGGAGAGGAAGATGGAGAAGTAGAAGATGAACCAGTGAAGTGCAGGGATGAACAACGAGAAGAGGAACTGAACATAACGTATAAAACACTACACTGGACAAAGAAGTGATGAGTGTGCGCAAAAACGAAAAACACTTCTACGACACACTGGCAAGTGAAGCAGAACAGGCTGCTGGTAGGAAGGACCTGATAGAACTATATCAAATAACCAAAATAATACCTAGAGAGAGACGAACACAGACGAAACCAATGTAATATAGTGAAGGAAACCTAGTTACCGAACAGGAGACATAAAGGAAACAATGGGCTAACCACTTCAAAAAACTCTTGAATCGACCAACACAACCACCTGCAACTCCTTCAGAAATACTATCGGCAGCCCAGCCACAGAACTACCAGTAAACACAAGCACTCACTCAAAACCGAAGTGAAGTCGTGGACGCCATAAAGTTGCTGAAATCCGGGAAAGCAGCAAAACCACATGGAATTCCTCAGGAAGCACTGAAAACAGACACAGAGACAATAGCGGACATGCTCACACTACTACTGTTGAAGGTTTGGAAAGTAGGAAGGAAAGGTACCTGCCTATTGATTAGGAGAAGAGCTACCTTGTCAAACTCCCAAAGAACGGAAACCAAAGTCCCTGCAAGAACTGGCGAGGAATAATGCTCCTGTCCACACCAAGCAAAACATTACGCCACATCATCCTGAAGAGACTAAACTATACGCTAGATTCAAAACTACGACAAAAACAAACTGGCTGGCTGGCTTGAGGAAGAACAAATCATGTGCAGATCAAATTGCAACCCTACACTACGCATCATCATACAACAGAGTATAGAATAGCACTCAACTCTATACTTCAACTTCATCGACTTTGAAAAGAACTTCGACAGCGTCGATAGAGCCGAGAAGTAATTTGTCAGGCAGCTGCTTCAACACTACGCAATGTCACAAACCTTTATCAATCTCATTCAACAGCTACAAGCTATATGATGCCACATCCGAAGTGGTTCACAATGACAAGCTGACTGATGTCTTTGAAGTGAAGACAGGAGTAAGACAAGGCTGCCCACTGTCACCCATCATCTTCCTCATTGTCGTTCACTGCGTCATGCAACAAACTGTGAGCAGCGAGAAAATGGACATATGCTGGCTGGACCCATAAAAAGACCCTACACAATTTGCATTTCCCAGATGACTTATGTCTAATGTCTTGTCGCACAAACTCGAAGATCTACAGGCAGAATACAACAAGTTGACAGAAGTGACGAGGCAGCCAAGACAGCACTTCAAGTGAATGTAGAAAAGACGGAGATGATAAAGATATCCAACCAACAACACCATCAACAACAAGCACCAATCAAAATCACAATCAATCGGAGAAACCTAAACGAAGTAATCTCTCTCACCTAACTGCCTAGACAGCATCCTTTCAACTACAGGCCGCACAGTCACAGACGAGGACATCAAAGACAGGATTGCAAAGACAGCAAGACAGGCCTTCACTAATCTGAAATCAGTGTGGAGATCTACTGCACTCTGCACAAAGCATGAACAACATCCGGATTTTCAACACCAATCCAGTCAAGTCAGTGCTGCTACATGGCTCACAAACTTGCAGTGTCACGAAAAGCATTTCCAACAAACTACAGACATTTATCAACAGCTGCCACCTACGCTCACTTGACACTGAAGATCAGACAAACAGCCAGAAACAATGAGCAACAAGGAACTCTGACCTGGTAGCGAACCAACGAAACAAGAACCCACCGCCCACCAAATATGTAGAAGAAAGTGGAGATGGATTGGATTGGGCATGCACTGAGAAGGCCGATTGGGGACATCATGCGCCAGGCCAAGCCCTTCAAAGGAATCGAAAGGGGAAACGACGAGTTGGGCGTCCGAGCTGAGGGTGACATGGAGGAGATCATGTGAGGAAGAAATGAGAGCTTCTGGGCTGTCTCGGAGCCAGGTTCAAAAGACTGCAGAGAACAGAGTGCTACAGAAGCCCTATGTTCTACTAGGAACCCAAGGGACAAATAATAATAAAATGATCGATAGATGGTTGCATACTCATTACTTAAAAAGGGTGTGAACAAGTAATGATAGTACTCATATTTTGGATGTAAAATCACAGTTTGCCATCTCGCTCAACCTGCTTCCATTTAGGCGAAATGTAGTTATTAACCCAGAAACATAACGTGCATGACTTATAGCCCAAAAGGGAAACTTTTAATGAATTAGTTAGTGGCATCTTATATTTATACAGAGAAAACTAAACGATTAGATGACGTACGCCGAATAGATATGATCACTTGTTCAATGGCAGCTTTTCTCGCATTTATATTTCCTTGGTCATCCGCCAAAATTTTCATCATTTGAATTAAATACTCAATAGGCTCTAGGGAATCATTGCCAAGATTCATAGATGTTATCTGTTCTCGGTTAAAAAGAATTGGAGGTGGTTTACAATTGGCTTGTGTCACCAATCGATTTTGCAAATTCTCAGTACATAAATTTGAATTGATATAAAGCACTGGTGTACTTGTCTTGCAAATATGTTTATGATCAGATTCACTAACTTCTATTTGAGTACTAATTCCAGTAATTACACGACAATTACTAGAAGTTGAAGATATCTCATCTATATGATTTTCAGTAATTGTTGTAGAAGAATTCGGTCTACTAGATAGAATGTTATTCCAACGAAATTGTAAACACCAACTAATGACAGCAGCAGCTTCAAAACGTACTTCACCAACAGGATGTAACAATAAACGACAACATGATGTTACAATGTGCAATAAACTGCGTCTCTGCAATAAGGTATAACACAATACTTTAGAAATGGAAACATATGATGTTAATATAGTACTGAAAATCTCATACATCTTTTTCACATACGGGTGGGAATAAGTCATAATTCATAAGTGTATCTATGAGCATACGATAAATCTTTATACTGTAAAAGCTGGTGACTACATAATGCGGTGCTCACTATTTTGAATTTTAATAATCAGCTTTGATTTTTACGATCATTATGACTGATTTAGCTACAAAAATTTCTGAAGTTAACCCCAAAACTCAGGATCTATTGAGTTACTCACAACTGATCTCGGACAACGAAATAAATACAATAGTACGAGGAAAATACATATCTAAGCCTGAACTACATTTCCTTTGATACTTGCAATTTCCTGTTGCTGTAATCGATGAAAATGCTCAATCTCTGTGAGCAGATAGGCTCCTATACTGAGGCCTCGATAGTCTCAATTAGTTACGCGTTTCACCCTACTTGGGACTCGTCAGCTGGACGTAACCTCACCCTAGTGAGTCATGTAGTTTCCACTGAGAACTTAACACGGTGTCCATCACTCCAAACACCAAAGCTTTATCCACTAGGCCATTGAAGCAAGATATCACGTAATATTGGGCAGTATCGAGTCACCCGTATAGGAACCCTTCTGCCAACAGAGGTGGAGTAATTCAACCCTGTATAGCAAAGAGAAATTACAAGTAACAATCTACAACTGATACCTGTTGCATAACAGGTGGCTCTCATGTCCCAGTGAATAGCGCTTTAGCGTTTGGAGCGGTAAGTATCAGGTTCCAGTCTCAGTAGGAACGAAATCACTCACTGGGGTGTAAGGACATCTAGGTGGTAAATTTCAAATAGGACCAGATGCACGTTCTAGATTCCACTGTTGGTCACCAAGATGTATACAACATTTGAAGTACATGCGTTGTAAATGAAGGATTTGTCAGAAATCATTTCTGATCTGTTTTCCATCAACAGAAGTTGGACACATACAAATCGGTGTTCTATACATATACAAACGATTGTAAGACTCAATGAATAGTAATTTACTTAGCAAAATGTTTTCTTAAACAGGATATGAACAACCACATATAAATGAAAGTTAACAACGAATTGTTAAACAAGATTAGGGATTGAAAAGAGTAGGATACATAAACAATGATGATGGCAATAATCTATACTAATATTAGATGTAGAATAGTACGGTTCATTAATGTGAACATGAAACAGACAATAATCAAAAGAAAATTAGTGATTATATTCACTATCTGTGATTAGATTCACTGTTTTATAAATCTTTATGACAACCCCTGAATGTAATCCATTCACTTCTATATATGCAAGCTGTTTTACCTGACAATGATGCATATAGATAATCTCGAGTTGGAAAACAATCAATATTTATTGAAACGGTACCTAACCACTTTCAAGTAGACCACTATTTCTCAACTTGCACTCAAAACAAAACAATGATTGCATAATAGATTCTCGGCTCTACCTCCATACATTATAATAGGCTATTTATTCCTTTTGAACAAGTACCATATTATTAGGTAGATAATTTATTAGCACTAGTAATTCAAACTATAAAAAGCTAAGTATCATTCGTCTGAAAAGCCATCGTTCTCTCCTCAACAGAAAATATGCAGCGTGGTTGGAAAGTTAATGAAATAAAGCTCTCAGATTACTGAATTTCACAAATTACCTTTTTTCCTTCAGTGAAGCATGACATTCTTAAAGAATAATTACTTAAAATTACTATTACACTGATTTAACTACCTTTATCAATCCTGTAGTTAACCTTAGATAGAATATTAAGTCTATCATATAATAGGAAAATCAACAAACGGAAAAATATTATTACCATTGGTTGTCTGTGAAACCATAAAGAATCAAGCCTTCTATTACCAAATAAATACTTAGTACACAGCTGAAAAATCTTGCTCTCACAGAAACAAAAATAAAAGCATCATAAAAATGAAGCTATACCAGGATACACACGATGAATTTTTGACAAGTAGTTCAACAAGTAACTAAGCGAAAGCGTATATGATCATTTCTGTCAAAATGAAGCATTGAAGAAATAAATATCTTAGAGATGAATGGGGATTTTTATTAAGAGATAATATTCATCATGGACTGGACATCAGCTGGAGAACCAATGAATACCTGAGAGCACTGGATAGCTAAGGAGCCTCATACTAGGACGAAACAGCTGTCCAGTGCTCACAGGCTTTCAATGGTTCCCCAGCTGATGTCAGTCCGTGATGAATATTACCTCTAAATAAATATTTCAAAAAGAGGAACTAATAGGGTAAAACAAAACGAAACTGGATGGATATTGAAACGTTTTTGAAATTCTTTCTAAATCTAAAAGTGAAATGTTGTAAACAATAAAACTCACATCCAAGTTTTGATCCTCTAAATTCTGTTTACCGATAGGACTCATACGACCCAAACACCAATCGAGTGCAACACTACCAAGAGTATTAATATCTGAGTTTGACGTTTGTTGATTTTTAAAGGCGAATGGACCCAAGGATATGGTAATAGGCCTGAAAACTTTTATCGACGGACTAGGTGAAGATGGTTCAATTAATAGACGATGTAACTTTTTCCATCCCGAATCACTAATATAATCATATGAATTCAACAACAAAGCGAATGCTTCGGAAGCCAATGAAGTGACCTATGAAACAAATAAACATGTTATACATGATGATTTAATTATCATATACCAGTAATTTTCAATACTTCGATAACAGAATCAGTTACCACTGTAATACTAATAACTAAGTTATAACGAATTAAATAACGACTGATATTTCTTTTGTCTAAATCAATGCAAGGTAAATCTCAACTCTCCTCATCTATATACCATAGTAGGAAATCCATTATCACTAAAATTAGTAAAAGTTGGTTGTGGTTGTAAATTCAGTCAGTAGTTGTTAACGCCTGGTAACTATTAGGGCCATAATAAGTTAATGGGGAATATCACGCATAGTGTCATCCAACTAGATGACAGTCACGCAGTTAATCATGCTTCAGTGATGAAAGAGAAATAGTTTACGCAACGGACGGTTCTTATATATGTATATAGGGCTAACGTTTAAGCAATTTTAACTCCATTAAATTCGATCAAATTTGACCAGTCAACATCTATATTACCTCCCATTCAAATACATATTCTTTTCAAATCTACGTAAGAAAGTGATATTTAGTTCGCTATCATAAGCACTATATTTTCCAAGTTGTAACACAACTAATGAGAATTCATGAAATAAATGCATGCAAATTGTACTACTTTTGTTTTCTTGTTTTATTCAAGTTTGTTAATGAGATGAACTGGATGAAGATTAATGTTTATATTTACGTTATGCTGCAAACGGCAAGCTCTCTTGAAGTACACTTGTTAGAGAAGATGGAGAATTAGATACCGTTCAACGTGTGACGATGTATTTTACAAATCATATCTTCAAAGGAAACCTATCAGCATTATGGTCGATTATCGATAAATTATTATTGAGATGAATGGGGATTTTAATTTAGAGGTAGTATTCATCACGGGCTGACATCAGTTGGAAAAACATTGGAAACTTAAGAGCGGTGAACAGCTGTTTCGTCCTATTATGGGACTCCTCAGCAGTGCGGACCCACAACCCCGACAAGGATCAAACCCGTGACCTTCAGGTTCTGTAACCAGCACGTTACCATTGAGCCACTACGTCGGTTTTCAGTGGTTCACAGTCTCCAGCTTCTGTCAATTAATCATATAGCGCGAGTATCACCCAAAGTCTTCAGTTTGCATCCGCTTCCCCTCCGACTGGTTGACCCCACAGGTCACGGCTTCTCATTAGAACTTCGTGATATCCATCTGGAAGCATGTCACTAATGAGCACTACACAGTAACGTATTTTTGAAATGAGTGGGGATTTCAATTCAGAGGTAGTATTCATCACGGACTGACATCAGTTGGGGAACCACTGAACTACCACGCAGTGGCTGAGTGGTTAACGCACTCACCGTGAAACCTGAAGGTTCTGAGTTCGATCCCCAGCCGGGTCGTGGGTGTGTACTGCTGAGGAATCTCATATTAGAAAGAAACAGCTGCCCAGTGCTCTCAAATTTTCAACGGTTCCCCAACCGATATCAGTCCGTGATGAATACTACCTCTAAAATAAACTATTAGGTTAAAAAGTAAAGTTAAAGGTATAACAATCTAAGAAGCAATTCCCTTTTATAGGTGTTGCCACCTAACTAATAACTCAAAATGAGAAAATGAAATTATATCTTCATCTTTTTAATAAATGAATGTAACTATTCACACCTAAAAAAGTTAAAAAATTACCTCAGAATTTTCATCTTTTAAACCAAAATTAATCCATTCATATAAGATTTCATCTTCAAGCAAAAAATTCACAGTTTCCAATGAAGACGATGGATTAGCAGCGAAATTAGGATTAATGGACACCTATCCAGTAGAAAAAGTGAAACGATTAAACAGATTTTAAAGTCACTAGAAAGTGACCAATCTTATTATATCTAGTTTTTAGTGTTCACCAAATTCTATCGATCATCTCATAATGTGACCACCAAGTTAGAAGACTCAAGATCATGATGCACTTTGACTGATGTCAGATTATTGCAGGCAATCGATAGGAAGACAAGAAGCTATAGAAGGTCAGTCGCGGCTTGAATACCTCAGTATTGCATTTGTCGCTGAAACACTGGAAGATATGAGTTCGAATCTATCAGACGATATCAGTTTCTTCGAGGTTGCAGATATGCCCTACTGGCGAGTGCCAACAACCATGAAACCTAGGTTCAGGGCTTCTCACCAATTTCCTTCAACCAAGTACCATCAAAATTAAGTGTTAATCAACTGCTTCAATTTTGTTTATCGGCATAATTTCATTGGCATGAAATATTCAACATATTTACAGTCACGTATAATGGACTGTTTTTAAAGTGTCACTTAGAGTTTTATGCTAAAACATCCTTTTATTTTATATTATTCTAAATATTAATGGATACTTTAGTCAAGTTGCAAACATTCCTAAGTAAGCGATAAATAGTTGACCATTTCCATTCAATAAAAACCTGAATAAGAGTCAGGTAAATAGCCAACCAAATTCTTTGGTAAACAGAAGCAGTTTCGGTTTTGAATCTGATTGGAATCAAATTCCTGAATTGGGTGAATTAAATGAACAACTTTTGTTACTGAATACATGACATGAAATACACAAAAGATGAAATTTAGTAAGGGTATTCAACAACTAACTAAATAGAATAACTATTAATGAAGCATTATTTAGACAGTGGATACAATCTTTTCAAAATCTTGTTTAGTGGAAGCCATTAAAAAAATCTTCCAAGGCTAGGAATTTGAAAAGAAACAAAGTATCTGTATTCTAAGATAAGTTACTTTGAATAAAGTTTTACTAGAAAGATGATAAACTGACACGCTTACAAATATCATTTTAAAAGAATACAATTAAAACTAACTTTCAACAGTTTGAGCAAATGAGAGTAAGTTGTTTTACGAATGGCTACCATTTCATGGCTAAGCAACTTAAGAAGAATAAGTTGACCACGCCGTATAACTGTTGTTGAAGCGTTCTGATGAGTAATATAGCTGAAACATTGTTGAGTAGAAGAAGTTCAATTAATCACTCAAAACATATGAAACACTGAGATATGTTGTCAGTCAGTTAAAATAACACGAGATCATCGTAGGACCACTACACAGAAAATATAGAAAACAGTAAAAAAACAACATCAAAAGCAGAGTGGAATAGTAGTGAGGTGGGAACATTCACAGGGAATTTTCTGTCGATTGAATCCAACAAGTGTACCGAAAACAGTAAGGCTACTTCTAACTTATATGTTGAACATACCTGAGTTTTCAAAACGAACAGTCATATAACCTGACGTCTCGTACACACATTCATGTTGTTTATAAAACTGGTAGGTTTGCGGTTAGTGAAATCGGTCTAACCATAATTAAATATCCATGGAATACACAACATTAAGTTCTATATTTAGGAATGAACATTGAAAAGCCTTACATTTCGTATCCAGAGAAATTCAATATGAAGATCTAATCTTCTTGGACTAGCTGTGAAGGCCACAAAACGGCTATTGAAACAAACACTTGCATTTCATCGTCTCATAAGAAATTAAGATTTGAGCGGAAATAAAAAAACCTATTTGGTTATTTCAGCCGTTATAAGACCAGCTTTTAGAGTTGATCATATTCCAGTGTTAGTAATGAGTACCAAAGAGTCTGATAGATCGCGCAAGATAACAGAGATAAGACGAGCAACTTCTAAATTCAGCGTGCATAGTCCGTAGTAAGTGGGCTTGCCATCAGACTGTTGATCAGATCTTCCGGTGAACTTGAAACAGATTTCAGTTAAAAATTCTTTCAGTGTGAACGGAAATACCAAGGTTTCGTAACCTACTCCAAATACATATATATCTATCTAAAGGGTTATTCAACAACCCTCGCCTCCTTTATATGACACCGAACAAATGATTCTGATAGGAGACGAAACATGTGAAGACTGCAAGCTCACACTACTTGGAAGATTAATAGAATTTAGTTTGATATGTTGTCTTGCTCTATAAAATTTATTACATAACTCGAAAAGAGTTGCCGTCAAATGTACATTATGTGCATACTCCCCGACAATTTTGAAATTCACCATGTTTTACAAGCTAATTTCAGTTAGATAGACAAAATCAAGGTAGAATCTCGCACGTAAGTATATTGTTTCAACTTGCCACACTTCACAGAGCACACAAAGAACAAATGGAAAGAAAGAGACTGATATTAAAGTAAACAACAGCGTATGGAAGGAGAAACGGTTTCAAAATCAAGGTCAGTCGAAAACTCCAAGTTTTAGAAGACTTTAAAGAGTGAATACATCTGCACCACTGACCTATTTTCAAGTATTTCATCAAGAAACCTTAACTACTGATTCCTATTGTCTCGGGTACACTAGCCAGGTAGTCTAAACCTCCCCAGAAGATCCAGACCAACAGTAAGAGACTCCACCGACTGATGCCATGTCTTGGTCTGGTCACCATAAGCACTCTTCCAAATTAATCCAGCTTCGTCTAGCATGGCACTTCGAGGTAGGCGATGACTTGGCATGCGCAGCTATTATGATCAGTAACCTAATAAAAGCAGGTACAGGAATACAGAAGACACTAGATTTTTCTAAACTGAAACGATAACTGCTTCCACCATTTAATGTCAAGTTTAACCTCAAGATGGTACTCTCTTTAAAATCTAGTAGCACTATCCTGACAACAACTCTTAGTCAAATGTAGCTCAACTGAGGCACAACGAATTGCTACTTCGACTAATTAAAAGTAAACATTTTTTGTTACAATAACTTTAATGAATTAGATAAGAAAAGAAGTCATAGGTTTATTATTTTAAAAATCAAGATTTTCAAACATACTTTAAACAAAAAAGAAATTGGAACTTACAACTCACTAAGAAATTGTACAAAACTGGAAGCAAAACGTGTCGATCCAGTTATATCAAGTGAATTTACAGCTTCCATGGCTAAATTCAAATTGGCTTCATTAACCTGTCAAAGAGAATAACCTTACTGTTATGTTAAAGCACTTTCAAATTCGAGAGAGTAGGCATTTTATTACCAAAGACGATTACCTGCTCATTTGTTGAATCGGGTATATGAAAGGATTCACTAATATCAAGAAAACCAACTAAACTGAACATGGACAGTCGAAGCTGTTGAAAGAGTAACCAAGTTGAATAAATTGTAGAATTGAAGAGAGCTATATAGGCTGGCAGTCCAAACTTTTGTGATTCCCTTGCAAATTCTGATTCAATGAGCACCGATACATCCAATAAAGCGACAGATAACTGTGTTTTCACTACAGTGGGTAGCACGGCTAAAGCCTAGAGAACAACAAAAACCAAAACTTGATAATCTCATCATAGTGCAGAAGTTATATACCTTTATACATGAAAACCTGATAGGTTGGTGAAGTACACAAATGAGCAATAAAACATCAGTAAACGCACTCCTTAGTCCTTTACAATCGGATTATACCACGAATTTAGACAATATGAGACGATATTAACCATCACAATAGACAGAAAGGCAGCCTTACATCCAACCGTAAAATCTACTTGCTACTAAATAACCTCCCTCCATTCTTGAATGATTAGTGGTTATTGGGTATTCCATTCAAAGTTTTGCCATCTCAGCTACATCTTTTTTGTGTAGCTGAGTTTCAACTCAATAATGCTCGGGTTCGTTATTGAATATAATGATACTCACAGGTAGCAGGCAGCTTTTTTTGACAAACACTCAGTGGAGTTTCAACGATTAACACCGTTTTATTCATAGTGAGTCAAGAGTATCAAACCATGAACTAATGTGATCATTTCAGTAACATAGTCTAGTATACACCTTACTAGATTTCAATTCATTACTTTTCACCGAAATAAGATACAGCTATAACTCTAACAATGAATAACAACCAGTAGAGGTTAAGGTAATGAAGTTAGACACTAATTCATAGTCGTATTCTCAATAGACGATATTTTGATCAACCAGTCCTCATTCATATCAAATGGAAATTTAAGTGAAACTTAAACAAGCTGAGAGGAAAGCATCAGGTCAGAAGTCAGATGAATTCACTGAAAACTTCTATGCAGAAATATATTTCACTGAGTTTATAATAAACTAGTTATAGGCTGGCTCTAGGCTAAGAGACACCTGAAGTACGAAAACCGAGCGCTTTAGATGAGTAAGTTCCAATGGAAGCTATGATTGATTTGTTTAATAGAGAGTAATTGAAGTAACTGAGTGACTGAAAACACTAAAAGTGATAAATAATGTTACGACTCCATAAATTATTCTAAAAATAGCCATTCTGCACTCCCTTTTTAAATAAGTGAGGATTTTTTTCACCACCTAAATAGGTAAACGGTGAAAGTTAACATGAGATCCGGCAATTCTATGCTACAGTTCAATTTTCCGCATCTCATATCAGCACATTAAAATACAAGACAACAAGATACGAGACAGCGGAGTAGGAAACAATATGATCAAGAGTTGTTAGAAGAGGAGCGGAGGTAAAACAAATATTGAAATGCGATGTGATGATTAGGAATAACACAATGCGTGGATGGGTCTGTACCACTGATATTGATTCTAAGCTATATCACCAAAAGTCTCCAACCACAAATTTCAGTTGTAATGTGAACCTCAACCGGGAGTTCTACATTACTCAACTATTTGAAGCTTCATAGACTGATGCCAAGTATTCAGTCTGGATCTACTTCGGCTAAAATCGGGTATGGGGGTAGACTTTGACTAGGCATGCATAACACGTATCGAAACCACCTCATTAGATTAAGGTTCACAGTCTCACCGGCTAGGATTCTCTAAGCTTAACCGTTGCATTCATCGCATCATAGTTCCATGACAAGCAACCAATTCTACGAAGGGAACAATGGTCGAACACCTGAGATTTTCGTGTCCTCCATCTTTAATGAGCACATATGTATCGGAAAAGAGGATATGCTGTATGTTACACATGGTTCTCAACATGCAGTCAGATGTCGCTCCGGTGTTATAAATTGCGTAAGCTGACAAAAGTCAATGGAACCCTTTGTATTTGTGCAAAGATTTCATCGATCAGTGAACCCTTCAGAACTTATCTAACTTCCCTAGCAAGTGGAGTGGTCAACCCACTAAAGCAGTTCAGGGTAGGTATTGACGCAGACCACCACTGCAGTAACAACTTACCCATAAAAGTTATGTCAAAAGCATCCTAAAAATCCTTAAATTGACACTCAAGGTGTTCAAAAGACTACTTCTTGTCAACAACTACACTTAGCAGGACTGTGTTGTCTACAAACTGCAGGCCCATGAACAGAAATAAAGAATTTTGGCGCCCTTAATGGAGTCTACTCAACGTACACAACTCACTTTATGCCTCACCGTAGGCTTTAACATGCCACACTTCTTTAAATACTGAGCCTTTAGTACAGTGATTTACTTATCGATCGCCCTTTTCAGTGAGTCACTGACTAAATAAATAGAACAGCTAAAATGCGTTTGTGGATAACCATAGTGTCAATTCTGTAAGTTTTAATATTCATGGAACGAAACGTCAAGGTAATGGAACAATTTGTGGAGCAATTCCAAATTTCACACCTGGTTTCAGCATTTTGCTTTGCTCATGTATTCGCTTAGCATATTACCCTTGTTTACTTACATAAACCTTTCAGTTTCGCCACGATTACCACCTTTTTGCTTTCAGCAGATAGAGTAGCTGCAACTCAATTTGACACATAATAGGCTTTGAGCCAGAGTTATTGTGTGAGGGCTAATGATACGAACCGGCCACATAAGCCGAAGTAGGTGAAACAATATTTGAACCTGGGATGACCTAATCAGAAGTCAACTTCTTATATCAACAAGATACACTCTCATTTACGAATGTGTCAGGAAAAGTCACTCACCTATGTTAAATTCAATTAAAATGTTATTTTAAATCTTGCGATTAAACAGTAACATTCTCGATCGCCAACCTGAATCAACGAAATTCTGGAAGGTTTAGACGTATGCACTGCTAAAAGTTTCACACAGAACTGGAACGATTTCCAGCACTAACTGATATTAACTGGTTCTGTGACTATCACTCTGTGATAACATCTACTTCAGACTAGAAAATTTATCGTATGAAAAAAAGGAAGGATATGTATAAATTGTGAGGTTTAACCAGGAACGGCAAACATGTTCGTATCATGATATGCTAACCTCAAACTCTCCTGACTTACGCTGCACAACTCCATGTTTAATTAAACTTAGCCCATAGTGAGGAAGATAAAACTCTACTATCTTATGTTTTAGGAAATTTGGTTTTAAATTTTTACTATAAGAAATGAAAAGGTTTAAAGAACTATAAGCATACCGTTTCTGGAGTGAACAAGGAATTGATAAGGCGAAATACTCCGGTAACTAGACCAATGTAAGTTTGTCGTTCACATTCACCAGGTAAGTTTGCCTTTGAAATATATTCAACCATTTTAGAAGTATTCCAGCTAATATGGAATTCAGAAATTATAGTGCCGAATTCCTTGTGATTGTTTGAAAAATATGATATAGCAGAACCTAATAGTTCCAAGGATGTGAAGAAGGTAGATGGCTAAATAAAGAAATGAAAAGTACAAATTTACGACTTATTAAGTTTTAATACCATTTACATGTAGTTATGGTTCAGAAACATTCCACGATAGGTTATTTGTATGAATCGGAAGTAGTAAAAGAGATTAATGAAGTAGGAAAGACATATATGGTGGTATTAATAATCTAAAGACATCTAAAAAGTCAGAATTATCCATTACTTTCTCATTTCTGAGACAAAGACGATGGTATTAGGCACACCAATGTATTAAAATATCAGGATTTATCGGGAGATCATATTTTTAATCAATAGAATATACTACGACGCATGAATGAAGGTAGGAGTTTAATGAGAGCCGAATGGACACAAGATATGGGTTAATGGCTTCCGGATTTACAATGCACAGCTAATTTACAAGACCTGCAGCAACTCAAGAACCCGACAGACATGTAGATCGATAAACAGAAAGAAAGAGAAAATCAACGTAGAACCTAACACAGCAATACATCAGTTCAAGTTGTCACACTTCACGGTAGTATACAAAGAACAAGTGGACAGAAAAAGACTGATATCAAAGTAGACAGAGGTGTATTAAGGGAGAAACGACTTTAAGATAGAGGTTAGTCAAAATAATCAAACTTTAGAAGACGTCGAATGGTACATACATATGCACCATTGCGACCGATTTTTAGCGATATCACTAAGAGTCAACCACTGATTCCTATCGTCTCGACGACCACAACCAGGCAATTAAAACTTCTCCATACGGCTTAGACCAACAGTGAGAGACTTCATGGGCAGGTGCTATGGTCTTAGTCTGGTCACCCTGATCCCTCTTGCAACCTAAACCAACTCCTGCTAGCACTTCACTTCGCGCTAAGCAGTGGTTCGGCATGCGTAGCATAAATCCAAGCCACTTCAGTCGCTGAAGATTCACAATCTCAGTTGACTTCTTTGACCATTACCTTTGGCCTGACCTCGACACTGCATCAATTTGCCTGTTCGGTAAGTCAGTTTCAACATGGCACCAGGCAGTTCAACTCACCACACCTCACGTCAGCACGTGAAGATACCACGCAGGAAGACGAAAGATGAGAAAATAGAAGAGAAAGTGATAATTTATTAGGTATATAAAACTTACCAGATCGGAGGGTTTAATGAGATCACATGTGGGAGGTGTAACAAGGAATACAAAATTAATAAATGACATTGGGTCATTGGTTCGGATGTCATGAAAACTTCTGCCATTTGAGTAGTACGGTGGTGAGGTGATAAACAAGTCAGTAATAAGTTGATCCCGATATCCAAAAGAAGTAGAAAGTTGGACTCCATTTTGTATTTCCAGCTACCATTACGGCTTGTATTGCTTTGTGATGAAGAATAAACATTCTGTAGGGCATGCTGATTATGATAGTCAAGTTGTGTCAACAGACCACTAGCTATTGCACTGAATAACTGAGAACAGAATTCCAGAGTTGAGTATGACTGTCTTTTTACATCTTCATCAGAATCTAAAACTTTTATCCTTGCTGAGGTAGAAGTATAGATGTTGTGTTGTGTTGAGTCAGCAAACGATACACCCGTTTGATCAGTTTCACTGAAAAGGCTGTAAGAATTTACTTTTGATTATGGATTGATGTAGTAGCTAAAAGTTTCAAATTATAAGACCATGCTTGAAAAATAAGACGAGTTACACATATCGACATGGAACCTGGAATTATTGTGAAGTGGTTAAAGCTGCCACTCCTCAAATCAGAAAATCAAAACAGATAGAACGATGGGAAACAAACAAATGTAAACCATATGATAAAAGGCACAGAAACCTATGACGATAAAAAAAGAACGGTAAAACGGAAAATGAAATACGATATCATGAACATGATGAAGATAATGTGTGAATGCATCTACCCTATTCGGATCAATTCTAAGTCATATCATCCAGTTGAAATCATACACTTTGTTTAACCTCGAAATTACTCATATGGTGCTTCATTTGAAGAATAAGATAGGTGTTTACATCAGTATAATGTGCCAGTGTGTCAGATATAGACCACCGACTGACTACCGGATAGGGTGGAAAATAGCTGAAGGAAACGAGCGATGAATGGTACAAATGATGATTACAGATGCACACTACCGGATCTGCAAGTGCCAAGTTGAGATTGGTAACAAAAAATAAAACTAAAATGCATAACTTAAGACAAAACTTGACAACATTAACAGCAACTGAAAAACCAACCGGTTGACATAGAGAACACTGAAAGAAAGTCTTCAGAAAGAAGCTCAGTAGAATTTTAAAAGCATATTGAATGGAGGAAAATAAACAAATGCATAATCAACCACTGACAAAAGTGGAAGGATTTCTTCTTCAGAAAGGAGTGTATCACAAGGGACGCCTCAATATTAGAATTCTTTTCTGCACTGAAATTATCATTCAAAACATCAGCGTTAAATGAGGAAACTCAACAAGTAGAACGATAAACATTAATGCCTCTGACCAAACAAAGTACAGGTTAAACTCAGCCAACCAATCATGGATAAAGAACATTAATATACTCTCGGCAGACAAAGGGCGAACCACTGCAGTCATGAACAAGGAAGACTATATGAAGAAGACGGAGGATTTCGGATCGAAATCCCCTCAGCAACCCTTTGCATATCCGTGCAGTAGGCAATGAACCACCCCTATTGTTTGAGAGCTAATGGTACTACTTGGATGCCAAAACGTCGGTAGAAGGAGCGCGGTTCGAACCTACTACCAATAGGTTGAAAGTCAACTTTCGAAACCAATGAGTTACGACTCCTTGAGGATTCACTCAAGAACGAAGATGTTCATCAGCAACTAGAAACTAACCGTATTCAAAAAATTGATAACCAGACCATTGAAAGCACAAACAAACTTGTCAAAGCAGTAAAAATGAAGAAACAAGACCAATAACGAATGAAATCAAATCAAACTGTTCTTGCTATTTTACAGCATACCAAAAATATATAAACCGGACATTCGTCTACAATCAATAGTCTCATTTTCGAGGACCCTAGTCCACAGATTATTCAGAGAACTTTCGAAGAAACAGAAAAACTTTGTGAAACCATGCATAAATTCCATTGAATCGCTGGCAGAATCTCAGGAAAGGCGTAAAGGCATTTATACAGACAATGACGAATTATTAGTGTTCATCGACATCACAGTATTATACACATCAATCGAACCAGAACTGATTAAGGATAGTATGTCTCTCCTTATCACTGACGATACAAGGCTAGTAGAATGTAAGAAACATCAGTACTCAAGTCATGAAATCTAGATTAATTGCAAAAGCAGTAATGCAGAAACTGGAAGGTTTCATTTTACCGATGATCAAACTAGAAATTTGGATCTGCTACGTGGAAGATACTTTGTCGGCATTAAAAGAGGATGAAGTAGTAAGCACTCAGAACTTGATCAACGTTTTCAACATCAAATTCACAATAGAGGAGGAACCAAAAAACAAACCACCATCCCTGAACCTTTCAGTCAGTAGAACTAAGGCCGGAAAATTGGAGACCCAGGTGTACATGAAGCCAACACATACTGATCGAACCTTCAACTGCAGTAGTAACAGCCCAAAAATGGGCAAAATTAGTTGTATACGGACTTCATTCAAAAGAGCGAAAACACGCTGCAGTACAACTTCACAGAAAAGCGAAGGAAATTATATAATACCTATCTTGAGGAGGGATAGTTACCCATACAACTTCAGCAGATGCCTATCCGGTTCACCATCAACTAAAAAGTCATCCACGGAAATCAGCATACGGATCTTACCATACATAGGAAACGTATCAGAGATCCCGACAAGACTACTGAGACCGTTTGGAATTGGTGTGCTACATAAATCAACAAATTCAAGTCATATTCTGCAAAATAAAAGGGGTAACAGCTAAGGTAGACAAAACAAATATTATCTACAAAATCGAGTGTAACCAGTAAGTACTAGACTGGAAAATGCGGTTGCCCTGTTCCTTTCCGTATACATGGACGTCAGTTGGCAGTAAACGTTATAACATTTAGCCTCTTGTATCAATGCAAGTGAACAAATATGGACACAAATTCGATTTTGAAAATGTAGAGACCTTAAACATAAAAAACAGAAGGAATACCAGAGAACTGTTAGGAGCTTGGCATTTAGGTCAACCAGCAATCAGTAGGTTTATAGGTGTGGACCCAATCTACCAACCGATAAGAAAAGCGATACACAACTAAAAGGCAAGAGGTCAGACAGAGAAACGACTTTCAGGAAAATCTGTGCAGCCAGCGAAACAACAGTCATGAGGAAACTACCCCACCACAAACCACTTCATCGTGAAAGATCACTGACTCTCTTACAAAGAAATCCTTATAGCTGACTCAATATTGAAGTTAGTGCTGATGTTGTCTAAAAAGACAATGAAAGCTTCGCGATTAAACCAGCCAGCTCAGAAAATGCAGCACGACCAAGATCTAACGAGTTCATAGAATGGAATAAACGTAGATTTCAACAGCTTTTATTCGATCAGTGTTAAACAAGCATTGCTTAAAACACTAGTTTATAGAGCTAGAAGGATATGTTCAAGTAATACATTGCAAGAAGACTTCATCAACATTGAAAAATCCTCCAAGATAACGGTCATCCACAGAAGTTTATCAATAAATATGGAAGATTTGAAGACAATAACTCAAAGAAAATCACAATAAGTTAGAAGCCAGGTTTTATTAAAATCAGCTTCAAAGGTAATTTCACAGGGAGAATTAGCATAAGACTTAAAACTGCACTAAACGGAACATATTGTGCAACCAAGTACCACCAAAAATTGACAGCTTCCGTTCTTATTTTACATTTAATTTTGTGTACATGTTTACGTGCATCTGCAGTAGCAGTCATATAGGGAATACAGAGACAAAGCTATACCTTGGAATTCCTGAACACGTGCCAAAGATCCTACATTTTAGGGGAATAAAAGCTTTCGGCATTTCGAACGTTCAACATCTTATCGGCAAGAGACATGAAGTAAATATCTTGAAATACTTCAACGTAACCAGCAAGTGGAGTAACACAACTCTTATGAAGTTTGATACGGCAGTAGCTATCGAGAGACTGAAACCGGAATTACCCGTTCAAAAACAAGCGGCCAATAGTCTTTCGTTGTTCCAATAACCCAATTTTTCTCTCTTCCGCTTAACTGATGACATCATCTTTAGGGTGAACCTTTTTTCTATTTGTACGAAAATTTGATAATTACTTTTATAAACTGAGTTCAACTCGTTATATTATTAAATTATTTCTGTTTGCTACTTGTCATCAACAAATTTATCTGTTAATCTTCTTACGTAACTGCCAAAACACTTTTCTACTGTTCGTATAAATTTTCTTGAACTTTCTGATGAATAAGATGTACAACTGAAACTTTTGAACATGTTTTATTAACTCCGTCCGAATAGTTATTTTCCTCCTTACGTTATGCTGCTTTCGGTTAACTAGTTTTATTGTATAAAGTATGTCCAAAATAATATAGAATTTGAGTACTGTGGTAGAATCTAATTTCATATTATATATGTATATTCGATGTAGCATGAAGTGATACAGTACCACTTACCCGTTGTTATGTTTTCACGCCAATCAAAAATGTGCGCCATGATACCGAAATATATGCTTCAGGACGAAACGTTGCATCTCCTAGCTTTTAGACACAACGGGATGCTGCTTCCCGTGTTTGCAGCTTGTTGTTAAACACCATATATATCTAGATACAGATTTTGTGTTACTAGATAGTTCGAAAACAGACCACTTTGTACATCCGTTTACGGTTATAGGAATGTCACAATAAAGAAAGAATTTAGACAGTTTCTTCGGCAAGAATATTGAATATCCTAACGGATTACCAATATTCCACATGTATAGAGATGGCATGATGTTAAGCAATTTATCGTGTTAAATTACATGCAAAACGAGATTTCTAAGGCCGAACTACAAACTGTCAACAGAAAGGTCAAGGCTATGGAAATCTAAGGTCTACGCACAACAGATATAGGTCGAAGAGTACATATTGAATATTAGGCTTTATATATAAGTCAGCATGCAAGCAGGCTACGTATATTAAATTATGATCTATAAACTTACACCGTTTCTGAAGGACCAAATGTTATCGAGTCACCAGGTCGGGAAGTGTGAGCTTATAAAACATAAAAAACAGTGTTTTCACTCGAATGGCAGTATTATTATAAGATGAGGAAATAAAATAACAATGACAACATAGATCAAGGTAATGAGAGACAGCAAGATTCGAAAAATAAAAATAATCAAAACGTGAGCCTATTTTCGGTTACCTAGTTTTTCTATTTCAATCAAGGAAAGCATAAAGAATCTATCTCAATAAATTACCGACGGATGTCAGTAATACAGTGTTACAGAAAGTTTTGTCGCTTAATTTCGTCCAACCATCAAACCAAACTCTTAAGAACGTAAACTCTTAATCGATTTGTATGTTTATTACAACTTATATCGTTGAATACGACAAATTCATCTCATAAAGTCTGTAACTCTAATGGATATTTCAACCCAAAACTGATATAGTATACCTTCACCAGTACTGTGAAATGATGTGCAAACAAAAGTAATCGATAATAAAAGTATTTACAATGCATCATTTTCCTACAGATAATTGGCATTAATTTGATTCGTCTAAAAACTACCAATGCAAATCGTCTGGAGATTGTCGTATCATTAATACTTTGGCGTTAATTTCAGACTAGCAGAGAAATTAAAAGCCAATGATATAAAGGGAAGTTAGCAGGCCTACTGAAGTTAGTCAGCGTGAATTGTTCAGTGCTAACATCTGTGACTATAGAATTCAATTATTTTAGTTTTTTCAATGGAAACATACATATTCTTGAGCTTGCACATAGATTATACTAATGAGTGCCAATAACCCAATTTTTTGAAAAGGTGTCTCGTGGATCAGTCCCAGAAAATGTTTATTAAACAGAATCAAGCGATGGACAGACATTCTCACCAAGAAGAGCTCAGTCGAAGTAGCTGAAATTTCCAGTGCTTCAGTAATTCAAATTGCCCACTTTTATGAACGATAGCATGTTTCAAAGCAATTTGTTGGGGCATCTTTAGGTGCAACATATACAGTAGGTATGATGTGCGATTCCTAACCTAGTATACCAGTGTGAAGGTTGATGACTTTGTGTTTATTTGAGGTAAAGTGATGCAAGAACCTACAATACATCTAACATTTATTTCTATGTATTCAAAGCTGAACAATGTCCACAGACGAGGAAAGATATCTTTTATGTCATACAGAAAAGAAACAAGAATTCAGTGGGGAAATTTTCCTTTTTCAACAATGTCTGTTACTAACCCTATACAATCCTATTCGTAGAAAGTTCAGAAAAATCTTTCGATTTGCACGCTGAGGTTATATTAAAACTTATAATGATTCAATCAGATTTGGTCCTCCCAGAACATTCGTAGCAACTATAGGATGTTTATATCATGATTTTTATGATCTTGAAAATCAACGTTCATAAAAATTTTTCCAAGAAAGAGGACTTTTTAAATGTTACCTAGCTCTTATGTTTTTTTTTCGATTAACCTTAAGGGAAATGCATTTTTCGAGAGCACTTGCCTGTCATTTCAGTTTACCATCAATCGAATCGTCTGTGAAAGTTTTTTTTTTTAATTCTATACCCCAGATATAAGGACTAAACATTATGAGATTCGCTGACTTTCACATATTACTTAAATAATTTATGTTGACTAACACAAGGAAGTTACGAAAATTTTTAACAATGAACACAGTTTACTCTTGTATTACTACCACCTGTTACTGTTGACTGTGACAAACCTACTTGTTAGTGCTTATTGAGATCAATATTGTTTGTATGATTCAATACAGTTACATTGCTTTAATTGTGCAATTTTGGCATACAAGAAATCCAAAACTGAATACAGTAGCTCATTTTTTAAAACAAACGAAGTCAACCCTATCGGAAACTGGAAGATGATAGTTTTATAGATATAACTCACCCCTATGAGTTTCTAAAACATCCGACATCAAAGTGGTGGCATGTACCTTTATAATCCTTGACGTGAATGATGATACTGAGTATAATATGTGAGGAAAGTATTGAGACTAAAATGGTAAAAATTAGTATTTTCCAGCTGTTAAAACTAATCAGGAAGGAAACAGGTGTAAGAATCCCAGTACTTGGTAAAATGACTAACTAAAGTATAGGTAAGTTAAATAATGGGCGGTGGACCTTTAGATTCGAATAGAATACACTACGTAAGGATGAAGTATATCTTCTGTAATTCACCAGGTATGGTTGTGTATACTAAAGTTATCGCGAATCTTGAGAATGAGAGTTTCAGTTATTGGTAGTTAGTGGTAAAACGTTTGCAAATGTGATACCGTAACACTAAAAATAACATCAGTTTGTGTTTTGGATAGAGTGGTAGAAGTTAGGTGAAGTGTCATTAAATTATTTTAGGGAAAATATCTGTAATATTTTTTTAAAGAGCAACATTAGCTTACCATTTGACAACTTGTAATTATTAGGATCTAGGTGATAATAGACTCTCCTGATGAGACCACGACAAAAGTTGATCAAACAGCTAGTGGTAGCGTAATTAAGCTCCAAATCTTTTCCATTCAAAATCCGGAAAAGAGTCTACATTGATAAAGCATATTTACGTGTAAGAATTTAGTACACAAAAACGAAAAGGTGACATACGTAGCTTGTGTGGAATTAATATAAATACAGCTGGTCAGCCTAATGCGCATTAATGTACACCAGATTCAAAATACAGATCAAAACTAGTATTTCATAGCTTATTTACATTACTTTGGTGTTAACACAAAATCCTGGTACAACACAAACACAAAGATATGTGCCATGGAATATAAAATCCATCTTTGAAAAGAATCGAACACCCTAGTAAAAATAAGAATAAAAAACAAGTGTTAAACCGACCCTGATTACGATTGGGCTATTATACTGTTATCAGTTGCACGCAACTTGGTTATTGAATATACCTTTGCTTAGTACATTACCACACATGCAGTGCTCATAATACAACCTAGTTACCTGAACCTCAATAGGCGCGGTAGAATAAGGAATGAGTGGTTAGTAATCAGTTCCTCATGCCGACCAGCTACAACACTCTATTAATCCAAGAACCAGTATGGTATCATACACAGGGGTGCGACACCAACAAAACTTTCCACCATTCCTGACTATATATTTTAAACAAACTTTTATTTCTTTTTACATTATGCTCTATATAGAAAGTACTAACGTTTTGTGTCAACAATGAGTCAAACTCCCTACACCAAGCGTTTTTCAATAACTTGATTTGCTGGAAAAAGGTTTTTAATATATCTTACCGTTATTTATTTATGAACAACCATAAAATACTGCCAGTAAGAAACTGTCATGAATGAAGCATAATTCTAGTCACAAAAAGTTGGATACTCAGCTTTTCATGTGCGAAAGAAAATTTTAATGCTGAAATTTATGCATTGTCGAGGATATGATTGACGACATAACTAACGATCTTCATATATATAAACTAGGTCCATATCAAAAATATGTGGCACAATGACTAGGTTTCAAATGCGTAAAGCCCAACGCATGTTACAGTTCATACAACAAAACTAACGGCCTCCTAGTTTTCATCCAATAAATTTTTGGAAAGATAAGTGAGTTGGCTATTAGAAAAAGACCCACTAAACCGTCTCGGCATTTTGAATGCCTTTAAAAGCATCAGGAATATGAAACTACAGGATTCCGGTACGGTGTGGTTACCATACCACTAAATTATTTCTGAATTTCAGACGCTTTCCTGAATTCATGAGACGTCTGAGCATAGTTTCCATGTAAGTACTACAATGAAAGAATATCATTTGCAACTGTATTAGAGATATCACATCCACAAACGAACTCGGTTTGACAACATTTAGGCTTATAACGCAAAGGCTGGTACTCAAATTACTGAACTATTCCCCAATAGAATGTTGATTTTTTGAAAAAACAAGATCTCAAAACTAAAAAGATAAATGGAAAATTGTTACCAATGTTGTTTACCCCAATAAACTCAGTCCTTTGAAGAAATACTTCAGCTGGGAAATCCTTGAGCACAACGTCACGGAGAAAGTTGATACCAGAGAGAGATATGTTAGGTTCTTTTGAACAAACCGATCTAACAGGTTATTAAATGATAAAATAAAACAATTAACCAACCTCAAAGTTGTTCGTAGGACACCAATATCGGTTTTCGTAAGCGCGATTGTGGGAAAATATAACAAGTAATTTTCTGGAATGAGAGCAGAAGAGGAGATTTTTTAATGCATATCCGCAGTTAAGTATGTGGTAAGTATATCACAGCAATAGAGCATTACAGTGGCGTAGCTCAATGCAAAGTGCGGAGAGATGTTATTATGCAGAAATTAAGAAATAGGAAGATACTCATGGAATGTTTAGAAACGTAAATACATGAAATCACATTATTTGAGAGGAAATGTGAATATGCAGTTCGGCAAGATAATCAGAACTGCAAACGGTACACTAATAAATTTGGTACACACTACACAAAAACACCAACAAAGTAGAGTTCCGTTACACCATTATAGTGTCAAACAAGATTGTAGTTGTGACATAAATATGAATTCATAAAGCGCATGCATACACGAGCTATTTGTATCACACTTTAGAAGGCAGACATAAGGCCAAATAACGAATACTCGAGAGTGACAGCTGACTTTCTATAGCCCTGACCCACTCTAACTATTTCAACTGAAAATCTTATCTCTGGAGTTACGGTTGAACAACTTAAGTGAAGTGATCAAATTAAAACTAAAAAACAAGGTGATTGAAACTAGGTATCTAAAATCTGCGAAGCCGCTGCAATGATGTTAGTTGTATAGAAGAGTGTGATTATATGTTTGTGGTCTAGATTCTACAAATGAGAGGCTGACAATCCTAGGCGGCATGGTTCAAAATGAGTTGTAACAGCTAAGATGCACCCTAAAATTCTCTCCAGAGCTCGAAAATGATATCACTGTACATCTGCCACTTTCGATACTTTATCTTTGATTTTATAATGGAGCCAACGTAATTACTTCCGTTTTCCGCCCTTTGATTATCTTTAGGTTTCTTAATACAAAATGTGATATTGTCAAACATTTAGTTCCCTTGAAAATTTCTAATTAAGCAAGAACAAAGACAATCACGTAACAAAACGGATTCATTTTACTTCGTGGCCTTTCATCAGCTGCAAACATCCTACGATTGAATTGAATTATTGGTAGTAATACTGAAATAACATACACTGAATATGTAGAAATAGACTCGAATTCAAGGAGTGACCAGCAGTTAGTGAGGCAAAAAAAATGCGAAAATATTGATCACAAATCTCAGTCAAATTAGTGGGAATTTGTAATGGATGAGACAGGGAATTCTGAGGTTTAGAAAGGGGAGAACTACAAAAATATGGTAAGTTGAACCAACAGGGTATTGTACAAAATCTAATGCTCTTTATGTATACGTGAGGCACCTATGTTCTAATACTAGCGAGGAATAAACAGGAACTCATTTTAAGATACGGTCGAGAAGTTAGTACCAAAACCCCCCTGAATTAAGATCTCGCTGATGGTAAAAATTTGGCAAATACAATTTAGTGACTGTGTACACGCCTGCACTAAGACGTGTACAAAGCTATTGTGTGATTGGCTAATAATACTACCCTATTTTTTTAAGTCTATGTAGGTGAAGCAGATCTATTAGTAAGAATGGTCTTCGAAAAAGAGCCACACATTTCAATCATAATGCAAGATATTGTAATGTGTTCAAACCTAAGCCAAGTAGAGCTGTGGTTTAATGAATTAGGTATATGGCTCAGGTGGTTAGGGACTCCTAACACCACCTTATCTACGGAGGTTAAAACAGCCATGTAGCCACATGAGTGATTGATTGTCAACATGAAATGGTCGGTAGTTGTTTAGTTAGACTGCCATCACTATCATCCAAAAACTTGCATCACCAAGATCGAGAAGATTAGCTTTGATCATACATCATTGTTCATGCCATGTGCTGAGCTAGATAGATAGGGTCTTAAACAGTAGAGGATGAAAAGAATGGAGTAGTCAAACAGCAAAAGCGTTTACAGGCAAAACGAAATAGGATAATATTTAAACATAAAATGCAAGTCAGTTAACTAGTTTCTTTACCATCCTGATGTCATATATATGCAAACAGGACACCCCACGAAGATAATACCAAGTCAGCATTCATTCAATCTTGACAAGTTTTATGTTTATTGCAGAGAGCTTCAGGTTGAGTCTGAACTAATATATAGGCGGCTTATAAGCAGGTTTCGGTACTCCAGTTGGTAGAAACGAGTGATTTGTTACGTGTTAAATGTCTCAAAGTAAAATACGACGTGTTTATGGAGGATCCCATTTAAATCTTTGCGCTATCAAAGAGAAATAAATAAATCAAATTATATCCTATTATTGCAATATAATTCATTCACTGAATGGAAACTAAATAATTAGTGAGAACAAGATGGATAGATTGCAACAACCAGTTTGATTGTTGGACCAATGATTTGTAAAATGAATCTGTGCGCTGCAACTATCAAGTGATACGGCGATTATTTGGTACTGAAAAGCCAAATTTATTGAGAAGAATCGAAATGCTGGAAAACAAGAGAAACAATTTCCCTGGCAGATGAATGGAAAAGCGAGAAATAACTTGAAGAATGAAGTCAAGGAAAATTCTGGACCAAGACACTAGTGGGAAATCAGTGAACTTACGATAGATCAAACTGGAGGAATCAGAAAGGGAAGAGGGACCAGCGTCAGAATTGTTATTTCCTTGTGCTGCAGACAGATTGAACGAAACTTTGCGGGCTTGTGAAGAATCAGACGAAGTTAGTGTCAAAGAGGTTGAACCATAAGAGTTGAAATAACTAGACGCTTGGATTCCTCGGCCAGTATTGCCCTGCAATCTCTCTTGCGTGTTGACAACCGAAGGATCTTCACCGAACAAAACACAAATCTCGTCTATATGCCTTCTTATTTCACCATTTATTGGAGAACTACGCATTTTTGCGAACAGAGATAGCCCACCAGACAACACTATAAGTGCCTTCGTATCAGGATTCTTAAGCGTACATTGGATATGTATTTTGAATGCTTACCGAAAGCAGATTCTTAAGAATGACAAGTATGCAGTTAGTTTCGAAGGATGGATTCTGTTCTAAAGAAAGCAACAAAGCTGTCACTAGTTTTGACAGGCATTCTTTGTCTGAAGGTAGTAAACCTCGGTTCAATTTCGAATGTATATTGGCCAAACTACGACACCTAATTTCTTCGAGCGGATGACCTATTAAATCAATTCCATATCTATTGTGCGAAAACTAACTTATTTTTTCAACGAGGTGACTAAATTGATCACCACTATACATGATGGTCAGCTGACTAACACGTTTGCGTCTACGTCTACGTCAAATCGTATTTCCGCAATATGCATTAGAGACCAATCACTTAGCCGCATTTTAAACGGCCTCAAGGACAAACTTCAAATTTAGTGTTATGGAAGTGGCGAATACTAGCACATAGAGTTCTGTATGTTTAATCCAATATCTTTTTAACTAGCTTGTGTAAACCAGTTGATTTCTTCGCGCTCGCTTCTTGGTCTTGCGGAACTGCTCCAGATCTTTGGCGGATTCCAATGCAGTAGGTCCAGCCACTCGTCTGCTATAGCTCTGAGTTACAGAACAGGAAGTTAAGTGTTGGTTTGTTTGCCTTGGACTGTGGTGCAGTCGGCTTCTTCAGATGTTGAGTTGCCAGACAGTTGTTAGGACTGGTCGCTAGAGAGGGTTGGGGATAGTGAAGAGAAAACCTAGAAAGTGTTTGTGTGAGTGAAAGAAGAGAGGAAAAGTGAACTAATGGAGTAATCTAATTACACCCGGGTAAGGTGAGTAGGAGTGCAAAGGTATGAAGAACTAAGGTAAGTGAGGCTAACCTATGGCAAGTGGAAGGGGTGAAAAGGGCTTAAATGGTTACAATAGAAAGAAAACTGGTTGGGGTGGCTTGACATCACTTCGTGTTCCAGCTATGTGTGGGTAGACCGTGAGTCTCTGCACGACTGTCCAGTCTTTTCTTGAAGCTTCCAACAGTTGGGGGGAGACCACCTCTGCTGGTAGTGCGTTCCAGTACCCACAGACTCGGAGAGAGAAGAATTGTGAACGCACATGCGTTTTTGACCTCTGGTGTGCTATTCCATTGGCGGTTCCTCGAGGATCTCTGTAGTGGCCGCTCGGCCGGACTCCTCTGTTTGGGTGACTTGGGTACCCCATTGTTTTGTAAGCCATTATTAAGTCGCCACGTATCCTTCGATAGCTAAGGGAGTATAGACCTAGGTCTTTGGGTCTATCCCCATGTAGTTTTCGTTGCATTCCAACAACCCCTTTTGTGGCTCGCCTCTGGACTCTCCCCAGTAAGTTCGCGCCTCTTTTCAGCTGTGGTGGAGCGAAAACGTTATGGACCTCTAAGTGGGGCCGTATGTAAGTCTTGTAGAGCTTCAGAAAGAGTTCTGTTGTGAGGGCACCCAGTTGTCTACGCACAAAGTGTAGGACCCCATGTGCTTTTGAGACATCACCTGGGTAATTGGAACTGGTATCCGGTTCCTCCGTCACCGTTAGACCCAGGTCTTTTTCTGTTATGGTGTGGGATAGACGTGAACCACAGAAATAGTAGGATGTTTTCTGGGGATCAGGAGTGCGGAAAAACATGGACCAGCACTTATCCAGATTGAATGCCAGTTCGTTATTAGTTCCCCATCCTCCAGTGTTCTGAGGTCCTTCTGTAATGCCATGGATTCCGCCTCGCAAGTTATTGCCCTCCATAACTTGACATCATCAGCGTATAGGAGAATCAAGGGGCTGATATGTTGCGGCAAGTCATTTACGAACAGTAGGAACGACAGTGAGCCGAAGATTGCCCCTTGTGGGACACTGGACGGGGATGTTTTCCATGTTGAGTAGACCCTGTTGACTTTCGTGCAGAACGCCCTGTTGTCTAAGTAGTTCTGCAGCCACGATGGCACCTGGCTGCGAATACCTAACCCAGCTATCTTATGTATTAGGATATGGTGTGAGAAGGTGTCGAGGGCTTTGGCGAAGTCCAGAAAAATTACGTGGACTGGGACCCTGAGATTCCAGCATGCTGTCCAGTGATCACGGGCCGTCAGGAGGTTGGAGGCACAGGACCTACCCTTCCGGAAGCCATGTTGAGCGTCACTGAGTGCCCGCTCGGTGTCCAGATATTCTCTGATACAGTCGTTCATCACACTTTCCATTACTTTCGATATTACTTGCAGAAGTGCTATGGGTCTATAACAGTTGGGATTCCGTCTGTCTCCTCTTTTGAGGATGAGAGAGAAGATAGCCCGTTCCCACTCTCGTGGGAGCTTTCGCCCACCCAAGGAGTGTTGGAAGAGGTCGCAGAGTGGGCCACTTAGGGTACTTGCACGGTCTTTCAACACAGACGGGAGAATGTAGTCGCACCCTGGGGATTTTCCCGCGCTTAACTTTAAAAGCTTGTCGAGAACAACAGCGCTAGTTACCTGTTTTTCGTGTAACTCAGTAGCATCGTGTAACGTTGAAGGCTGTTCGTGCAATTGGTATGCGCACTTTCTTGATGGAATGATGAGCTGTGTGTCAAATGTGGTGCTCAGCATTTCGGCGATCTCCTGTCCAGAGAGGTTTTCTGCGTTCGGACCTTTTATGACACATGCTCCTTGGTTTGTCAATTTTCTTTTTGCCATGAATCGGTAAAGGTTTTTAGAGTTTACCTTTTGGCGAGGTTGGACTGAAACGACCTCCTGTCTCCCCGCACTCTCATATTGCTTCGATTCCGTAGAGTCATGTATTCGTCATGGTCGTCCTGTTCTCTGGAGAGTCTCCATGTGTGCCATGCCCTTCTCTTGGCTTTTAGAAGGCGCTCAGTGCCCCGTTTTAGACATGACGTTCGCTTTCTGGTTGTTGTTACCGCCAAAGGGACGTTTTGTGAGACGGCCGCCCTAATGATATCTCTCTTAATGTTATATCAAATATGTCCTATGTTACTCATGGTCTAAAACACAATGCCCAACATCAGTAGTATGAGAAAAGGTCGAGGTCCTGAGGCGAAGTTCAAAATTCAAACTTCGGGTCTTCGAATTGGTGAGTGATGGTTCCCTCAGTTTTGTGTCTATCTTATTGGGGTACGTTCTAGGATTGGAATGGTCACAATTGTCTTCCTGCTCCCCAGAAACCTGAAAGGTCGGAGAAAATCGATTATTACTATTATTATTACCCTTACCTCTCCCGATTTGTAAATGAAGGAAAGCTTCTCGAGTATAGCCCGTCAATACCACAAGCCTCTAGATGTGCACCTGACCTCTAAAAAATATCAGGGGATATCGCCGAAACAACGCATAAAGAAAGGGAGTTCTACAGTCTATAAACCTCAGCTGCAGACTAGCTAGTACGGATCATCTTATGTGCTTTCGCATGCTCCACTCCTGGGGAGTGACCTCTAAGATGGTTTCTGGGATTGTAGTGGACCCTCAAATCGACTAAGTGATCCAGGTAATGTTTTCAACATAACACAGTGGCTGCAACGGAAAAATGATCTGAAAATTCCTCCCGATCACCCTACCTGATTGTATTGACATTTATTTTAATATTTTTACCCTCGTTATGGATGGTGTACCTTTGACCCTGGCCGGTGTAATGTTATTTGCTTGTTTGACTATCTTCTTTGACTCTGTACTCAGTATTTGCCTTTACGTGATTGAGGCTTATCATGAATATTTTATTTTCCTACTATGTAACGCTGGACTGTTGGAAAGGCGATGTTGTTTTACTGCGCCCGACATTTTGTTTTGGTTCAACCTACGGTTGCACCGTGATTTGACTGTTTGTTTTTTGACTGTCTACTGGAAACGTTTATTTGTTGATTTGATTCTGGTAGACAGGGTTTTGATCCCTTTGTCGGGAATATTCCTACTGACCGACAGGTACTTAACAGTTGTACTTGTTTAACCAGTTTTTACCGTATAGTACATATTTGCACCCAAGAACGTTTTGGACTGTAAGGTTGCCCAACGGCACTGTTGAGATATTTTTGTAATTTTTATATAACTTATTGTTGCTTTGATAGTACTATAGATTTTGTCACGAATCTACCACTGATTTGCTACAAACTATGCTTTGATATTTCTGTCCAATTTTTGACTGCGCGTCACTCGCGGAAGTTAGGAAGCTATACAGTAGAACGCAGGAACTATTCAGATTCACGTCAGTTGGCACCGCCTGGTTATTTCCCGCTTTCAGATCAAGATTATTGGATTTCGGCCGCTACAGTACTCAAAATGCCTTCAATGCTGTGCCAGACAAGCGCAAGGTGTTCCTTGAGTCAATCCCGGACGGAGACGGCGACATGTCCATGGATCCAACCTCTGATACCAAGCAAGTCCCTCTTGATGTTATTTCATGCCTTGGCTCCGACAATGGCACATTTATTGACTATAGTAAGACTAGTCCTAGTGGGACCTCTGCTGAATTGAAGGTACGACAGTTAGATGAAATGCAAGAGTTAGAGCTTCGTGAATTCAGGGCTAAACAAAGACAAGAAAGGTTGCGCCTTCATAAACAACCGAACTTATCAGATGATGATATAGTGTTAAAAAATCGGTTTGTCTTAGTATTGACCCTAACAGCAGGCTTCATCCTGAAGTGACAAGCCAGGTGGGCAGCGCAGAAAACAAAGAAATAGCTGCAACTTCATCTCGTGGAATTTGACACCTCGGAAAGTATTATCCTATCAGCAAGCTATCCATAGGAGATCATGAAATTCAAATACTCAATAAGGTTTGAGAACTAGGTGTCCGATATTCTGGTACCCTTAACTTCTTATCTACTTCCTCTACGCCTACTTACAAAACATGTTGGGCAGGGATCCTGAACTTTGTTGAAGCCCTAGCTACTATGATGTTGTAACCACCTTTATGTGTTCATAAGCAACTTGTTGTCACAATAATACTTCCTTGGTAATTTCAACCATTGTAAACCAAGTTCGATGTACTACTATTTTTTCACTGTATTGATTTTCATTGTTATTCGGCCTTTAAGTCGGTCTTCCCACCTGACCCCTTTTTATTTTTTCACCCCTTATCTTCCTGAGTTTTTATATAAGTACATGTAGGTGTGTGATCAGATAGTTCCAAATGTGTTGCGCAAACACATCACACGGTTCAGACGGTTTGCGGCTTCTTATTGTTTTGTCGAGGTTTAAAAAGGGGAACCAACTGTTTTGAATAATAATAATAATAATAATGACATCCTATTCCTGAGTTTGCAGATGCATATGATTTTTACAGATATGGTTATAACAGTTAGTAGAGGAAAATCTCCGGTAA